TGCAATAACGCACATTGTGCATTCGGCTCAACATAGGTAAAAGAGTTGACTACATCAGCAACTGATCTGAAAAAAACTGGCAGAGTCCATGGAGAGGCATCACAAGCCTGCGAAGTTACGTCAGGCAGACAAATCAGCAAACAAAATAAACCAGCAGCTATGCCGCGATGGCTTCGTTCACGGTTCGTTTCGGCAGCAGGAAGACGTTTTGCTCTATTTGCTGGACTGTGTTAGAACCATGGCTGGGCGGCGTGAAAAACTGGTGCATCGTGAGTCGTGACCGTCAATTTATTTCCGGATTTGTGGGTCTGATTTAGCGTCAATCGGATGGCATTTGTCCCGTATGTAATGCTAACTGTATTGGGAAAGACTATGGATTGAGTCATGTGAAATAGTGAATGCCAAGCAGTGCATCGCTGATTTCCATTCATGCTTGCAGCAAACGATGTTCTTGGAACGAAGTTTAGCAGGTGTCGGGCTTTTGATTCAATGGTTCCACCGGCTGATGACCTTCCTGAAGCCCCTCTCAGAAGACTATTGGAACATTTATCAAAGTCGAACTCCTATGGGACTATAGTTATTGCGTTACCATGCGGCGTGCTGATAATATCCGGCGTCTCATCCTGCAGCAGCGGTGTCACCGCCCCATTGAGTGGTGTCCGACAACTACCAGACTCGAGGCCGGCCAGTCTCCCGTAATTAGCTCATTTTCCAGCTGAATACCCTCCGGACGGCTGCCATCTGGGCCGCTCCGGTAGCACATCGCTTCATACGCGGCATTGTTGGCCGGTGTGCGCGGCTGACCGTCCATTGGACCGGCCCGGCGCACCGAACCCTAATGACGTGCAGACGCGCTGCATTGTGCTCCGGCCGGCAGCCGTGAGTGTCCCATCGGCCGGCCGGGCACGCTGCGCGCCGCTCGGCGGCTCGGCGGTAACCGGCCGGCGCGGCCGCTATCACCTGACACAGACGGGCCAATCGGCGCGGAGATGGGCGCCTTGACCGGTCATCGGACCGTCTCAGAGTGGGTGTTACCGCTACCCGGGCGGCGGCACGGCGCGTGCTGCCGGCACGGTGACACGGCGGGCCCGGTCTGTGGTGACGGGTGACGGACCGCCCTGATCGCCGGGACGGCCCGACACTCTACCGGATTATCGCTGCGCTCTGACTCTCTCTCTCTCTCTCTCTCTCTCTCTCTCTCTCTCTCTCTCTCTCTCTCTCTCTCTCTCTCTCTCTCGCTCTTTGGATTGTTTCCGCTCCGTCGAAGTTGAGTTTTAGTAATTTTATTGCGCGACGTCCCGATCGTTCGAGTTCTGTTGGCCACTTTGCTTCCATTCTGCGTCCTCCCTCCAACCCCGTCTCGTCCCGTTCTGCTCGGCCGCCGGTCCATTCGTTCTGTGCGTTCCGTCAGTCGGTCTCCGCTCCAGTTGTGGGCCAGTCGTGCTGCCCGCTGACCCGCCGTCTGACCCCGCCGCTCCCGGCGCGCACCGCTCCACTATGGGCGCGTGCGGCCCGCCCAGTGGAGCGAGGCGCCGCTAACGGCCGCCCTGTCGGCGCCGCAGTGCCGTGTCGACACCGACAGTACGCTGACACGGTACTGGGGCGCAGTACTCGGCGAGTATACACAGGCGACTCGACGAGTGTCCGAGTTACGTGGGACTGACGATGCTGGCTGGAATGGCGACACGAGACTATGCTGGATCTCATGTTTCCTGTTTATCGGACGCGATCTCTACAAATGCTTGTGAAAAGCAATGTTGATATGCCTCTGTATCACAGTGGGAATGCGTTTCCTGACCAGTGTCCGCCCCCTGTCGTCCTTTGACCCCCACTCCGCCGCTCGGCTCTCAGCAGTTAGCCGGTTCAGTTACGTGTCAGCAGTTTTTGTGGCTCCCGTTACCTACCTGTCTGCTCCCATTCGGCGCGCATCACTAAACGTCCGCGCCGCCGTCGTCTGGGAACCGGCCGCCCGAGGCAGTGCGCCCGCGGCCGTTCCGGGCCGGCCGCCCCGGGCTCCCTGATGATGGGTTTCCGATTATGAGGTTTTTCCAGCCGCCGCCGCGTCCACTTCTGCCGCTTCACGCTTGCCACTTGATAGGCCCACTTAGCATTTTAGAGTACGGCGCTGCGCGACATAATGGCATCGACTGGCGTCTGATGGCGCGTGTACTGCTGTCGGTCGGCCGATCATACACAGAGGTAACGGTGACGGACGCTCCGTACCGGCGCCGTGGGCTAACGGAGCGGGTATGTTCTCCACGGACTGGTGGACGACGGCTATGTCCTTCCTTCCCGTGTCACCCACCGTCCCTCCCGTGTCACCCACCGTCCGTGTCACTCACTGTCACCCACCGTCCCTCCCGTGTCACCCACCGTCTGTGTCCTTCCGTGTCACCTACTGCCCGTGTCATTCCCGTGTTACCTACTGCCCGTGACCCTCCGTGTCACCCACCGTCCGTGTCATTCCCGTGTTACCCACCGTCCGTGTCCCTCCCGTGTCACCCACCGTCCGTGTCATTCCCGTGTTACCCACCGTCCGTGTCCCTCCCGTGTCACCCACCGTCCGTGTCACTCACTGTCACCCACCGTCCCTCCCGTGTTACCCACTGCCCGTGTCCCTCCGTGTCACCCACCGTCCGTGTCCCTCCGCGCCACCCACGGGCTACCTCATCGGCCACAGGCGGTCCGCTGTCCGGGTCCCGCCTCCAGACCTCTGCGAGCCGCTGCCACTTAATGAAGTTTGTTGTGTGATGTCTATACGGGTTGTGGTAGCTCGTATTGGATGTGGGTATTTACAAAAGGAATAAATCAATTGAGTTCGATTCTAGTTGAATGCTATCCACAAACAGGGTTGAAGCGAATCATATCATCCCTATATAAGATGGGTGAGCCTCGCGACCAGTGGCTGGATTTTACTTTTAAGGAGCGTCCTTTGTAGTGTGTATGATAAGCTTCCTGTTTGTGAACTTATTAGAATATCGCGAATTTTTACCTATCCTTTTGTGTTGGGTGGTGGGGTCATCCGTTTGCTTCCTCTTAATATTTTGAACAATTATTTTGTAGTTTTTCTTTGAGCGTGACCTGAGTCCCAGGACATTAACCTTTGGTGAAAAAGTGACCTCAATTATTAGTTAAGCGCTCGGGAATAGGCGTGAAAATGGTGATGAGACTTTAATAACTGTCTAAGAGGCGTTGGTAATGAATTTGCCCACGATTTTGGTGCACCAGGGACCATGAACGGGTGCATTGTTCTAAAATAAAAGTGTTCTCATTGTTTATGGGCAGCGATGCTTGTAACCTATCCTTAAGCCGTTCTCAGTTTTACGGCTATGTTCTCGAGTGTTTTGGCTGGACGGAAGTGACTCTCAAGTCTCATTGCATATGTAATCGTAATAACACCGATACAAACAGAAATGTATGAAATTAAAGTTACATGTTTGAAGAGCATGATGATGCGCATCGCTCATCCCTATCATTACAATGCAGATTGCAGAAGATTGATCAATAAGCACGTCAGACAATAAAAGGCACCTAGCCTATTTTTGTCTCCTTTCTAGTTTATAATTATCTTGTGCTGGTTCATCTGCAATTAAATCTGCCGTATTTTTCTACCAAGCACATCCTGAAAGTGTCGCTGACTTCGCGAACATCGCGTGAACAGGGCATGGTCAATGGTCATTACCAACGACGAATCGCCCATATTTTAGCTTTATTCCTTATGTTACTGCCTTGCTGGAAAAGCCATTTGCCATCTAGCTGGTGAACCTGTGCGGCGCTCTGCGCGCGTCAAATCACGCCGTCCACCGAGCGTGTCGCGTCCTCACGGCTCCAATTTCACGGCTGGGGCTGCCCATCAGACGGGCGCCGCGCTAACGGTGGCGGGCTGACTGACCCGGGCTGTCGGTGGCTGGTGCCTCTTTCACAGTCGCTGATGGTGGCGCTATCACAGCCGCTGGTAGACCCGGGCTTTCTGTGCTCGGTGCCTCTATCAGAGCCTCGGCGGTCAGTGCCGGCCGCGGTATGCTCGGTCACATGGGCGCCGGCCGGCCCTCCATTAACCGGCCATGTCCGCCGCGTTTTCCATAAACGGGCCGTGTCCGGTGCCGCAGCGCTCACTCACAGGGAGTGATGGGCGGCACTGACCGGCGGATCCAGTGCACTGTCAAGGACGGAATCCATACCGCCGGAGGTCCGTGCACCGGACAGATCGTCAGTGGGCGAGCGAGGCGCCGGTCAGTTCGCAAATAGAAGTCTCGGTGACATTATCATCCGGACACTTATATCTCCTGGTCCCTAAATGAACACTCCTCAGAGCTAACACCGATACTCCTCAGTCCCGTCACAAGTGTCCCGGTCCTGGTCCTGTCCCACCAGTCCCCGACATAACAGTCCCAGTTCAGTCTCTGCTGCCGGCGGCGGCGCTCCTTTTTACCGGCGCTCAGATGACTCGTGCCCGTGCTGCGTGACCGTGCCCGTGTCGTGTCGGCACGTGAGCGCTCCGTGTGATTGCTATCATCGCGGCCGATCGGGCGGATTGTACAGAGAGCCGCCCGCTGCGGGCCGGGACCCGCTATCTTACAGTCGGGATCTTGTTAGACCGGTCGGCAGGTTTCTTGTGATGTACTGATGACACGTGTTTAGTCCCTAATGACTGCAGATGCGCGCGCTGTACTTACGATACGATATGGCGTGTTTGGGAGATGGAACATGGTAATAAGATGTGTTTAAAGATGTGTTTTTAAATGGCTACACATCAAATGACCATTAATGACTATTACTTGACGACTGATTGGAATTTGAGCTGTTTGGCTTGTTCGAACGCCATGCTGTGCTGACCAGTATTCGACATGTCCTGTCCTTTCTCCCATTAGCAGTTGACCTGACCGTTATCCCTCTGCACCCACAGTACACGCTAACCGGTCACAGTGGTCCGGTAATGGTGGTGACCTGACCTGACCTAACCTGACCTGACCTGACTGTTACCCCTCTGTTCCCCACAGTATACGCTGACCGGCCACAGCGGGCCGGTGATGGTGGCCAAGTTCCTGGGCTCCAACACCAAGGTGATCACCGGCAGCCGGGACCGCACGCTCAAAGGATGGGACCTGCAGCGAGGCGGGGACTGTGAGTATACTGATACCGCGTGATGGGGTATTTCATGATAACGAGAGATGGGCACCGGGCAGTGCATGGCCATCCTCAGTCAACTGCTGCTCAACCTGATGGGGATGGAGGAGCTACAGGAGCTATATTTGGAGTTTTATGACGGTGCAATAACTCGTCGGATCCGGTCCGTGTCATGCTGGGGCTATCGTAGCTGATTTTCCCATAGTCTGTGACTGTCTTCTGACATCCAATGTTACCAGTGGCAAATGGCAGTCGTTTGTTCCGGGCGGTGATGCGGTGTCATTTTCGGTCAACTCTTTCAGCTGAAACAGGAACTTCATAAAACCCATGCCCCAGTGAGGATCGGTACCTGCTTATCGGTCAACAGCTCTGACTGGGCCGGTCGTCGGCAGAAACGAGATCCCGAACGAGAACTACATCCACCACACTGACAGTGCGGTGGTCTTCGTTCTGCTTTCATTCAGAATGGAAAAGTCGGAACTTTCCTTCAGAGAGCCGGTGTGATCGGTGTGATCGGCTTATCATTCCAGGTGTGTTTTCTTGATTCAACGCGGAAAGGGATTTGCTATGTGCTGGTATGCAGGTCATGCCATCGCAGAGACGAGAATATATTTAGAACTAGGTGATTTGAGTGAATCTATTCGTTTTGCGGGACACCGAATCAGGGCATTGCCTGGCATTTACCCCGCGGTCAATTCTCATGTGCTTTGATGGTCTACCTCTTTATTCCTAGTTCGCTGGTGCTTGGGCCGTTCATGCAGCGACCAAACTGGACACTCGTGCACCGTTTGTCACTGGGGACGTGTGAAGGCGCCGGCCGGGAGGCGTCGGCTGGTGGCTCTGTGACTGTGACGGAGGCGGCGGAGGAGGAACTCGGCCGGTGTGAGCCCGGGAACGGGTCCCGGCCCCGGGCGCCGGCTGCGGTCGGCCGCGGGGAAGTGGTCCGCCCGCGGCGACGGCCGGTGGGAGCGCCGCGACCGACCGACCGACCGGCGCCGTGGACGGCCACCGACTCTGGACGGGGCGGGGGCTACTCATCTGACCGACTGTAGAGTGATCCAGAGTAAACTGTGGGCATCGCCCTGCTTTAGACTGGCTCTGCTCAGCTGGCCGCCACCGGTGGTCACCTGTGACTCGAATGCAGCAGCGACGTCTCCAAAGATTCCAACAAACGCACACCCGCCTGCCAATCGACCTGACCAATGCCAGTATATCTCCGGACGCTACTGCGAAGTATGGGTGGGTTCATAGTCGGGCGCGCTGTTTCCGTTTCGGCCAGACACCTCCGCGCCGGGCGGCATGTGCCGCGGTCATTGCTGCGCCGTTTGTCGCGCACCCTGCCCATTGTGAAGCGCCGGGTCGCAGTTAGCGCCGCTCCGTCTCGAGGCGATTCGGTTCCGGTGGCGCCGCGGCAGGCACCGTGTCGGCTTCATCCGGCGGAGCGGCCCTTCCGCGCCCAGCAGCCCTTCCGCGCGCCGGCTCTGAGTTCATGTGGGCAGGCGACCTCTGGGTCTCTGCACCTAAACCGATCTAGTGACGTCCTGAGTGTTTGGATTCAGAACCGTTTTACTTATTTACATATTGGGGAAAGAGGAATCGTGGAAAAGAAGAAAAAGGGCCTGAAGAGGGAATGTGAACATCCGCGGTGTTAAGGTTGGATCGAGGTCTTGAGCCTTGCCCATGAAGTTTACACGTAAAGGTTTCAGAGCTCGTGTGAGCCTTTATTTGAGCAATTTGCCGAGTTCCCTTTTCCATCTGGCCAATGACCGGGAATGGGAAGGAGTCGGTGATAGTTACCGGTGACCGTGTAGGGAGGAGTGACTCGGTGATTGGTAAGGGAGCTCACCACTGCGGGTGACCTCCGGTGACCGGTGAGGGGAGGTGACTCGGTGATTGGTAAGGGAGCTCACCACTGCGGGTGACCTCCGGTGACCGGTGACCGGGCCGGTCGCGTGGGAGCGGCGTGCCGACCGGCCGCGCGCGGCGTGGACGGGCCGGCTGCGCCGTGATGGGCCCGCCGGACGCGGGCGTCTCCAGTCGGCAATTGATGACCGGCCGGGGTGAATCAGCACCGCCCGGCTCCGGCAGATCGCACGGACGCTGTTCAGAAGGGCGGGGCCGCTCGTGAGATACCTGCTCAGCGCTCACCGACCGGAGAGCGCCGGGTAATTGCAGGGCGAACTGCGTGATTCCGGGGTATTCATGATCCAATGTTGCAGCTTCAGCGGTCTCCGCGGCTGATGTTGGTAATGCGATGCTGCTACGCTAATCATTTTCGTATTGTGTATCTTTAAATTGCTTCTTAATCGGCTCATCCACACACATCAGACGCTCGTCCCCCTGCCGTCGCGCTCCCACGCCCCGTCTAAGTGAGCTGTCGGCGGCTGTCCGTTAGCCACGTGACCGCCCGCTCGGCCGAGCCTCCCCTCCGTCCGTCGGCGAGCTGTGTTTCCCGTCGGCCGGGGGACGCTCACGACGCGTCGGCCCGTCGTGGTCGGCGGCGGCTGCTCCCGTGGGAACGGCCGTACTCGACCGTCCCCGGCGGTCACGACTGATGGCCGGGGCGGGGATGGGAAGGGGGGGGGGGGTCAGCGGTCATCGTGCACGCGAGAGGAACGTTCCTGTAATGGCGGAGCTCGATGATTTACTGCCGGAGCGACGGAATGGTCAGACCCGGATTTTGACTAAAACGTTTTATCATTCAGACACAAGGAGCCTCAACGTTTGACTTTTTTCTTTCGCAGGTGTGATGAACATCTTCGCCAACAGCATATGTTTCGACATCGTGGACGGCGTGGGCGCCACCAACCTGCTGTCGGGCCACTACGACAGCACCATCAAGGTGTGGGACACACGTGACAGCCGGGAGCCGAAACACGTCATCAAGGTGGACGGCCACGTGACCTCTCTGGCGCAGGGCACCGGTCAGTACCGTACTGCACCGTACCGCCGCGCCGCCTGGTGGCGGGACGGAGAAACGGCGGGAGGCCGGAGGGTGGAGCCGGCGGAGCAGAGGGCGTACTTTGGCTTAAAGATTGCCATTTCTGGGTAACATCATTGTTCGCTAGACCTTGATTCTTGATTCTTGCTTGATATTAGGCTTACGAGCCTCCACAAATGCTTGTATACATGTTGTATACAGTTGTACTTATGTTTGTAAGGCTGTCATCTGTAGCTCGCGCATGGCGCCCTGTCAAATATTTGTGAACCACGGGCGCACTAATATGCATCGTTCCCTGTTCGTCGGCAGAGTTTCGGGTGCTGTGCTGCACCCGGGCAGACACGCTGAAGGTGGTCGACCTCAGGACAATGACCGTCGCAAGGAACTACGAGTAAGTCACGCTGTCAACCATTTCTATTTGATTTTATACAAAGTCCTTTGGAACTGCTCTCCGTACTTCATGGTTTCTAATTAGCGTTCGGGTTCAGACTATATTTTCTCCAGCGCCACCTTCCATCTGCCTCTTGTCACCTTGTTTCTTCTCCTCAAGTACCTGTGGCCCCAATGTGACCACCTCTGGGCGCGCTCCCTCACAGGGCGGACGGTTTTCACGTGGCGTGCGACTACTCGCGGGCCGTGTTCAGCCCCGACTGCAAGTACGTGGCGGCCGGCAGCGGCACCGGCGACCTCTTCATCTGGAACGAGAGCTCGCGGCGGCTGGAGAAGCACCTGCCGGCCGTCTCCAGCCCGCCGTGAGTCGCAGTGACTGTCCGGGGGCTGTGGGCTCAGTAATTTAGATGTGGCTGTGTCAAAAAGCTGGTAGTTGTAGCACTCCTGTATTTTGCTAGAGTGGGGTAGAGGGCCGTCTGTGCGGCCGCTTATATAACTCACTGGCATTTTCTCATTATTGGCCGCCTTGTATTTATCCCCGAATATTTATGATACCTACCGCTTATAAGGCACAGTTCCAGCAGCTGCTGACCGCTGTAGCCCAGTAGTTTGACCAGTGCAGCTGCTCCATCTGTGACCTTTAGCCTCGCCACCCAGTGTGTGCCGCCTCCCCCTGACTCTGTGCTGACCGTCCGGCCGCCGCTTCGTCAGGTCGTGTGTGCTCGCCACTGCCTGGCACCCGGAGGGCTCCTGCCTGGTCAGCTCCGACAAGGCGAAACGCATCACCGTGTGGAGCGACATCTGAGCGCTCCGCTCCGCACGGCGCCACGTGTGACACGTGTGGTACGTGCGCCACGGGCCGGTGGGTGTCACAAAGCGGCGCCGCGGCGGGCGGCGCCGGAGACCGGTGTAGGGCGCGCCACCGAGCACGGTGAGTCTATGCGGTGCAGGGCCGCCGCCCCGGCCGCTACTTATATACGGTGATACCGTGACGCGCCCGTGAACCGACCGGCTGAGACGATATGATGTACGTGCCTGTCCTCGTCAAAAGCTTTATACTTCGCGCGGTTGGCTGTGCGCTGCTTTGTTTGTGACCTGTGTGGGCCGATAGGGAGGGTGGGTGCTGAGTATAATTATAGGCTCAGGTGACGTTTTAGCACCGCGGCCCGTGTGTGATTCCAGTCAGTGTGCCTGTACAGTGTCCTGCCAGTGTTTACTATCTGATACGTTTGTGAAGACATCGCCCGATTGTCCGAGATGACTATACGGTGTATTGTTTGCCAGTTGATATTGCATTGTCCGACGGCCGCTGTTGGTTTGGCTCAGTGTGGACTGCAGTGGCACCGACACTGTGTGGAGACGGGAGAGCTCTTGGTGGAACTCAGAAACAGGAGCAGAGAGGAATATAGGAGAGACTTTTGAGCACGTATTTGTGGCACTCGGTAAAGTTTATGTTGTTTGATGATTTGATCGTGTTTTGTGGAAAGTAACGCGAATTAGATCTCAGGGAAGGCTGGAATAAACGTAACATAAATCTAGGCGTGTTCAAAGGGAAAGAAAATAATATGAGAGAAAATATCTGGTATCTACATAACATTTTTAGGTTTGAGAGTCTATCACTGACACAGTTTATTGATCCGTTCGGGGTTTCCTAAGGCAGGCTTTCATGGCAGCATATACACAGATACAAAAGTCGATGGCCCGGCGCTGTGGGCACCACGCTGGCGGCGCCGGCCGACCAGTGGGGTATGACGTCACACTGTGTGACGTCACGCCGGCGCCCAGGTGGGGATGGAGATCTGCACGGGCCGGTGTCTGACGTCATGGAGCGGCTGAAACAGCGAGAGGTGTCAGGGGCTAGATTAACACGGCGGGAGAGGGGGGGGGGGGTGAGCGTCCGGCGCGGGACAGGGTCATACAGTGGTACTGAACATTAGCGGCTGTACCCGTGTTTGTTTGAGCCAGCCGGATGCTAACGACTTATGAAGATGTTCTGGCGAAGTATGGGATGACCCTTGCGGTCTGCTCGGTTTAGTCTGACGTGGTCCGTCATAAAGCTGCATCAGATAACGTCATGCTTTGGACAACCCAGCAACGCAGCGAAATGGAGGTCAACGGGCCAGTCATCCAAACTACTCCTCACCGACTTATGGAGTACAGTGACTTATACCGCAATGACAAAATATTCGAAACAAATAACGCACGCTAGACAAACTCGAACTCGTCACTGAATGAGTCATAGTGTCGCTCACCGATTCATCAATGAAATCGAAGTAGTTGATGCCGAGCTTTCGTGAGAGCCGTTTTCCGAGTTTTCTCATCCTGTCCTCGTACTCGGTGTGTGGGCTCAGCTTGAACTCCTCCAGACCGACCCTGAAACAAAAATGGCAAGTAGAAATCGGACACGGCACATGCTTGTGTTGTAGGCCTAATTTCGTGCTGAACATGGACAAAATATCGTACTAAATTGTTAGTTAAGTAATTTGCTTTAGCGTGGCAGCAAGCATTTTCGGAGAGTCAGCTGCGTTAATGTGCTTGTGTGCGTATGTCATACTTTCCATTTTGTTTTACCGTATGACGTGACTGAGCGAAAAGCCACCGTTTTGTGTGGATCTCATTCGAATACATCTGAATCTGAATCTGAATTTAAGCCCTGCCTCCCTTGAACATGGCCGTGCCACCTTATCGCCCTAAATGGAACAGTGTTTTCTTAAAGCGTTTGACGCCTCCCAAATGTTCAATGCTCACCCTTTGAGGCACAGATAGAAGAACCAGTTTGACGACTTGGACCCGCCGGGGCTCGGGTAGCACTTTTGTCCAATCAGCCTGATGTACATGTTGTAAAGCGGCTCCGTAGTGATCAGCCGACCCCTCTTGTGATATTCATACACATTCTTTCTCTGTGGAAAAAGGTGGAACACTTTACCGCTGAGCGTTACTAACGTTTTCTGTTTGAAGGCATGCCGCCGGCGTGGCAGCTGGTGTTAAAAAATAATGGAAAGTAGCGTTTAAACGTGTTGTTAGCCGAAACAGCCAAACGTTCTTATCCAGTGTCCACCTTACCTTATCAATGATGATGATGTGCAATGGATAATGTACATAGCTCTTCCACGCCAGCACTACGGCCGAGACCGATAGGATGACGGTGAAGTTCAATGATCCGTGCTTCAGTACGACGTCCACCAGAATGGGAACCACGATCGCCAGTCCAATTATGTACGTATACAGCCTGACAAACCAAAGTACAATCGGTGACCTGACAACAAAAGTAAACGATCGGTGTTGTCTGGTGGACCTTATTACTACGATGTGTGACCCATACCGTACATTTGTCACACGACGCTCCCATGGCAATGTCCAATGACTGTGGGAATCGCTCGGTACCTGGGCTTACTTTGGTATCTAGTGGATCATAAAGCTACACAAATCGTCATAAAGCTAGTGCCTCAAGAACATGCGAGCAGCGTAAAATACCTACACCTTGAAACGGTAATGATATTACTACGTGATTAAATGTGTACTGAGTCCATGCAAGTGCTTATATAATATATGTGTTAATTTTGTTGCAAAGGTAGGTACCTATATTTGTATTTGTATGATGTGTCTGAAATGTTTCTGCCTCACCATGTTTTCCTGTACCGAAGTTCCCATTTTCCATCATCTCGGACGACGAACGGTCGAGGCGGCGCTTCAAGCATCTTATACAGCAAATACTCGGGCCCATCACGGGTCAAGCTATTGATGAATGGAAAGTGAGTTCTAAGAAACCAGCAGATCTCTCCAGTGATTCCTGCTAGTATCATACTTCTGTCTCATTTCCCCCATCATTGCAAAAGCATTCTTCTATGCGACTTTCTAGCGTAGAAAGCTTCTGCAGTTTACGCATTCGAAATTAAATTTGCAATCAATTGTTTTAAGGAACTCGAACCTTCATTGCGAGCTTATTCCTACATTCTTAATATTTCTGTTTTGAACGATGGCAGATCGGTATCTTACGAGATATTAGCCCTAATTACTCAATAAAATATACGTTTTTTACTCGTGTGTTATAGCTTGAGGTGGCAAGTTACCTTTCTTCAGAAGTTGCGCTTGAAAAATAAGTAGGGCGTGACAATAGTACTACGGCACTTCGTTGATTTATATTCATTGCATGTTAATTGTGTCGTGCAAATGAGCTTATTCCGCGAAAGTCGTCAGCGGATGTAATATTTTTTGTGCTTATTGCGTCAAATTTAATTTAAGAAGTCACTAAGCGTGCGCTGTCAGTATTGATATGCAATGGTCTTCGCAGAATCCCACAAAAAGAGAGCACGAAATGGAAGGGAGCCCTTGCCTCCCAACGTGCAAGTTGTAGACACCTGTTCAAAGCGAGCTGTAATTGCCCAGCCTCTGTAATATGTAAGTACGCGTGTGTAGCCGTCGTTACACCTGTTGGTCGTGTTACAGGCTGTATCCGTTCACCCCGAGTTTGGCGATCGAATCGACGTCGCCGGGCTCGAGCTGCGCGCGCGCGCGCAAAACGCCGATGGCTTTGTCGTGGTGGGCGGTCGGACGCGTCGGCCAGCCCAGTGGCGCTCCGACCCCGTCACCGACGACCGCGCGGCGTCCCGGCAGCGCGACGACGGCACCGATGGCCAGCCGCGTCATGGAAACGCTCAAGCAGTGCCTTATGCGCCGGCTGAGGAGGGGATCGCCAGGTTAGTGAAGCCGCTCCCGTCTGCCGAGGCGGCCACGAACCTTCAATGGTTCGCCTCGCCGAAAGTCAATGTGATGAGAATGATGTGTGCTGGGAATGCTCTGCAAAATGAGGCTCGTTATGAATGATTCACAGTGTGAAGGTAATATTCTCATTTCGTGCCGCTGCGGATGAAAGCAGTGCGTCCTAAACTGCACGTTTCCTTTGTTTTATCTATGACGAATGTCAGTATTCACCTTTTATTTTGACGTATTTGACGTACGTGACACTCACAGATTCACGCAGGAATATCTTTTGTCTTTGGTTTTCAGATAATTCCAGATATCAATCATGTGTGTTCACCATGCTTCCCGAGCTTCACAGTTTCCCAATAGCCTTTTTTTTGCAAACCAATCTTTTGCTTGATTGGTACCGGCCTTATTCGTTATAGGGGAGGATCCAGGGAGGCAACCCTGTCCTGTTATTTCTCCGGTAATTGATAAGCATAGGTATAAAGATAACCTTGGAATTTGCTGCAACGTTATAATAGCCAGGGTAGCTCCGTATGCTTCGTATGTACTAATATAAAAGCCGATTAAACGGCTCTCAATGACCCGGCCCTCCCGTGCGGGGTGCTCATCTATTACGGGTAATTACAACTCGGCCAGCCGGTACTCTGTCACGTGAGCCAGGGATTCCGAGGGAGGGGCTAATCATACGACGACTGTTATGGTATCCATGGTATGTGGAACACCTGAGTCTTCTAATCATTGATTGATTTCAGAGGCTGGTCACGACCTACGCAAAGCAGCAACGCGTAGACCTCATTATACCTTGACATTATTTTGTGCTCTGAGGCCAGTTTTAGTAGCAGTAATCGGTGATCTACGTAAAGAAAGCTATCTGAGCGGTTGTCGATAAATGGATCTCGTAGACGTGGCAAATGCCCCAATGCTACGTAATACGTTTGTATCCATTTTTGGGATGCCTAAACAAAGGGAACTTGAAGGTTTCTCTGAAAACCCGTGTCTACCTCGTAAAATATTGTCCATCCGATATAATATTTAAACAGTCGATCAGAGCATCGAGCGTTTGCCAAAATACTCGTTCCACGACTAGACTCGACATCAGAGGGCACAGTTGTTGCTATCTGATTGTGTTCCAAATCCATCAACGCTAAGCGATCTAATGACAGACACTTCCAGTTACTCATTTTAGAAGCTCCGTGATGGCAAAACCGTGGTGCTGCCCACTGCCTCAACAATGTGCCCCCCCCCCCCCACAAATACCAATCCTTTTGCTCATAAGGCATCTGCAAGCTACGCATGACTCACATGTTCTGGATCCTCATTTCATAACGCAATGCGCGGCTAGAACCCATTCTGAACAAATTTGTGCCACATCACCATGACTAGTTACATATCGACTCGGACATGTCGATAATCTATTTTGCTTCGTCTGGCTGCCATGTTGGATTGCCCGTAATCCTCGGCTCCCCGCGTGTACTCTTTATATAGGTCCCCTCCCGGACTTTGACTCCGTGCCCCGGGTCGATCTGCGCCAGCTATGGAGCTGCATCAGCTCCCCGTACCCCTGCATGTCCCCCGACCCCGCAGCGCCCGCCCGTCATCCGTTTCAAAGCTGCGGCCGCCAGCCAAGTCGGCCAGGCCCGGCCCGATCCGGTCGCGGCCGGCGCGAGCCGGTTCAATCCGGTTTCGTCGGCGTCGGCGGCCGTCGGTGGCGATGGTCGGTCGATGCGAGGCGAGCCCGGCGCGGCCGGAGGTGCCGCGGCCGCGCAGCGCCGGCCTCCGCTATTGAGCGGCCTCCCTGTGTGTCCGCCAACACACAGAGAGGCGCCTATCTTTGTCCGTCCGGCCGTCCGTCCAGGAAAAACTCTGCTTACTCTGGAACTTATTGGAAATGTATGGCTTCATTAGGTTCTGGCGTCGACATCCTTGTTGATCTACAGGTGGCTACTACGAATTCCACAAAAACTTGGACCGTTTATGGTCACGAGTCACCTTTTGTACCGAACCTGGAGCGCCCAGACAGCTAGAGGTTGTTGTTCCACTTGGCACCTTCCTCGTTTCACGTGTGCTCCTGCCGCCCGCGCTGCTGGAAGGGAATTCTGCTGCCCAGACACCCACCGCTGGCATTAACCCGAGCCCGGTGGGCGGCCATTACTGCCACTTTGGCTCACCCCGGTCGCCGCGTGTCGTCATTTCTGAGAATGACTCGTCTCAGCCAGGCCGTTCTGTTCTTTGTGTTGTCTATGCCATGGACGCATTAGCCAACCGTGCACGGCCGTCCGGACTGAGCCGGTTTAGTCCGGTTATTGCTGTGTCTGCTGTTGCTAAGGCCGCTGCTGACGGTGTCCTATGGATGAGTGGGCGGAGCGGGTGGAGAACGGGGCGTGGTAGAGGGCTAACGAGGGGTCGGGTGGCGGTCCGAGGGGTCAACTGCGGACGGGCCTGGCCAGGCGGCACTGGCTGCACCGAGCACCGGTCAGCAGGCTCGCTGCGGCTCCCGAGTCGTCCGCCGGCAGCCCAGACATGGGTACAGACTCAGAGTCCCTATCGTGGTAGCTGCCACTCGGGAGGTGTTGGAAATCTTGGCATTCTTACGATCCTGAGCGAACAGCGCTTCAGGAAATGTATTTCCCAATTCCCATGCTCTTTTTGGCAAGGGCAGATAGTGGTGCGCCAATGTAGCTAGCACTTCAGGATGAGTAAAATCTTACCGTACCTCGTGTTGTTAATCTCGAAGAATGTCTTGATCTCAGACCATTACACGATGCATGTGTATTAACTATTCCTTTGTTCCTATTTCAGATATGGCGGAGCAGCATCCGCAGCCAGTATTGACTATCCCTGTGTCCTTGCGTTCCTATGGCGGAGGCAGAGCAGCGTCTGCCGATTACGGCCATTACTGACTGACCATGTGTCTGTTTCAGATATGGCGGAGCAGCATCTGCAGCCGGTGCCGAGCTGTGACAGCCCGTCGCTTCAGAAACCCTCCACTGACGGCGGGCAGATGAGCTGTGAGAAGCCGGACGGAGGGTACGGCTGGGTGGTCGTCCTGGCCTCTTTTCTGGTGAGTGGACACTGAATGGCTGGTTACGACTCGACTGCGACAGGACGGCCGAGTAAGTGTGGGGTCGTTGAACTCAGTGTATGACAGAAGGGTAGCGGGACACAAGAGCTAGTTTCTGGAGCAGAAAGCTGGGGACTTAGATAGACCTATGAAGGGTTGGGTGTGCGGGCACATATATGTGGCAGTTGTGGCTAGATGTGACTGGTGAATGAAATTGATGAAACGACATCAGAGCTAAGCTGCTGCAACTCCATTTTTTTTTGCGGCTCATTCGGGTCTGTCCCAACTTGGGACAGACCAGAGTGAGCCTGTGAAAAATGGACTCCCAATGTGGATTAGCCTGCTTAGTGCTCACACATTATCACTTTGTTCCGCTAATTGGATTTGGTGTCTCGTTTGTGTATCTGATACGGTAGATATATCCGCGTGGCCTTTGCTCGGTGTGTGGTTTGGGAGGACTGGTGAGCTCGGCACATACCGCGGGGCCCTCCCGACTGCCGGGCAGTGGGTCAGTGCCAAATGCGCTGACCGAGACAGTCGCACTATCCCGACACTGTCAGGTGTAAACCGGATTAACATGTGATTGTAATGGAATCAGAATATTATGGTCGCCAAATTATGGTATGTGACAGTACGTTGAATGCTTACGCCATACACCAAACACATCGTGTATGGCACACAACCTTTCCAATCTGCTCGTTGTTAGCAAGCTTTGTCTCCACAATGTTTCGTTCAATTGACGCGCTTCGTGATGCCATTTCCAACTCTCACACATCCTGCATCGTTAGGCTGTGTCAAGAACCACCCTCCTCTGCCACACGTCTTCTAACGAGCCCAGCATCAATCGGTGACCGTTAGTATCCAGTGCTGGCGCCGCGGGCCAGGCCGCCGCCGAGCGCCGGTCAAAGGTCAAAGTCTGACGCCGCACGTGCCCCGTTCGCAGGCGCACGTGACCATCTACGGCGTCACGTGGTCGGTGGGCATGTTCAACATCATGTTCCTCGAGTCGTTCCAGCAGTCCAAGTCGGCCACCGCCTGGGTGGGCTCACTGCTCAACGCCGTCATGTTTGTCTCCGGTAGGTCACGCGCGTTACACTGCTCCACGCCGGTACATTTCTGATTCTTTTTGTTTCGTCGCATTCCTCTCATTATTTGCTCGTTACATTCCGGTATAGTTTTAATGTGCACCATTTCTTTGTTCCCGTCTGTTTATGTTTGTCGTAAAAATGTACTTTTAACAGTACTGGGAAGTTCTGGTGTGTACCATTTTTAATTATTGAACACAATCAACACAACTGGACGGAATACCAGCTAAGATGCAGCAAGATAAGAGTCGCATCCTTCCCAGTGTTAGACATTAAAATACTTAATGTCATGTCGAGGAAAAATGTCGCTTCTCTGTATAAGTGATAGTTTCGTGCAAACGCCTGTACAGACGCGTCTATACTTTATAGCTATACACTGTACCAGGAATTTTTATGACGCCGCTGTCGTTGATCATTTACTGTTTCCTTGCGGTGACAAAGTAGCGTGTCGGCCGCAGTCCTGTCGTTCAATAAGTATCCGCGGCAGCACTGGCACCACATGGCCCGGTCCCGTTCAGGGTGATAGATCGCCGCCAGCGGTCAATAGTACGGGTCATTCGGGACGGCCGCCGCCGAACGGCGCTCAATGAACGTCCCTCCGGACAGATTGCTGCTCGGCCCATGTACTTACCCCGACGAACTTTTTCGTTTTATAGAGAGCTGCCTCATTTCATATTTATGATCCATGACGAGTATTTCCGCCTTGAATGCTGAGATATCGGAGCACATGAGTGTGCTGCACATGAGGAAGTGTCCCGGTCTCTCTCTCTCTCTCTCTCTCTCTCTCTCTCTCTCTCTCTCTCTCTCTCTCTCTCTCTCTCTCTCTCTCTCTCTCTCTCGCTCTCTCTCTCTCTCTCTCTCTCTCTCTCTCTCTCTCTCTCTCTCTCTCTCTCTCTCTCCCGCTCTTCTCCCATCTCTCCCCAGGTCTGCTCTCCTCAGCTCTGGTGACCCGGTACGGGTGTGGTACACTGTGACCTCTGACCTCCCCCTCTCCCCTGTCCCTCCAGGTCTGCTCTCCTCAGCCCTGGTGACCCGGTACGGGTGACCTCTGACCTCCCTCCCCCGTCCCTCCTGGCCTGCTCTCGTCCGCCCTGGTGACCCGGTACGGGTGTGGTGCACTGTGACCTCTGACCTCTCCCTCCTCCTCCGCAGGTCTGCTCTCCTCAGCCCTGGTGACCCGGTACGGTGACCTCTGACCTCCCCCTCTCTCCTCAGGTCTGCTCTCGTCCGCCCTGGTGACCCGGTACGGGTGCCGGGCGGTGGTGATGGCTGGTGGAGTCCTGGCCTCCACGGGGCTGGCGCTGGCCGCCCTCTCCCACCAGCTCTATGTGGTCTACATCACCTTCTCGGGACTCGGAGGTGGGTGACCGCCGGGTGAACGGAGGGAGAGGGTGATGTGGTGATGTGGGCTTATGGAACGGTCTGGTGTGAGGGGTGTGTCATGAGCCAAACCGTGTGTTTCAAATTGGGTACTCTAATGCAGTGTTCGAGGTTAGACCAACAGCATTGCAATGCGTCGTTCTTTTGATTGGTATCTGTAGTGCTTTCATAAATTTTGATAAATTTTGATAAATTTTGATAAATTTTGATACTGTTCAAGTTTTCACGGACAAGTACTTCTCTACTGGAAACAAAACGGAAAAGGTCGACGTTCAATCATATGTTAGTTCATAGACCACTATATAGATATTTAGTGGTCTATGGCTAGTTAGTTCCATGAACGGAAACTTTCGTGATGTTTTGTATCAGCATTACTTCTGGGAAGCGACATTCATGCATCAGCCAACATCATTCACATCATTCATATCGAGATACATTTATAGCGACATACCCTTCATTTATTCATGGTTCTTTCCTCGGCGAGTCGCAGTTCTCGCCATCAGAGCCGCGCAGGCGGCGCGCCGCTCAATACCTACGGTACGCGTCTATTGACATTGCCGCGCCGTGGTGTCACTACGCGGCCCGGTCATTGTAGTGGCAAACGGGGCAAAAAACGCCCAATGGCCCCAATGCATAATGATCGATCCATACCGAACACCCAGCGGCCGTTGCTAGGGACACACTGCCCATATGTTTGCTGTCCTGGATAGTACTGGCACACCTGAGCTAGAGTGTGTACGGAGAGCGCCATATGGGGCCTATACGCATTGTCGCATCGCCGCCCTGGCGCACCGAGGCTATTTGATTCCCGACTGGGACTCGGGAGCTATTCATTCCTGTCCGTTGCCCTACGGTCTTCCTCCTCCGGCTAGGGCAGTCAGTCGGTGTGTGACCGACTCCTGACAACCTTTGTCCGCTCTGCACACCCCGTTCCTCCTGTGCCGCGCACAAACTCCCGCTATGAATGTCTGCGTCAATATCTTCTGTCATTACGCTGTTATGGGCCGCGGAGCTCGGTGCACTGGTCAACTCAGGGTATAGTTAGTGAGTGGGTCAACTCGCCCCAGGGCAGCCATTATCATACGGGTGGTGCGACCGCCACACAGTACTGTACACCATTCACTGGTGCTTACCAGGAAACTAACCTCGTTAATTGCGCTACTCACGAGGGCCAGGAAATAAACCTATTGGGAACCCATTGAATGGCACGAATACCAGGGGGGAAATCAATCGAACAAGCCCCGTGAGACGATTCACATTAAAAAGTGGCTTGGTCTGTGGCTTGGTCGGAATTATCTATGTGATTTGATGCTGAGCTGACAGCTAAAAAATGACACACATACGTCATACACACACTGTCACTAGTTTGACGATATCGTAGTGCAATTGTTAATTCATTAATTTATTAGGCACTCTTCGGCAGTCAGCGAAGGTAGAAATGTTATTCCACTCACGCCTGGTGACTAGAAATGCTTTTGCAAGTCGGTAATTGTTGTAAATCATCCAACCGAAAACGGGAGCTGCTTAAGGCCGACATAAAATAACAGAAGGAAGATATACGGGCTGCTTTGCGTGTTTTATGCCCCTGAGTCTAATTCCGTGCTGTTGTGCTGGCTTTTCTATGTGTTTGCCATTGATAACGTTCTGTGGTGGTTTTTGGCGTGCTGTGTGGGGCTATATGGATAATGATGGCGTTTGGCGATGCTGGCCGCCCCTGTTTTGCGTTTGCGTGTCGTTGCTACGGTCGCGACCCGTCGCGAGTGTTTGGCGTTATGTTGCGCGTGCGTTTCCTTTCGCAGGAGGGCGGGTTGGAGAGCCGACCGGCAGCACCGGCCTCAGAGTAAAGTCGCCGCTCGATATTTACCCACTGTCTGATCGCTGTGTGTGCGTGCGCGCGAGCGTGAGCGTGTGTACCACCTCAGTGACCTTACTCCATGGCCCACTCAAACTAAGACACAAACGCCGGCACAAAAATTCATGCAGCTCAATGTGCACTCACACACATTCATGCATAAATACATTACAAAAGTTACGTGAGGCTCCTCAATCGTAAGACTATCCTGAAATGACTAAGCGGGACGCATTTCCTCGTCCGAAGCATCGGAGGGCCATCGGCCTGAACAGTGAACATCCAGACTGTCCCGCCGCACAGCGCTGCACTGCGGCACAGCCTATGCTGCCCCTGCGTCCCGCGCGGCTCCGCTAAACGAGCATCGGCTCGGCCTGTGCTGAAACACAAAGCTCGTTCCCCGAGCAATTATGACGCTAAAATGCAAATAGACTATGCATCTGAACAGAAATATTTGAAAAAGTGAGGCTATGTTTGATTGCATTTCTGTCTTCGTACTTCGGGCGCCCTTTCTTTTAGCTTATAATGTGACCAACAAATATTACGGAAAGATGAACATGTCAATGCACCGCCATCACACTCCCGGCAGCGATTTTGATAACACCGTGTCAATTTTGCATTTTGATCCACTTTTCGCACCCCTCCCGTGTCGTCTGTGTGCGCTGCGTGTGTGGCCCGTCCCACAGGCCGTGCCAGCCGACAGAGCCGGGGCTGACTCTCTGCTCTCTGTCGTTCTCTCCACAGCCGGAGGAGCCCGCCGCCATCTGACGATTAACGCCTAACCCACCGGTCGAGGCAGAGCTCCAGACTCCAATGGCAGCAGTGGAACCAGCGGCGCCGACCGCCCCCGGGCCGCTGCGTGCTCCCGGCACCGTCCACCGCCCCCGCTGACGCCCCTCCGCGCAGCCGGAGCCGCGGGGAGCGCCCCCGCCCGCCCCTGTGGCCGTCGCGGTCCGCTCCGGTTTAGTCAGGCTAGGTCCGGAGTGGAACAGATCACGAGCTAGGCGACCCGATCCGGCCGGAATGTGTCGTACACTGCGACTCGAGGTCGGGTCAGGTGTGGTCTGGTCCGCGTTGGCGCGGCGCGGTGTCACCTGACCCGGTCAGGTCCGGTACGGTCTGGTTAGAGCCGGTGTAGTCCGGCCAAAGCCGGTTGCAGCGGCCGCCGTCAGCCCGGCTGGCGCCTATTGCAGGTGTGGGGCTGGGGCTCGCCTACGTGCCGTCCATCGTCTGCGTCAGCCAGTACTTTGAGCGCCGGCGCACCATCGCGCTCGGCCTGGCCGTCTCCGGAGTCGGGTTCGGGTGCTTTGTCTTTCCGCCCGTCATAAGGTGAGTTACAGTGTGCCCCAGGTGACCTTTGTGTGAGAGGTGACGCCGCTAACCAGGCCGATCGAGATGAGGGTGACTGAGCGATGAATGGACGCCGGCGGACCCCGACGGGTGTTTGCTAGGTGGCGCTGGTGGCGAACTGCACCCGCTAGATGGCGCGCAGGCCTCGGAGGTAGCCAAGCCGAGTGGGCTAAATCTTATGTTCGCTTTCTCGATCCCTCAGGTGCTCAGAGGATATCACGAAGCAATGTTGCTTTTGAATTTTGCCAAATTGTTCTCCTTAATTACTGTGTTGCCTTTGTTTAAAACGAATTTTTTTCCTTTCTATTCTTTTATGTATTTAGATTGTTACAGCTTATGTCGTGGCATCCGCATGTTTTATTTAATCTGACAAATTGTTTTACGGCTAATGCAGGTATATATCCGCCATAGGATTTCCACTCACACAATTAATGTCCGAAATTATTGTCGCTCGACATTTGAGCGCCGGTCTGATCCGACCTTCTGCAGTGAGGTAGGTATACGGCCCACCGTCCCCTACAGGCGCGGGTCTGTGCCCGGGTCGGGGCTCCCTCCGCTGACCAGTGCCGCCATTGCAGGTCTCTGATGGAGGTGTTCAGCTGGCGGCTGGTGCTCGTCATCATTGCCGTGATCGTCGTCTGCGCGCTGACGGCTGCCGGCGCGCTGATGGCGCCGCCCAAACAGACGGCCGCGCCGCCGAACAAAAATGGTACGATAGTTATGGGAAATACAAGAGTGATGGGGTATGCTGCAGAATATATTTTGCGTCGGATATGGAAACTATAAAGTTATATCGCAGCCACTTTGCTATTGGAAGCAGCCGGTCTAAACTTTCAAGTCTCATCCTATGAATTGAAGAAGCATGTTACATCATGGGTAGTGATTTGATTGATTTTTATCGTGAGACATCTCATTTTCTGTTCATTTACACAGGTCATGTCGATCTTCATCCTCCCTATTTCCGATACCTCTAACGAGCCCCTGTAACGACATATCCCTCTGTTTGTTTTTCAGGTGGATATTTCACGGAGCTGCGCGGCTGCCTGGGCGTGATGCGCACCCCGCCCCTGCTGGTGTTCAGCCTGAACCACTTTCTGTTCTGTTTCGGCCAAGCCATCGTGTACGTGCACCTGGGCGCGTTCGCCGAGAGAACGGGCGTGCTGAGCCGCTCCGGCACGGCCACCCTGTTCTCCATCATCGGCGTCTCCAACCTGGTCAGTGGCGGGACGAATGAGAGAGAGAGAGAGAGAGAGAGAGAGAGAGAGAGAGAGAGAGAGAGAGAGAGAGAGGAGAGAGAGAGAGAGAGAGAGAGAGAGAGGAGAGAGAGAGAGAGAGAGAGAGAGAGAGAGAGAGAGAGAGAGGGAGAGGGAGAGGGAGAGGGAAGACAAGGTAGGACTTGGAGCCCTGAACTTCAAGTCACGAGAGCTGAGAGCTGATCTTCGAGTCCTGGGTTTCGAGCTCTTAACTTTAAACTTCGAGCGCTGCGAGCTTCGAATTTCGAGTCTCGACCTCCGAAATTTGAACATTGAGATCTGCAATTTGAGCATCTTAGGTTTCGAGCTACGAGTTAAGCGCTCACAGTCCCGGGCTCTCAGACTTGAGCTACCAACTGTGACTCAAGCCCTGTGATTCGAGCTCTACGATTAAAACGCTTTGATAAGAGCTCTGTGATTAGAGCTATGTGATTAAAGTTATGTGATTATAGCTCTGTAGTACCGATTCCGAGCTCTGGGCTCTAAGCTCCCGGCTATGTTCGCCCGGCTCCTCGATTGCAGATACTCGATATTGCCGAGATAACTAGTCCCGACTCGGGTGCACTATCGTGACCACGCTGATAAAGACCGATCGAGTGTTCGGAAAGTACTTGATTGGCGAGCAACATGAGGTCAAGAGGAGATTGTTGACAGACTTTAAATAGGCTGGACGCATCTGTGATGGGACGAATAAAAAAAAAGATTTGTGTGAGGAGAATGCATGTGAATCCCGGTGAAAAATTGTCGATGTTTTGTTTGATCTCAAATACCAGCCAAGTCTATTTGCACGAATCACAATGCGTCTACTCTATTTACAAATAGCGGAGTAGCTGATATCTGATGGCCTAATTTACGCATACCATTACTCCGGTCGAGAGCTGGATCTCTCCGTCTGATGCTATACCTCTCCCAGGTGGGCCGTATCGCGCACGGCGTCATCTGCCACTTCCCGCGGATGGCCACCATCCTGGTGTTCACGGCCTCCACCCTGGTCACCGGCGTGTCCACCATGCTGTTCGCAGTCTGCCAAACCGCCACCAGTGAGTCCGAGCTTGGGGATTGGACGCGGAATGGTACACTTTCGTGATTTGTGATAGGTAACATCGGTCAGATGATTCACACTTAGGAATCACCTGGTATTTTCACACATGCTAGTGAACGTAAAAAAAAATGTTGAGTGATTTGCATTTTGCAATAAATGTTGACTTATAAATGTTGACTTGTCTTTAATTTCAGCACATTCTACATCGGTTTACTTACATGCAAGCAATTATATTTACATGACCGCATTCCCTCAGCGTTGTTCTGGGACCCTGACATAAATTCTCAACTCTCTTCCTCCCGGTCTTCCACACTTGTCTCACGACTCCGCTGTGCTGTGCCCCCGGCAGCTCTGTCGGTGTGCGCCAGCGTGTTCGGATTCGCCAGCTGCTGTCTGGGCGCGCTCACGCCCGATATCGTCATCGGCCTGGTGGGCGACTCCCGGCTGGCCGTCACATACAGCTACCTCATGGTCTTCGAGGCCGCCGGATTCATGCTCGGAGCGCCGTTCGCCGGTGCGTGCAGACAGACACCCCCAGTCGCTTGGTTTGACGGCGCTCGTAGTTCCTTGTCATCTGATATTTGTGTTGCTTTGGTAGAGGATGAAGACTCATGGTAGTGCTGCCTCGAGCTGGGTCCAATAAGTGGTCCCAATTTATGCTTTGTTAGCCATTAAACGTCGATTGCTTTGTCCTGTATGCTTCTTGAGTTCGTATTCGTTTACACTTGTAAAACGAACAGCCTCTAATAAATCAAACTTATCGCACGATTTGATGACACACGTTACACTCCCTCTAACAAACAGCGATATGTGACGTGTGTCCGTCTGCTCCGCCGGCAGGTCTGCTGTTTGACCACACGGCCACCTACCTGCCGAGTCTGTACACGGCGGGTGGGGTGCTCGTGCTCGCCGCGGTCATCATGGTCGTGCCGTGGAGGTACCGCGGCGCGCGACTCATCACGGACGCTGAGGGTGGCCTCTGTGAGGCCGGTGATCGGCCCGCGACTCCTGTCAAAGAGCCTGCGCACCCGGAGGATTTCATCTACCCGCCCTCCGTCGCCGGAGTCGGAGTCGGAGTCGTGTCCGGAGTCGAGGAGGAGGGCTCGCTCTGGGGCAGCGGCGGGCAGCCGGAGGTGGACCTGGGAGAGGCGGGCGGTAGTCGGTACATCTGGCCGGGGTCGGACTCTGAGCTGAACCGCCCGCTACTGGAGGAGGCCAGCTGCGCCCAGAGTGAGGGACGCACCGCGGACCGGCCGGCGCCGGGCGGGGGCGAGCAGAGCAGACTGCTGGAGGACCCCACGATGGGCGGAGAGGGACAACTGCTGGAGGAGGACCCCGAGGGGGACAGCGAGGAACGACTGCTACTGGAGGATCCTGTAATGGAGGGCGAACTCGCCGAGGATGTCGAGGACCGTCTATCGCCGTCCGAGCCCGCGCCGGGGGAGGGACACGCTCCCTGCTACGAGGGCTTCCCGGGGGATTCGGCCGAGGGACCCGGCCCCCAGTCGGTGTACAGTCCCCTGACCTCCGGCCCGCCCCCTGACCCCGCGGGTTTTACCGCGGCGGTCGCAGCGCCGGCGGCCATTGCGATATGTGTGTGAGGAATGTCCGACCGGTTCATCAGTTCACTGTGATGTCATCGAGCAAAGTAGCTCAGAGCTTTCCGAGGAAGGTTTTGGGAAGGAATGCGTCAGGGATCTCCCGATGTGGGCCCGCTTTTGTCGGTCTACGATACATCATATGAGGCCACTAGGTACAATATTTGTACCGCGTTGGCGCTCCTCTGTGTACTTTGTGTTCTGAAATGTCACAAGGTCCACGCTCATGTGCTATCAATCGCGAATGTGATTACGATTACGGAAGGTCGCTACCTCGCGCCAATGACAGCGATTTGCCCTCGGTATATTTACCGATATCCGACCATCATTGTAGCGTCGTAATTTTCGGCCACGTAGGTACTCGTGCAATGGGAAAGGCGCGGAGGTGCGCTCGACGTGTGATAGGTGGTTCTGTTGCCAGCAAGACAGCTGGGCAAATGGAACAGCACCGATTGGAGCTGCAGTTCATATGTCAACACGTTGTCAATAAAAGTGTGTAAATAATCTGCGCCTTTTGTTTGCATCGAGAGACCATCGTCAGGCAAAATGGATTAGCCGTCTTGACATACGAACCCAGAAAGCAACATGTAGTTTGAAAATTTTGAAGAAAAAAAACTGAGAAAGCCACGCTTTTACGGGATTTTCGCTACATACCCGACCCGTACGGCTAGGTTAGACACAAATTGCACAGAAGAGCGCTCATTTTAACCCGCGCGGGGCTGGGGGGGGTAAATTTTACCCCCCCTCGCGAATTTTTGCGATATCTCAAAAACGGCGGCGCGCAGCGCCGCCAAACTTACAGTACCTTTTCTTACACCAATTTGACACGTTCCCTGAAAATTTGAGCGAAATCCGTCGGAAAATTTTTGAGAAATTGACGTTTTAGTGACGTCATGTTCGCCATTTTCGCCTCAAAAACGGCAAAAGTTCAAACGCCGCTAACATCTTCATTTTTAAAGGAATCAAGACGTAACAAAAAAGGTTATACGTAATTTTACTTTGTCTATCAAATGGCTATCTCGGTTTTTTGAAAATTTTGGATTTTGGCCTAAATTTTTTCAAAAAACTTACTTTTTTGGGAAAATCATTATAAAATCCAAAATTTTGAGTCTATCAAAAAAACCGGAATATATGTCAGAGAAGTGGTCTATGTGCACCTACATACCAAATTTTAGAAGAATCGGTTCAAAAATGTGGGAGTTATTCAAAATTTTATGACGTCACGACACACAAAAATTTTGAAAAACGACTTTTTTGGAAGTTCTAGACCTCGTACGGAAACAAAAATAGCACCATTCGATTCGCCGTGAAAAACTGCATCAGATAGACACCTTTTTAGGCCTTAACAACCAACTTCGAAATTTGACCTCACTTGACCTGACCTTGACCTGACCTCGACCTTAAATTCATCCAGAGGTGGTCCATATCACTTATTGAGTGTGCCTATTGAATTCTATGAGTAAAATGACCCATAAAACATGTGTCGCACATGCCCTTTTCTATATTTTGTTTTTTGGTGACCTGACCTGACCTGACCTGACCTTGACCTTGACCTCTGACTGATATTGTATGCAACGAATATTGTCTTGGTAGCCTAAGAACACGTTTTGGGCGATCAGTCTCAGTCCATGACTCCATTATTCGGCAACTACGGTGCAAGGCCGATACTGTAAGAACTTGCAATTTGTACCCTTGACCTGACCTTGACCTTGACCTCAAACTTTAAATTAAGTACATGTTTTTAGTAGTTCGTGATGAGAGCTTTCGATTGGCGTTTGAATTTTCCAAATCGGACCATTAGTTCGGGAGATAACAGGGGGGGTAAAATTTACCCCCCCCAGCCCCGCGCGTTCGGCTGGAGACCCCAGCCCCGCGCGGGTTAACTTCTAAGAATGATCTACGCGTCTTGCTACAAAAGGGTTCTGCAACTTTCTATTAAAATAGGTGTTTGTTGCTTGAAGTTAAAATGGCTATTTCCGTTGTAATATATTCTGCTGTCTGCTCTACAACAATTTGGCAGTATTTTAGCTAAGTTGCAGTGTTTTAAAGCCTAAATTGTCACAAAAACAGCGCAGAAGTAACGAAATATTGTTTACGTTGTCCACTGAACTCTATAATGACGTTGTCTTTCTGTTGTGCGGCCAAGGAGTGCGAGAGAGGGTTGGGTGTTGGGTGTGTTTGGACAAGCTGATATCGGTATAAGACACACTTATCAGTTATCTCGATGACCTCGATATAGCGTCAGTGTGGCCTTGTTATCTTCCGATGATAGCGTGAACTCCAGTCGCTTGGTGGAAGCGGAGCGACTCGGTCCGTGTTTCGCTTTCTAGCCGGCTCTCCATTAGCTAACTTCGATTGTGCTTGAAACCAGTGTGAAGGTCTTGTGTTTTTTCATAGCTATTCACCTCAAAATATCAGAACTATGGCGTGGACGTCTTATCAACTGTTTTTGGCTGGACTTATGGTCGTCACAGGCTCATTGAACACACTTTCAACAAAGTAAGTTTGACCTACTTAGAACTCTTGCCTGTAATTTCATAACAATATGTGCAGGGGATTTATACACTGTCATATTTCCTTAATTCATGTTTTTGGTTTTGTTAAGCCTTAAATATTTATCTTAAATTGATTTGTCTTTTTATGATTTTTGTGTTACCTAGTGTGCAAAGCACGTACCTTTTGTTTTTGACTGTTGATTGAGCTTAGGCTATGTATTTTAAATTTTTTCATCTTCTTACCTTAAGTTGTTTCTTTATGCATTGTTCTCACTGTTTTTGTCATATTCCAGTTAATACACCAAACTGAAAAGTGCCAACAATCATAAGTTACTGTATGTTCATGCTTGGTTCACTAATAAGCAATTATTCTCCTCCAGATGGGCTGACCAGCTGAAGAGCATCAACAGCGTAGGCGAGCTGGTCCACTTCAACCATCCATTCCTACAAGCAACGTCCATGTTTGTAGGAGAGTTCTCTTGCATGTACGCCTTCTTCATGTTCTACTTCATCTTCAAGCACAAAGGTGGCGAGGAGCGAGTGCAGGCCAGCACGCTGACGGGCGGCAACCGGCAGTTCAACCCGCTCATCTTCCTGCCGCCGGCCATGTGCGACATGATCGCCACGTCCACGATGTACGTCGGCCTGAACCTGACGTACGCCTCGTCCTTCCAGATGCTGCGAGGTCAGTGCGCCCGCGGACCGCCCGACGGGGTGGGAACGAAGTTTGGGACATGGGGAGGGATGCATTGTAATTTGTATCGGGCATCAGTGTTGTGATGATAATGAAAACAGTATTATAACGTTAAGACAGTTATCGAGTTCGCACATCAGTTAGGGTTCGGATATGGTTTCAGTTCATTGCATATCATGGTTGTTTCATGTCATTTAGGCATTATTACCGAGGAATCATCGTGACCGCCATTTTAATGAATCGGAGTTCTGCTGCTTCAGTCCCATACTTAAATGGCTTACGATTTTCGAAATATGCATGCTGATGATTTGAGACTCGATTAGCAAACATCGGAATAACTTCAGCCGCTTTCTCAACTCACAAGCGTAACAATAAACCCAGCCAGCAAATTTGGTCTGGGCCGTAGCTGATTTTACTCTGGCTAGCTCCGGCATTTGCTCCGGCCAAAGTACGAGCAAGGTCTGGGGCTCTGTTGGAGCTGACACACGAACCCGGAGCTCGCCCGCACCACAGTCGGAATTATGCCGTATCAGCCGTGCCGTACCTCAACCGTATTTCAGCCACAGTAAGCCAGAGCAGCTATGAGGCGGACGGACCTGGCCGCAGGGAGCCGGATTTGAGCCGTGGCAGGGAGCCGGACTTGAGCCAGACTTGGCGGTCCGATACGAAACCATACCAACTCGGGAGCGCTACAGCAAAGGCTGGCTAAACGGAATAGAGCCATATATCGACCCAAACCCCTGCTCTGACGGCGTTTCGTTTACACCGGCCTAACTCGGGCATGTCGGAGTTGCCGGGGCAAAACGCACTTTAGCCAAACCAAATTGCTGGCTGAGAAACTCGTTGTTTCCCTGAACCCCAGTTTCCCCGCCTCTGTGACCTGATGCTCGTCTCGGTTGTCCTGTCGTATGAAGGTCTCTATACCCCGTTCCGGGACGTTCTGGACCGGCGCACGGCGCTGGCCGGCGGCCCTGTGGTCGGCCGGCCGGGGTGCCCCTCCGGCCTATCTCGGTGTCACGGGGTCGCGCCGCTCCGATAGCCCCCGCTGTCTCCGGCTCTCAAGTGGTGCGGCGGGTCCGGCGGACGGCGCGGCCCACCCGGGGTGGACCGGCCGACCGACCCACTGACGCACACTGCCCCTGCCCGTCCTCGCCGGCGGATAAGATAGCCCAGTCTGCGCGGCCGTCCCGTGATCCGGGGCGGACGCACCCGGACAGGAGACGCCTCAATACTCATACTTCCAGTCCACGAGCCCGAACTTACGAGTGACGAGCTTGTCTCCGTCATGAAATCGGACTAGGTAGATACTAGACTAGAAGCGTTTCTCATATTCCACCAGCCGATGATAACGATATTTCGAAAGCTCCCCGGGCTCGTGCATGACACTGAGCTGTCCCTCAGTGGGAGGAGACGCCCATCAGGAAGTGGCGACAAGGCACGCTGCACGGCAGCTGACGTATACCAGGAATTCGGTTGTGTCAGCGTCTGTGTGCTGCCGCCTGCACGCGCTGACCGCCGTCTGGCAGCCCGCTCTCCGACTCTGAATCAGCCGGCGCTGTCCGGCTGCCACCGTCCAAACTCTGGCGTGTGCAACATTGGAGGGCAGGCACTGCCCACCGAGTTTTTACAACGGGTGTCTGGCTAGGTGTCACCGTGAATTACTGAGTCGGTATCTGAAGTGGGAATTTACTGCTCTGGCGTGACAGTCGTCCACTTACATTCCGTGCCATCATAGTGACATTTCTTTTTGCGTGATATTTGCGTGGTGTTCGTTTTTTAGGCTACTTCAGCTCATGAAATTTCCGTTTATTAGGTCATTGTCCCCATTAACGGTCAATCATTGCTTGGTTGCTTTGTTTTACGACGCTGCTAAGAATAAGTCAAACAACGATGTTTGCTCTGTGCAAATACGCACTCCTTCAAACACCGATAACCAAGACAAGCTACATCCTCACAAAGCCGATCAGCCTACTGTGACTCTGTTCGTCACCGGTCTGATTTGGGCTCCTATTTGTGAGTTGACGATTATCTACAATGGTCGGGCTGTTTCACAAGTGTTTGCGGCTGTATCCCGTTCGCCACCCGCCCTCACCAGCCGCCGTGTTTGTCGTTTGGCCGCGGCGAGTGTTTAGTGTTGGTGTCGTGTCGGCGGTCCGACCCGCAGCTGCGTCCAGCGGAACTGGCGCCGCCAGCTGGCTGGTTTTTGTGGGCGTACTTGTGCCGCGTGAATCACCCGGTTGGCGACACGACACAGAGGGAGGGAGGGGAGGGGGTACAGGGACGGCCGGCGTTGATGGGTGGGAGGAGAGGAGGAGAGGGGTGGGGAGGGACGACCGACGAAGTCGAGCCGGACGGCTGTCAGGGACGCGCCCTGTTAGAGCTTGTAGAAATGCGAATTGCTAATTGAGGGGAAGAGAATGTGAACAAAAAATTCTCCTGATGACTTCATTGAGGATACAGGGCGTATCTGTGAGCTACTGCCACTCGGTCTCCGAGTTTTTATCGAGTTTTTTTTTTAGCATTTCCAGTTTCACCGCTTATTGTTCGAAAATCAAGACGACCCATTGTCGCATTACCACGCCATACTAACCCCGTGGGACTGGCTGTGAACTGCCCCGCTCGTCGGTCTGTCCGGGGAGGTTCAGGACCCGCGGGTGGTCTGTGCCTTCACACCTCGTGACTGGGCCCCTAGCAGAGTGTAAGGACGTCCATAGGTCACCTATCTCCCCCCCCCCCCTCCCCGAGTTATGTCCCGTGACCGGGCCGGGGCCACGTCACCGCCGGCGGGTCACAAGTGTCGGCCGCGGTCCTTTTTCTGGCCCCGCTGCCGGCCCGTATCAGCGGAGGGACAGATTGGCCGCCACTGAAAGTCGCCGCGCGACCCCGTATCGGGACGAGCGGAGAGGTCCTCCATAAGATAACAGTGGTCAGGGGCCGGTCGATGGCGGTGTACCCATGCCCTGCTATTGATTTGGGAGCTATTGAGTTTTAGCTGTCGGTGGCTTATAAATTGCATTGACTAAATAATCCTTTTTCGTGATAGCATTCTTTTTAACTTATGATTGCGTAGCGCGTCCATCATCACGATCTCACTACGGTTCCGTACCTGTTGATTTACCACTTATGATCAGTCAATAGATGATCAGTCCCTGTGAAACCACTGACGGTAAATACTGATCGTTTTCTCAGCACACACTGGCGGACTATCGCTAGTGGCTTGTTGAATCGCGCCAGCTTTGTCGCTGCCACTCAAAAGGGACATCAGAAGCCGTGATGCAGGTCACTTGTGAATATTTGCAGTGATCTCCGGCTTACGTATAGAACGGCACTCATACTTGAGATAGAGTAGTTGTTGGTGCTGATGGCTTATGGTATATTTTCATAGTTAAATCTGCAATATCAAGCTTCTGTCGATAAGTGAGTGACCCCCGTCATAGTTACTTTTAACTTGCATGGCCTATTTCACACCTCCCATCCCATCCCCACTACCGTCTCAAACCAGCCCCCTGGCATATTCTCCCTTCTCCCACCAGTCCCCTACCTTCCCGCGTCTCCCAACAGTTCATTGACCTCTCCATCTGTCCCCAGGCTCTGTGATCGTGTTTGCCGGACTGTCTCCCCAGGGTCTGTGTTAACCAGACTGCCTCGGTCCGTCCCCAGGCTCTGTGATCGTGTTCACCGGCCTGCTGTCCATGTTCTGCCTGGGCCGGAAGCTGAACGCCCGCCAGTGGGCCGGCATTGTGTTCGTCATCATCGGCCTGGCCATCGTGGGCGTGTCGGACTTCCTGCTGCCCTCGGACGAGGATTACGACACCTCCAACGTCATCCTCGGTGAGTCCATACCGGCAATATAACGAGCTCCGCGCCACAAATGGTGGACCGCCTGTCCACTCGGCAAGCAAGTGATCTTTTTGAATGCTCTCTTTGCCCTCTGGTTTCACTTAACAAAGTGTGCACAGTCCCCTACCTCCCTCACATGGCTCCGATGTCCCTTCTATAACCCTTTGACGGTTCTTGTGTCTGCCACTGTAACCCGCTGACATCTCCCGTCTGTGTGTGGCAGGCGACGCGCTCATCATCGCCGCCCAGGTGGTGGTCGCCTGCCAGATGGTCATCGAGGAGCGCTTCGTCAGCTCGGCCAACGTCCCGCCGCTGATGGCCGTCGGCTGCGAGGGACTCTTCGGCTTCGTCGTGCTCTCCATCCTGCTCTTCCCCATGTACCACATCCACGTGAACTCGACGTTCAGCTCTTCGCCCGAGTACCGGCTGGAGGACGCGCTGGACGCCTTCTACCAGCTGGGCAACAACTGGCAGCTGTCGCTGGCCTTCAGCGGTGAGTGGGCCGGGCGGCGCCGGGGAGCGGCGGTGGCGCTATATTATCAGACAGCCGCGGTGCTTTTTCACAATCTTACTCAGAAACATCGAAAATGCAACTGCAAGTAAGATGGCATACAGATAAAGCAGTTATATGTTTTCCTCACTTGTCTTTATTTTGATAGTAGTCATCACTGCCCATAATTTTTCGATAATTTCCAGTCTAGCATGCAGTTACATGCTTGCTCATTCTTCGTGATATACCCATGCATCATTCAGCCTGCATTTCTTACTCGTGCCTCGCCCCGCAGGCACCATCATCAGTATCGCCTTCTTCAACTTCGCCGGCATTTCTGTGACCAAGGAGATTAACGCCACGACGCGGATGGTGCTGGACTCTGTGCGTACGCTGGTCATCTACCTGGTGTCGCTGGCACTCGGCTGGCAGGACTTCCAGTACCTGCAGGTAAGATACAGAGGGGTGGCGTGGCGGCAGGCCTTCCAGTACCTGCAGGTAAGACAAAGAGAGACTACGGGTCAGCTGGCAGGGCGTCTAGTACCTGCAGGCTACACGGCTATAGAAAGATCCGGCGATCGGCCTTTCTATCTTTCACCATCCGTCCTCTCTTTCCATCCTTTCATCTGTCCTGCGGAGTTGCTTGTTTTCTTTATCTTCTCACTGGCCTTTTTTTTCTTTTTCGTTATCCATTGATTTAAGCCTTGGATATCTAGTTAGCTAAGAAATATTGGCTTAGGTACTGTGTTTGTAGTTATGGCGATTTTGATGGATTAGCTGACACAAAATCCAGCAAGAGTATCAATTTATCAATTGGGAAAGACAGCTGATGTAATGCATACGTTTATACATTTATTTCATGCAACCATTTTGTCCTTGTTCACTCAAGCTGGTGCTCAAATCTGCTAGTCGTGTTATACCTCACCACTTCCGGGCCCGACGAGTGAGCGCACGACTGACGAGTGTCCCCCCCCCCTCCCCCCTCCCCGGCAGCCGATCGGCTTCGTCATCCTGCTGATCGGCATGTCCGTCTACAACGACGTCATCATCACGCCGTTCATGCGCGAGCGCGGCTGGATTGCCGGTGAGAGCGGCGCTCCGGGCGGTGAGGCGCCGCCGCCGCCGGCCGGTGACTCGGAGGACGCCGGGTCGGAGGGGTCGGACGGGTCAGACGACCGGCCGCTGCTCTCTGACGCCGAGCCGCCGGCCGTCGACGGCCCCAACGGCGGCGGCGGCCTGAGGGTGTAGCGGCTCAGGGAGGGAGGGAGGGAGGGGGATCCATTACCGGCTGGCGGGCGTCGGCTGTCCCCTGCATGCCATGGTCCGTGTGTCAGGTCCTGTCGGGAGTGTCAGTTGGTGTCATTCCGTGTCATATCGTGTCGGCTTGTGTCACCTCCCATCGGTGCAGCCCAGTGATACTGGGAAGCCGCAAGAGTCAGCCAGACCGGCCGCTCGGCTCCGTCAGAGGGAGGTATCACACCTCCCGGCCGGCTGTCGGGTGTCTGGTGTTGTCCGGGCCTATGTCTGTTGGTCGTCCTCAGAACGTCGCAGTGGGCTGGGACGGCGGGAAGTGGCTGAGACGCAGTTCGCTAGGGCAGTGGGAAGTCGGGAGTGGCGTCCGGGACTGTAAGGCGTTTGTCAGCGTGATGTCATTGTCATTAAGCGTCTATCATCAGCCGTGGCGAAGTTTGAAAACGGAAAGGTAGCACTGCTGATTAGCTCGAATCCATGGCCATTGACCAGTGGGGCACGGCCGTTCTCCAGTGATGACGTCACACCTCCAGCAGACTTCAATGCCAAAGATCGGTGGTTTGGTCAGCCGTGCAAACGCCAATGGGATCTGCTCTGTAGGGCTTCTCTCTTAGCATTGATTGTTGAATTGGGCTGTGAGGGGTAAAATTGTCCAAGGAAGTGAAGACTGATGAATGGCGTGACGCATCCATTTCAAAAGTGCCCATATATTATTGGAACACCCATTTTCAAGGGTTGATACTGTAGGGTGATCAATTGCCCAATTGTGTCGTTAAAGTGGTATGAGAAATTGACAGTCTTGTTTGCCTGCTGTCACCTGATCAAAATCTCAAGTGAGCGTTTCTTTCAAGTATAGTATCTGACCTATTGTGAGTATCTATGAAAATGATCTGTAGTATTTTCGTCAAAACTACCTGACATGGTAGGGAAAGGTATTAGCAGTATTTTTTTTTTTGTCATTACTCTACCTGGCTTTGATAGTGATACCCAGTGCCCAAACTCGAGCCCATATTCTCGCATTTACACAGACCTCATCTATATTCATTCTCTAGGTAGGCCTTTAAACGTAGTGTAATTGTAGAGTGTAGATTAAGATAAATTCATCGTATTTATGCCACACTTGTGTTATTTCACCTGCTATTGGGGTTCGCGTTATTTGCATTACATGTAGAAGCGTGAGTGTTTCGTTCGCTGGCGCTCCAACGCCAGTTAAGTGTGAGTGTGCAGCATACCCATCAAAACACAATTTATCATGTGCTATTCCTTGTTGTGAAAAAAAAATGAATAAAGGACATCTTTTGTAACGGTTTACTTCTAAATGGCTTCCGTCGCTTGATCGATAATTGAGATGAGGGTACGTATTGTGAAGTGGTGTGCGTTTCTTTAATCGTGTATGTCCTCGCTCGTAGACTCTTCCCTCTTCATTACTAATCCTTTTCCGAATGTCCGTTCCTCAGAGTCAACCCCAGAGGATGTTCCTCTCCTACCCTGAGCTGCGGAGGCGGGCTCATCTCTCCGCTGCCTGTCGGCAATCGCCGGAACCTCAGCTTGTGTGATCCTCCGCTACGATCGCACGGCGCTACAGTCGTCCGGGCCCAACCGCAAGGACACTGCTCCGAAGATAAAGAACGAATTGTGCGATGCCGATTATAGAATATTTTCTTCTTTAGAAAAGTTTATCGTTAAGGTGTGTGTCAGTATATTATATGAATGATCTCCCCAGAAATTTATCATCGTTATAAGTTGTAGTCTCATATTGAGGCTTACTTTTGACAAAATACATAAACAGGTTTATTTTTATGCAGTGTGCAGGTGGTAAATTGCGCGATTTGACGCTGAAAAGGATTGGGAAAACTGTTACTGTGAGTCATCTGACAATTGCCGACCCAAAGGCAAGCCCCACCGACGGTAAGTCTGTTATTTGTTATTTGCCTTTTGTTTTTGTTTGTTTGCCGTCCATTCAGGGAAGCTTTTGTGCGTCAACAGGCAATGCTAATGGTGATGTCTGCTTCTGCTTTGTCAAGCAAAACGGGGACGTGCTAGAAGTTCCAGTTACTTAGATTTAGGAATTCTAGTGGGCAGCAAAAATTTAATGTTTGGTTGTTCGAACCTTAATGTAAGAGCTCACGGTCCATCCTACAAGACATGGTTACATAAGCCGAATGAGTTCATGTATTTATCACGATATGTCATGCTTGTTTAGTACAGACTGAGAGTCGCTCATTGACCTTTACCCGTAGCCGTGGTGTATGTTCCGTTTCTGACCGGCGTTTGTGCCCCCAGCTGACCCGGAGGAGAGCGAACCCCCGAAGGACGACTCGCAGGAGGAGCTGGCGGCCTCCGGACCGGACGATGACGCCGCAGTGTCCACATAGATACTCCATGGGGACAGTAAGCGTCCACAGTGGACATCGTGTCCACACAGAGCAGGCTGTCCACCTGGGGGCAGCTGTCCCAATATCCACACTGGGCGGCGCTGTCCTATACAGGGGTCAGCGCCGGTACGCAGGGGCCAATGCTCGTCCCCTTGGTGACACTGCATGGGCTGGTCTGGCAGGGTGTGTGGATATGTGAAGTGAATTCTGTGGGCGAAAGGTGGCAGCTCAGAGTGCGGTGTCTATCTGAATGGATTTCAGATGATATTAGCGTTTGTTGAAATTTTGCACCCACTGGTTGACAGTTATGTTGTTTGTTTTCAATTACATTAAAGGATAATTTCTTTCAAGAGCTGTTATTAGTAAGTGCTCTGTTGGCCAGTTTTCGTATGTTGTGAAAGACTAAAGTGACATTGAAAGCGTCGCTGATAGTAAAAGAAGTTGAAACTGTGGTGTGATAAGATTGCGCTAACGTAAAAAGCTTGTTTGGTGCCTGTTTGGCTTTTGCTTGTCAGCACTATCGTCAGGATCTGAAGCCAAAAGGGCTTCGAAAACTCGTCGATGCAGAGTATTGCTGTTCGATCGTTGAATTAACGGATCGGCCGAATTGGTTTCCAGTGGTGTGGTCTTCCAGAGGGAGACCGAGAATGGGATACTTTAGGTTTGAATAGGATGTCGAGATGCCGTGCTTTTCTCGAGCGTCATGGCATCAAGGAATAGCGCCTATTTGATATCGTGATTGCCGCCTTTAATTCACATTGACCTTATCGTCGAATTCTACCGGTATTTGAGGAAATTCATTATTTAGGATTTTGTGCAATACAATAATGTGGACTTACATGAGATTTGAGGTGAATACTGATGGGAGCTAACTGTCTGTTGGTGAGTGTCTATTACGGCAGTGAGTTGCCACAGCTCTGTCTGGGAATCATTGCGGAGATATGGCTCATCTGATGGCAGTCTTACCACCGCCACAGGAGTACTGACTTATTACCTTCGGCACCTCAGCACCTCACGTACCGGGGGCCGCGCCCTTGACTCTGCGCCCCTCCTAATAGTGCATGTATCGGGGTAAGTGTGCCGGCCGCTCCCCGGCCTGCACAGGCGCCACGTGCACTGCACGAGACCGGCTACAGCCGGCGTCTGCAGCCAGTGTCGCACGCCGCTGCTTAGCCGAGCTGGCGCCGAAAGGGAAAGCGGTCGGTCCGTGTTGTGAACTCCAATGTCACGGTCGACTCGGGGACCCTGTCGGAGCCTTGTCTGTTGTCCGAGTGAATTATGGGTGACCTTGTCGGAGCGGTCAGCGGCCGCTGGAGGGCCTAAAATGAGGAGAGGGGTGTCATCGGATCGCCCCCAAGATGGTATTGAAAACCTTTTTGACATAGTACGACAGCTTGAAGTCACTGCTATAAAGATTATTTTTGCAAAAGTCCTTCGTCGGTTTTATCAGCTGTTGGATGCGACCTATCCTGCAGTTTACCAGATATCACCTGCCCTGCAGTCCTGCATGGATAAGCTGTCCCTCAGCTGTGACCTGTCGTTTAGCCGTGTCCTGTCCTGCAGTCCTGCAGCTATGGTGTCGTTGCGCCACCGTCTGCGGCGGCAGATAGATGGCCGGCGGACGGCCGCGGTTGCATCAGGCCGGTACGCGCTGGAATGTCGACCCGACTCGGCCCGTTGTGGGTGTGTCCCTCCCTCAGCGGGACGGCTGACACCGTGACCCAACGGAGACAACGCCGGTCGGCCGGCCGGCTCCGGGTCATCCCGACCGCGTCCTTCGGCCCTCTGACCGCGAGCTGGGTGCCAATTCCAGCTCCGAGTCGGGGTCACTCCCAACTCCGAGCCGGGGCCAGTCCAGCTTCGACCTCTGAGCCGCCTGTCCGAGCTCGGGTCACTCCAGCTCAGAGCCGCGGTCAGTCCCAACTCCCAGCTCCGAGCTGGCCTCGAGTCTTGGTCGGCCAGTGTCGTCAGTCAGCGAGTGTATGAGAGTCATCTCCCTGATCCATGCCTGTCAGTCTGTCTAACTACTGTGTCTACGTAGTCCGTCAGCGGCTCAATGTCACAGTGTTGGCTAACACGGCGACGTCCATCCCGCCGTCGCTCCCCCTCACCCCTTGCATTCCCCGCTGACGTTCCGCGGCTGATGATGTCTTTAATTATGACGTCGGCGACGTCTCTGCTGAAGACGGTGGCTGGCAGTGCCGAGATGGATTTCATCTGTCTTTAACTCGGGGATAGGATCACGATGTAATCTTGGTGTGGCTCGCTTCTGTCCTAATCTGATTAGGTATGATTTAAGCACGTACTGTCGAGATTTTTAGGTCGACGTGGGCGCTCATGCATAGCTCTGAATCGTGTGTCGTGAGTCTGCGGTGACTATCTTTGTCAGCTAGTTTCTCTTTCACCTTGGTTTGTGGTAATGACCGCTGATTCGGTTCGCATTTCATTCGCTAAACCTTTACGACTCAGTAAATGTGGTGGGTAGTTTAGCGCTGCATTACTTCTGTAAAGCCATCTACTGGCATCTTGCTGAAATCTTCTTTAGCAAGACGCATTGTCTGTTTGACAGGATTTGTCTGTGTTGGTTGTATCATCTGATCCCAACCGTACAGTCTTTGGGAGGTCTGCCAAACAAACGAGTAGCACCTGGCTATTCGGTAACTTTTAGAGCCCTTATCGGTCGTCCCGTCTCCAACGATTGTTAGCGTTGTCTAATTAATTTTAATCTTCTTACCAGCTGATGTCAAGCAACATACGGGTTGCATTATCCATGTAATTATTTTGCATCGACATCAGAAGCATTTTAGATATAGGAGATAGTTTACTACGCATTAAGCGCCTACAAATAAGGACATGGACTCGTCGTCTGAGCGGTAGTTCGCATTCCTGAACAGAAAAATGATGAAATGTATAGCTTGATGAAATTCTTCATGAAAGGGATACCGGCTTACGCTCGATTGGCCACACGACCTGTGCAGATATGCTCTGTCGCTTTGAATCTGCTGATCCCTGTAGAGAAGCGTCCGATCACCTCTAAGTGAATCATCGGCCAAAGTCCCATCTCAATGTATCGTCAATTAAAAATGCCACCTTCCCAGGCGATAGATCCGTCAATGGTCTCACGCTAACCGCAGGCGGAAGCGGGCTCTGTGAGTCCCCCGTCACGACATTCCGGTGTGAGAGACCAGGGACTCGCATCTCGCTGCGGTCTGAGGTGCCAACCGTGAGGTCCGGGAGTGAATGTCCCACCTCTGTGTGGAATATCGACCATTAGGAGGGGGGGGGGGGGGGTACCTATCTAAACTGGGAGGTAGAGGTGCGGTCCAACGCCAATAGATCTGTCAGGATTCACTCCTTTCTGGCTGAACTAAGCATCTGCTAGCTTCAACATTGAGGGCACTGCAACCATGTGAAACAATGAAACAACGAACATCCGTAGACGAATTTATTACACATGAAAATTAACATCGATTCATATGCTATGTACGAGACATCTCGTAATTTCACAATACTTCACAAAACATGCACTATGACATGCTACTTACAAGCTACAATACAGTGTCATTCAGTTGGCACGGCCTCAATACCATGACTACGCACTTCTACACAATATCATATCGTATTATCACATATGAATCGCAATTCGCATGATTCACTTCATGGGATCCACGCGTTCCCAGGGCGCAACAAGGTACACTCGACAGCATAACGAGATAAAAAGAAAAGACGGTGCGGCGGACCCATATACAGCACGTTGGGGGGTGGTCGATGGTCATGTGACGCGACATATCTCTGGCGGGCACCCAATTATACACATTGATCGGTGCATTTTTCAGATACTTTTTATATTAGACTGTAAAGTCATATTTAAACCCAGGTATATTAATGATAATAAATCGTTTAGCGGACTGACTCTGGGTGTAAAGAAGCTATTTTTCCCTGTACTTCGACCTTTATTGACAGGTCTTCAAAGGGGCAATGCGATTCAAAAAAGCAAACAATAATCATGCTATACTGCCATCCACGCAATTCTCAAAATGATTGATGCTAAAACACGTGACACAACTTACAGACAGTTCGTACTCCAGTAGGTCTACTTTTTCAAAACACTATCCCATATAGGGCTAAGCGAGAACTTTCCGACACCCTGATTCAGTGATGGGTTGCATAATCGAATCTCGATGGCCTCCCTTACGACACGGCGGGACCATGTTGGCTCGACCGCCAGCGTGCTAGCCTGACCTGGGTCAAATGGTTGGCGACACTGGAGCCAGTGTTCAGCTAAGGGGGATGTGTCTGACCTCCCATGCTTTATGGCTGCTACGTGTTCTTTAAGTCGCATGCTTTTAGGACGCCCGGTCTCGCCAACATACGTGGCACCACAATCACAAGTAGTCTTGTAGATGACACCTTTTTGCAAATCCTTTGGTGGTACGTCCTTGGCTTTAACTAGTTTGTCCCGTTTGTCGTTTAACTAGTTAACTAGTTTGTCGTAAGGGAGGCCATCGAGATTCGATTATGCAACCCATCACTGAATCAGGGTGTCGGAAAGTTCTCGCTTAGCCCTATATGGGATAGTGTTTTGAAAAAGTAGACCTACTGGAGTACGAACTGTCTGTAAGTTGTGTCACGTGTTTTAGCATCAATCATTTTGAGAATTTCGTGGATGGCAGTATAGCATGATTATTGTTTGCTTTTTTGAATCGCATTGCCCCTTTGAAGACCTGTCAATAAAGGTCGAAGTACAGGGAAAAATAGCTTCTTTACACCCAGAGTCAGTCCGCTAAACGATTTATTATCAGATACTTTTTGTCGTCTACAGAGCTTATGACTGGGACCAGTGGTGGGGCTGTCAGATAGGCTGAGATTCGTGACCACAACTGACTGGGGGGACCTTGGTGTGTCACGGATGGGGCCGGCCGGACCATCTGTCTCTGAAGGTGTAACGTCATAAAACGTCAGTGATCCTGTTACGTGATTGTGACGCTGTGCTTATCAGTACATGTACCTACGGACCCGTGTAACTACTCACCTCAGTTACACGGGCTACCATCAACACATCAGTTGCAGACCCTCTAGTGCAAATGATGGCTACGGCATTATTAGCGGCTGCGAGCCTATCACAGGATCACCCAGCGAAGGGACAGCCCATTGTGAGACGAGCACCAGGCCGTACGACGCGAACATTTACCCTTTCACAGTCGTATTCACAGCTATCCCCGCTGAGCCATTGCCGACTGAGTGGAGAAGTGTCGGCTGGAAACAGTCCTGTGTTTTGAAGTTTATTGCCTGCGATCGGTGTCCTTGCGTTGGCTGATTCTGGTTTATGGGGCAGTCTGTGAGCGGGTATGCAAAGCAGCTGGAGCCAAGGTCTGTGCGGCCGGTTCCATGACCCGGGCGACGGTGCAGCCCAGGGGCTGTCTCCAGCCCCTCTGTGACAGTGGGGCTCAGGGGGCTGTCTCCGGTCCCCTCTGTGTCGCGGTTTCAGGGGCTGTCTCCGGCCCCGCTGTCCTCTGAATTCGGCGATCGACACACTGTTCCATGAAGAGGTCGAGGTCGATCACTGTGATCGATTCGGCGGCCGAGTTACTGGGGCTCTCCATCTCGCATATCTCGCTGCATTGCATTGACGACCGTCGAGTCACGTCGCAGCCCAAACAGGTCCACCAATGTGCCTTGATGCCGTCCCGGGTCACTTATCACACATAGTGCGTCTCTGGCATGCGGCTGCGGTTCTCAGAAGTGTCACGGTCGGCTCGCATGCTTCAGGTCGCTGCAGTCCGGACGCCGTATAACTCTTGTTTCGATCGGCTCTGGATGAGTCAGTTCCGGATGGCAATGCTGAGTAGCATACTCCCACGCACTATCACACAAGGTTAGCCACGGTCAGCGAGCGGCGGTTACCTTGGCGGCTGGGATGACCACTCCGTCTGGTCCGGTCTTTCTCTTGTCCTCTTCGCCTGAATTACGTTCTCTCAAGAACAGGTTCTGCTAATTAGAATGGTAACCACAGAGCAGTGCGCCTGCCGCCTCCACAATACCCCAGTGATAAGAGCCTCAGTCACCGGCCATTGTGACAGTCACTACCAGTCACCAGTCACATGCAGCAGGCGCCGGTATCCCTGCAGTCGGTGACGAGTGTCCTTGGATCCGGCGGCGCCGGTGCGTCGCTCCACTCCGGCGCCGGCACGGCGGAGGTCACTGCAGTGGTCACTGTGGTGGGACGGCCCGCACCGACCGGTCACCATCTCCGGTATGGCACTAATGGTAGAATGGCAGTCGTCAGTCGCACTGCACGGACAATCCAGCGATGGCAGTTACGCCGTCTGTCGTTCGGTCCAATCGCCAATCCTGCATCGTTCCAGCAATATTCGCTGGTTGACATGTGGAAGGTCGAGTGGAGTCGCGAAATCGCCAGTAGATCTTCAAAGCGCCTTATCCCCAGAGCGGCATTCCTGGCCCACGCCGGCCTGTTGGCGTCCCCGAGGACAGAGCAGTTGACGATGCTCCGGGACGGCTCGGGCCGCCGGGCAAGGATTAGCGGAATTCCAGCAGTAAATCACTAGACTCCGGCTGCCGTCCCTCGAAGGCAGCTCAGCAGTCCGACGGTCCTGTGCGCCACTGGGTTTGTCCCACGGACTGCCAGAGATAATGTGCTTGGAATCCGGCCTTTCCAAGCCTGCATCCAACCCATTTGGTCGATTTGGTATTTGCCGACATTATGTAAGCGCCGTCACTGTAGATTGTGTACGTCTTCTCTAAGATCGGTCGTTGGATGTCCTCTGTCCAGTTGGAGACTGCACAGTAACACCGTTCACTGTCGAAGATTGTTCATGTTAGTGTCTAGCTATTGGTTGGAAAGACACACCTAGCGTACAACTAACAACAGTTTCAACAGCCTCTGTTCTCCGCAGTCGGTCCACTGCACCATCGCTCCAGCCGCTGTACCCGTGCTCAGTCGCGCACTCCCGAGGCCCGCGACTGTCCACCCGTGTCCACGCAGCCTCTCTCAGACTGTCAGCTTTCAGAGTCAGAACAGCTGCTGCTACTGCTGGCTGTCGAAGTCTGTCCCTCTCTGAGCAGCTGTTGTCAGTTCGCACACAGAGCAGCTGTTCAGAGCAGCTGCTGCTGTTCGCTGTCGAAGTCGGCCGCCGCCCGCCAGGTGAGCAGTCGCGGCTGGCAGTGCGGCCGCACCCGCCGACCGGCTCCCAGCAGGCCCAGGGTGTCCAGCAGACAGCGCGCGAAGCGGCGCACGAACACGGTCTCCTCGGCGGTGCGGCGCTGCGCCGGGTCGTGGCACCGGCGCGGCCCCAGCAGGTGCGTCAGACCAAAGTCCTTGCACGTGATGTGGCCGTCGTCGTCACAGTCCTGCCGGCGGCAGAGAGACGTCAGTGGGTGATCACTGGTGACGTCCTACCACATCACGTCGGATTACACCGAAACAGAAGGTCCGGTGTCATATAGGCAGATACGTCGATCGTCAATCACTTCTACCAAAGCCTCGATCGGTTGTTGCGTCACATGCGACCTTCAGCCTAGACGCTGGGTGCAGCATTATCAAATGGTACGCGGCCTTTACATGATGCTGCTTGACGATATGCCAAACAAACGTGCAAAGTAGTTAGCCTCGTGATGCCCCCCCCCCCTCCCCGTCAACCGTCAGATTGTATCTCTCTACTAACCGACGTAGGGGAGAGTGGGGCAAAGCGGCCATCCGGGGCAAAGCGGCCACCCATCGTTTTAGCCCTTCATAGCTGGCGTCAGTTCCAATTTATGGTTTCCAATTATACTTCTCTTCACGGTCGTTCGAATGAGCCAGACCGGGGTTTCAGGCCCATCACCATTGTTCTGTGAAACACGGAAAAGCATTTCTTGCCAGGTTACCAACTATGTTTACAATTTTTAAATGTTATGTTATTCCATAACCGTTTGGAGTTTTTATAAGCGTTCTTGTCCATGCATTGCATGGTTATCGTACATGTATTCTACCAATTTTAATGTTTTTTACCCCACTAATAGCTCAGCTGGAATATTTTTGTCTCTGACGGTATGCGCGGGGCAAAGTGGCCGGGGCAAAGTGGCCACCCCCCAATTGGCCATAAGTTGCTTCCATCTGGATAAAAACATTATTTATATTCAAATGTGTCGTCATGCATTCATCTTGGCCACTTTTTAGTTGCATGAGTTACCAAATAATGCAATTAAATGTTTATTTTCATGAAAATCCTTTCTTTGTTTACCTACAGGTGGAAGATGATAAAGTAAACATCCATGCTCGCTTAACCTTGTCACCATCAAATACCCTAGTCGTACACGAGGCAACTATTTTGTTTCTCATATCGGGACTTGAGAAGACGCCGGTGGCCGCTTTGCCTCAGGGTATGAGGCAAAGTGGCCAATATGCATATGTTTAAAGTTTTGTCAATATCTTTCATATGTGAACGCATTTGGAAATAAAACGCAGTTGAAATAAAAGGCAACTTACTAGGGATCACATTGGTATAGAAAGAATCTTTCCAAGTTTAAAAATCAAGCGTTGGCATCGTGAGAAGCGTTAGGGTGGCCGCTTTGCCCCACTCTCCCCTATTACATTGGCTGCGGCTGCTAAATAACTTACCTTGCTAAGATCAGTTTCAGAGGATTGTCGTTATCGCAGATATCACTGTTTCTTTTACCTACTCCCGTCTCCCGGGCCAGCTAACACCTAGTGCAGCGATGTCACTCTCGATTAGGACAAGGCCAATTGCGAACTTCATCGCTTTTTGAAACGGACGGTTTGGAACGTCCATATGAGTTCAACGCATGGCTACTGATTTGACGGTCCGTCTCTGTTGACAAGCGTCTCCTGCCTCCATTAGTTGCTGAGGATTCAGGTATAAGTAAAGCCAACTTGGGTACAGGCTGGATGGTTGGATCGAGTTTATCCAGTAGTGCGCACACCGAACCGGGTGAACTCACCGTGGCGTGGCTGGCCATGTAGAGAGTGACCGCCTGGCCGGCGCAGTGACCGCCTGGCCGGCGCACCGGACCGGGTGAACTCACCGTGGCGTGGCTGGTCATGTAGAGAGTGACCGCCTGGCCGGCGCACCGGACCGGGTGAACTCACCGTGGCGTGGCTGGCCATGTAGAGAGTGACCGCCTGGCCGGCGCAGTCCACGTCCTGGGCACAGCCGAGGTAATCTGAAACACGGACACAGGTCAGTCAGAACAGCGAGGCACCACGTGAATCACGGGCACAGCGGAGGTGGTCTGAAACACGAACACACGCTAGTTGGTCCACCGAGAGCATGGCGGCACGCGAGCTCCCACACTTGTGACCACAAGCTCATGAGGATGACGAGTGGTTGAGCAATGCTGCATAGTGAGAGGATGACTGCTGGGCTAAGTCCAGGCATATTTGGAGTTGTGGTCAAACAATGCATGCATGTTATGCCGAGTTTTCCAATTACTGGAGTGTCTCAGTCCTCAGGCGATGGCTTATCCGGTGTGGAGGTTTCGAGGAGGAGGCTAGACGCTAAAGTCATTATTTTTCTGTACAAGCACATGCAATGCAACAGGCGTAAAATTTGTAATTTTGCGTGTCAAGAAGCGATAGTAAATCAACTTTTGATTGGCAAATCTTTCGCTCGAACCAATCTTGTTAACGGCATTTTCCTAAAAAGGCGGTGGACAAGATATTGCGCTGTCCCGAAGGTTTGACCAGCGAAAGGTTGATTTATCACCTGTGTACATATGCAGCAAAAGGCTACTTGCTGTTTCATGCAATATTCATATTTAATATGCTACAATTAGCAGATGCACTCAGCGTAGCTTCCTCTCCCTAATTACCCCGCCGTCGGTCTGCCGCGCTCCGCTCACCGAGCTGACTGAAGCGCTGTTCGGTGCTGACGTTGGACGCCCTCCAGAAGTGTTCGGTCATGTAGAAGGGGCCGCAGAAGGACCTGCCGCCCACCTCCCGGCACGGCGTGTTCAGGTCGCAGTCACTCGAGGCCACGCACAGGCAGGAGAGGCAGTACCGGTCGGGCATCACGGCTGGAACGGACAAACAGGCGGCACTGATCAACAGGGGCTCAGTGTCACCGGCGGCGGACGGGCGACTCCCATAGAGACAGGGCGGTGGCGAGAGCTGACAGTCCGATGCGCCTGGGGTTATGGAATGTACCCTGTGGTCTGGGTGCTGCTCATTTGACCAACTGATGTGCTAGGTACGGAATATCGCCGGGATAATGGCCATTGGCTCCTGAGCGGCCGGCGTACCCAACTTCTCACCTAAGCCGGACGTGCAGTGTGCTCTCGGGTCGTATAAACATTGGGCTGTGTTTATCCTAGCGCCAGTCATAATGTCAGTTATCGGTACGCAGGCCGTTTAGACGGGATCAGCTACTTCTGGACTCATGATAGAAGTGAGCTAGCAAGTCGCACAACTTATAACGCTGCCACGAAAACAAAACAACCAAGCTCAGTGCTTACCAATATCCCGTGAGTCTACATCTAACAAACGCACGTCTTTTCGGACTAGTATAGCAAATAGCGATCCTTGCTATAGGCCCCGTCCCCGAGTCTCGCACTCACCGTTGCTATTCCCTGCCGCCGCTGCGGTGCCTGACACCACCACCAGCACAGCTCCGGCCGTCAGCAGCAGTGTGTGGCACGCCATGGTTTCTGGACAGACTGGGGACCGGACCGGCTACCGACACTGCACGCCGCCGACTGACGCACGCCGCACGGTCCATCTGCAGCGGGCAGGAGAGGAGCTGCCGCCCCCCCCCCCCCGTAGCCGAGCAGAGCCGACGGCAGCGGCGCCCGGCGGAGCGGGAGGGGGGGGGGGGATTACGCACCGGTGAGGTCGTGAGTGAATGAGTCAAGGCATGTGGGATCATAATGTCATATTTGTACCGTGTTGAAGTCATCCTGATGCGCCAACCGAATAGGTATTCGTAGACATAAAGCTGGTGGGAGGCAGCCATGAATCAAGGAACGCATAGAAACGATTCCCGAACTTAATGCACGATCAAAGTAACGCCTCCCAGCCCCCAGGATCGAATTTTACGAGCGCCGTCTGTGAATGCTGTTAGCATATTCATGTTCGCAAAGTCGCATTGTCTGGATGCCGTTCTTGCAGTGTTCGGCCACCCCGTCCGTTGAACAACCGGCCTCCATTGGCGGACAAATGCCCGTGACACGGCTCGAAAGGTGGGCCGCTGTATTGTGCGGTCGCGCCGGACAGGACTACATGGAAAACGCAGGAGATTATCCCCGGGTGGTTTGTTACTGCCGAAGTTGGATCATAGCCATTTGTTACGTTTTTTTTCTGGGGTAGGGGGTTGCAACGCATGTATCTCATCAATCACCCTCCGAGCTGGTGCCCTGAAATGTCAACATTTTTACCGCTGCAGCCGTTGATTGCCGGGAAGACACTGTATCCAGGTAGATCAAGGTCGATGCATCCTTTTAGACTAAGTGCCAAGCAGCTATGACGTTGTATTGAGCGGCCAGTGACAGGTACGGTTCGGACCCGAGGAATCTAATTAGGAATCAAAGCTGCGAACTTCTAGGAATCGAACCCGTATCTTCGGCGTTCAAGACATGAACGCTCTTCCTAAGCCACGGTACAGCATGTTTAATTGCAACTGCTTCTATGGCCAATTGACAATCCAGTCATTCATTGATGTCAGTGGGCGTGACCGTCACACATGAGAATGTGCACAAAGATAAAATGTATTTCCTTCTTGGAACGGACAAATGTGATGGCGGCGTGAAGCGGTGCACAGACCCGGTCCTCGCCGCCAACTGAAGCGTAACCAGCGACCCTCGCAGGATCACAGCTCGGCGTCACAGACTCACGGCGCTCCACAGCCGGGCTCATGGCGCCGCCAGGTTCACTGGCACGTCAGGCACCCGGTCAGGTACACTAGTACCACACTCACAAGTACCACCGGCACTACACCGCGCCGGCCCGGGTCACCTCACATCGATGTCCCACGTCCGACACCGAACTGACGTCTCGAAAAGGTCGGACACGGGGCCTGGCGGCGGAATCTTCAACAGCAGCAGCAGCAGGATACACGGGAGCATCAACCCCGCACAGAGCCGTGGAATTGCGTCTCGCCCACCGGCCCAGCCGAATGCACAGGTTCCCCTAACCCCTCACACACACTCACACACAGAGGGCCGTGGGATTGAGTGTAGCTCATCCGCGGCCCAGCCCTGCGCATGCCGAGAGTCGTGGGATTGAGTGTCGCCCACCGACCCGCTGTGACGATGGACGGAACGGTGGGCAATTGGTAACCAGCTAGCGGCAAAGCCTAGTCCTTGTTGATCCTCTCTATTTCGTCCGCGTCTTCTACGTCCAATCGGTTGATTTTCCGACCTGTGAAGAAGTTAAATGTGATCAGAAGGACCAAAATATAAGGTTCATTCACTGCACACCGATTACTAACACATAATATAATTACACCTGATAACTCAGATAGGAAACAATTGATAGACCTAAGACAACGTACTATCAAACATGTCTGAATGGCCAAAATAGAAATGCCACCTCAGACAATACACTCTAACGTCTTAAAGCAAAGACGAGTTACTTCTCATTGCACGATGCGCATATCACATAGGACCCCGGCCCCAGCTCAGTCAGCCGCGGCCCGTACCGAAATGGTCGATGATCTGTTTGAGGACTGCGTGGGAGCGCCGGCCGTCCACCAGGTTGATGGCGATGCCGGCCTTGCCGAAGCGGCCGGTGCGCCCGATCCTGTGCAGGTAGGTCTCGCAGTCGGCCGAGCCCGTCTGGTCGACCGGCAGGTCAAAGTTGACCACGATGGTGACCTGTTCCACGTCAATACCTGGTGGACGACAGAGCGGGGTTATAAGTGAGCACTGGGAGGGAGGGGGGAGAGGGAGAGAGAGAGAGAGGCGCCTTTCTCCTCAGAATATTTGCTGATTGATGTTATGAGCGCCTCAATTATCAGTTCCCGCCCCACTTGACACACAGTAGCGCACACCGAGACACCAGAGCCCGACCTACGAAGTCCCCGCGTCCCCCCCCCCCCCCCCGGTGACTGACCGCGCGACAGCACGTTGGTGGTGATGAGGATCTTCTCCTTGCCGTCGCGGAAGCGGTCCAGCACGCTGATACGCTGCTCCACCGTCAGCTCGCCAGAGAGCAGCGCCACGCTGTGGCCGTCCGCGATCATCTTGTTGGCCAGCCACGAGGCAGTCCGCTTCGTCTGTGGTCAACAGGGGTGGTTAGGTGAGCTACACGGGTAGGTGAGGTTAGACGGTAGGAGGATGTCAGAATCGGTGATAGAAACACGCTGACAAGTAGCGACATCTGAGCTACGACCAAAGGCATAAAAACATCGCTTTGCAGGTGAGGAAGCATTGTCACCAGACCAGTGTTGACTGTGTCCCGTTCCAGAAATGATCCCCTCCTCATAACAACCTCCCTTCTGTGCCGCCCGTCCGACTCACGTGGCAGAAGATGATGGCCTGCCCGATGGTGATGACGCCGTAAATGTTTGAGATGGCCTGGTACTTTGACTCCTCCGACATACACTCCACGTAGTACTGCTTTATGTTGTCCAGACTCTCCTCCTCTCTGGCGGAGCAAATAGTTTGTCAAGGCTCTGGCAGTCCACCTACTCATACCATGTCAAATGCTAAAATAGGCCTCGCGGTATTGAAGTTGAGTAATACGTTAGCTCAATTTATTCTAGCTGACAATCCGCCAAAGCGTGTATTAACTACAGCAGAAAGTAAAGCGCAGTGCGACTCACCGTTTGAGTTTGATGATGACTGGATTTGAGACGATGGCTTCTGCAAAGTTCATCACCTCGCCGTTATACGTGGCCGAAAAGAACAGCATCTGACACGACTTCGGCACCATTCTGGGAAAAAGATCGAGGCGGAGGGTTTACATGTTATAGGGGTTACATGTCGCTATACATGTATAACGCTTAGAAACAGCCGCGAAAACATTCCGTGGACACCTAAAAGGCCGTGTAAACACGCGATCCGCAAAAAGCTCACTTGATCGCAGAACAAGTGTCAGTCTTCACTACAACTGACAATTTACTTAAGAGTCGCGCTAATCTCTCCTCAACCAGCCGTGTCTGACATTCAGAAAGCCTACAACTCTCCAATCACCCAGTCTCTATCGCTCACTGACTTGTGGATTCGGATGCTCTGGTCCTGGTGGCCCTGCAGTGAGATCATGACGTCCGCCTCGTCCAACACGAATACCGAGATCTTCTTGATGTCGAAGAAGCGGAACTTGATGCCCCAGTCGAGCACCTTTCCCGGCGTGCCGATGATGATGTGCTCATCCAGCTTGGCGCCGCGGGCCACTGTAGATGGACGAGTGGAGGGGGAGGGGGAAGGGTCGTGAGCGGGTTGGCGCTAAACAGCGCATCCTCTGGCACATAAACAAAAAACGAACCAACGAGCAGCGGCACTGGGAGCACATCAGCAAATGACGAGCTGAATCACAATAGCGAGAGTCGAGACACCGTATCGCACGTAGAGGGCGTGTAACGAATGCATATCGGCGCTATCCAACAGCATGCTCTACCCACAATACTGAGTTCCGCAGCTGCCCGCCCCCACGTCAGCCCACAGCCAGGGCGCCGTCCCATATCAGCCGGGAGGGAACAGGCAACGTACTCTCCTCTCCGCGGACGGCGTACTTGATCCGGATGTCGGGACAGTACTGGGCCATCCGCTGGCCACTACTAACACAGACCCCGGGGATAGAGCAGGTACTCACTCTCCTCTCCGCGGACGGCGTACTTGATCCGGATGTCGGGACAGTACTGGGCCATCCTCTGGGCCACGTCTCCCGTCTGCAGCGCCAGCTCGTACGTCGGAGACAGGCACAGAACCTGAGGACCATATGGGGCACGTCAGACCAATGAGAAACATAGGACAATATGCAGTCAACTGAGAGTCGAGGTCACAGTCACGCTTCGTTTCGGCTACACGTGTTTTAGTTTCCCACTCCTGTGACTGACCTGCGGGTAGTTTTTGGTGATGTCCACCCGGCTCAGCATGGCCAGGACGAAGGCGGCTGTTTTACCGGTTCCCGACTGCGATTGGGCAATCAGGTTCTGAGGCCTGCCAAACACAGAAACATAACATAATGTTTCAACGAAACATGTGGTGGGTTCGGTAACAAATGAAACAATAGAAAAAAAAACAGGGGCAGATACATCAGTTAAATGCACAATGCACATAGTATAGGCAGCTGGTGAACCGTTGACCCAAATCGTTGGCGAGATCGATCGTCATGGTATGTAGCGTGTCGCCTTTATCGAAATATGCCTTCACCAGTTAATAGCTCGAGTCACACACAGCCGGTTTCCGAGGGCCGGTGGACACTCACGGGTCAGCCAGCAGGATGGGTAGTGCCATCTCCTGAATCTTGGACGGAGCGTTGAATCCCATGGCGTACACCCCCTTCAGCAGTTCCGGACGACTGGCGGGCAAAGGAGAGGTGGATGGTCGGTCAGTTCACGTCGGGCAGAGCTGCAGGGGGAAGGCTTGTGATATTATTCCGTGCACTGCCACATTGAGCTCATGTACAAACAAATGCCAAATGTAATCTAGTTTAGGTCGAGCTACTACCATTTCACTACCAACTCCAAACTCTAGCACCACAGTACGGTTGTAGACACGAACAGTCGCACTCACAGGTTGAGCGCCTCGAACGACTTGACCGAGTAGAGCGGGGAGCTCGGGTCGGCCCGCTGCACCTCGATATCGTTCTTGTTGGTGATGAGGCCGGTGCGGATCACCTTCTGTAGCATGGACGCCTCGGCGGCCGAGTACGCGTCCTCGCTGGAGGCCGGCGCCGCGCCGTCCCCGGCCGCAGCAGCCGGGGCGGCGGCGGCAGTGGCGGCGGCAGTGGCAGTGCGAGCGGCCGGCGCACGCAGCGGGGCGGGGGCGGCGGCGGGCGCGGGGATTTTGGCGCCGCCCGAGCCATCGCCGGACCCAAGCGCCAGTCCGCCGACCTGTGCATGTAAGGATAGGTGTTAGCCTGGAACTTGCTGGGTGATAGATAAAATTTTTACACATTCTGGCCAACTATCACATTGCAGATGAGATAAAGTATGTGAACAGTAGGTATATGAAATTTCTTTGTTAGTTTTGGGCTGAACAGATCTGCCACAAACTAGATTTATTGATCACAAGAAGCATTTTCATTTTTTTTAACTAATATTTTACAGAATTTAATTTTTTAAGAACTGTTTTAATGGAAATGTTTCAAGTAAACGACTATATGTAGATACAATAGAACACCCGACAGAAATATTAAAGAGGCATTCAATACATAACAAAATATCTAATGCTCAAGTCAAGGAAGAAAATAAAACATTTAGTTTCTTCTCTACAACCAATGGAATGCATTAAATTCAAACTCACCCTTGAGGCTAGTGTTGACTCCTGCTTATCAGCAGATTGAGCCCAGTCACCAGGGAGTGACATTATGCCTGAAAAAGACAATACACTTTTTTGATATTTCAAAGATAATTTTCCTAGTGAAAACAAATGCAGCACTAGGTGCACCTATTACAAGGGTCGGCAGCCTCTAAAAACAGCTGTAGTTTGGATGAAACCTGCAGCATGTGGCATGCAGGCTTGACCAAATATATGAGATTAAAGGTAGTGTGCCAGCTTTCCTGGACCATATGGAGTTAATGGCCCAGATAAGGAGAACCGGATTTTTAGAACTTATCCATACCTTCAAAACTCATGGAAACGTCTTAAATTCTTCAAATTTTGAGTACCCCAGTGCGAAATTCGCCCCGACGGGTTGTCGGTCGTACCCCAACCACATTTCACGCCACTATGAACAATAAATGCACACACTGAAATCGCTATTACCGATAGGCTCATCCAATCAAGTTTCGATAAACCCGTTCATCATCATCTCCTGCGGTTTCGAACACGCCTGTTAGGTGGTGCGGTAGACCGCGCCCAAAGCCAGGGCCCCGGTAACGTGAGGTAGCCGAGTCGGGGCAGCGTGCGCTGACCCAAGCCGGGGCCGCGCGTCCTCCCGGTGTCATGTGATAGCCCGGGGCTGCCCGCGGGGATGCGGTAGACCGCGCCCAAAGCCGCGGCCCCGGCTTGGGTCAGCGCACGCTGCCCCGAGTCGGCTACCTCACGTTACCGGGGCCCTGGCTTTGGGCGCGGCTTCTGCTCATACTTTGTGGTGCGGTGGTGGTGCGTCGGGCCGCGCGCTCTGACTTCGGCCAAGAAAAATGCGTCAGCTGATCATTGTCATTTCTGCCACTTGCGTGTGGTGAAATGGGGTCATAACTTTAGAGACGGCTGCTTCATATTAATTATTTTACATAAAATAATATTTCAAACCATAAATTAATGTTCGACAGCCATATTAAAGAAACAATACCAATACAGGTTTACAGTTTAAGTTCGACATTGTGTTGTCTACGATTAGACAGCTGATAACTCATTTCCGTACGTCGTAACTCTATAATGACCTTTGCTTATTGTCACATGTGCGCCGCATTCGCGATTGTTGCCGACAGGTTGCCGACGCCTGTTTGCAGGTCAGCCCACTAGTTGTTATACATATCGAAAAACCGATAAACTTTTAGGCGAAAAAGCACTATTCCAGGCCCATTTTTGTTTTTTTTTGCGATATTAGGTAAAAACAGAAGCTTCTAATCCTAGGAAAAATAAAATGGGAAATCTTTTAAAGGTGGCACACTACCTTTAACAGTAGCAATACTTGATGGACATGATTCAAAAACACTATTTCAAGACACAAGAGTAAAATTTATGGTGGGCGTCAGGGAGAGGTGGCCTGAAGGTGCGCACTTGGAGATAGCAACATGAATGACCACCAACAATCAACATAAGGTATGGGTTGCTTCGAGGTGATCCCTGGCAGTAGCGGCAGAACACCTTCAATTAAAGGGGGCACTGCCGACTTTTGGTCCCATTCTTTCCATGCAACAGCCATAGGGCAATTGTTAAAATACCAAAATCAAAGGGGGGCATGGTGCCCCAGTGCCCTCCCCGTTCCGCCGCCTATGATCCCTGGGCTTTGTTGTGCTACGTAATAAGTAGGTATGTCATGAAATCTGAACATACCGACCTACACTTTTGGATAACTGACAAGCTGTGCCATTTGACAGCCTTCGTCATCGTGGTGTTTTGAAACCTGCCACGAGCCAGTTCTTAGGAGCACCTCACAAACTACTAGCCACTAGGTATGGATAAAAAAGTTATAAGCTAATTGGTGGGAAAATAAAACTCTAGCAACTCACCTACTGTTAAGGAAGAAGAACTTAATACTCTGCAGAAATATGGAAACTTCCGATTCGCACAATCAAAGCACGAGGAACTTGCGCAGAACCTCTCCAAAATATGACTCACGAAGGAATTCGTGAGGGGATCGATCGTGAATCACGAGGAAGTGAGGCATAAATGGCGCTGAAGTTCCAATTGTATGAAGGAAAATATGTTCTTGAATAATTTTCACGAAAGCATTTATAGATTACCTACGGATGTTTGCTTTGTGAATCATATTTGAACAAACCCAAATATGAGTTGTAATTATGATGAATCAATTTAAGGCAATTACACAAAATCATAATAAAAGAAAAACACTTCGGTGCGAAGCAGGCTTTCTCTACCAGAAAGGATTATCCGGGAAATCCCTACCAGGCTCAAATATGGCAGCAATTCACGTAAACAAACTATTTTTTGCATTGAAGAGCCGCGGAGTTTGAAATGGAAAAATTGAAAAGGTTTATCCGTCCGAGACTCCGTCCTGTTATTATAGTTTTAATCGTATAGTTGAAGTAGTATATTTATAGTTTCGTTGTATCTAGATGTGTAGGCTCGGTGGCTCGGGGCATATGACTCAGACTGGGTTATCATTACGGGTAGATCGTGATACCCTGATTGTTAGGTAGGTATCGACCGCAGAATGCAGATTGGAGGTGCCGTGAATCACATCGTGAACTCACTGAGATTGAGATAAGATCTTGATTGTGCTCCGTTATTGATCGAAGCATTAAGATCCTGGGTTTTGCCACAAATCCATACCATACTGTGCAATATTTTGATTGTATGATTGCCAGAGCCATTACGGGGTTTGCCAGCTCCGATGTTTCGCTGAGACGCCCTCGAATTTTAAGGCCTTCAAAATGAGGAGTAGAAGTTTCCATCACATTTTGATCTACCGTGACGTGATCATCGGTCATTGAAACCAAGGTAAGCGCTGTGAACGGACTATTCTCATAATGCCCGACTCAAACTCTAGCTCTTATTGGTTATTTGAAAGCCAGTTCAAGTTTACCCCTTATCCCCCAATGACGAACTTTATCAGTGTGTCGTCTGGGCATGATGCTATTTTCGTGATGGAACTTTGTGTTTCCTTTCAATATTGGCATATCTATGCCCAAAATACTGTTCAGACTCTCGGGCTAAAAATTGTATTGCAACATGTAGGAACCCATTACTTTTCAGACGAGAGTGGCGATGTGGAACGAAAACTCCGGATCTCTCCCTGATCCGGACACCCTAATCCAGTTTCTCCTCACGCCGATGAACAAAACTGGCGCCGAAGAAACGGTGCCGAAGAAAAATGAATCAAAGGTATGATATCTGAAAGGCTAGACACACTGCAATGGATTGGCGGTAGCCGGTAGAAGGATGAAAACCGTTTCTATTATTTCAGTGCGACATTCATAGGTTTGTCCCGTAGCTCAGTTGGTGGAACGTTGCGCATCTGATGTGGAGCAGTGTCGGACCGCTGTGTGTCGTCTGATGTGGAGCAGTGTCGGTCAGTGGACCGCTGCCGCCGGCAGGGGGACGAGTCCGGCGGCTCGACTCCGGCGCCGGCCCCCGCGCCTCCGCCGGCCGCCGAGTCGGACGACTGTGTGCGCAGTCGGATCCAGCGGCTGGAGCGGCAGCTGGAGGCCATCCGCGCCTCGCAGCAGGCGGCCGCCTCCCGGTCACCCTCGCCGCCCGTCCGCGAGAAACGGGTCACGTTCGCAGGTCAGTCGGCTGAGCCCGGCGACGGTCACCGTCGCCGGGACCGTAAAGTGACGATAAATGAGGGTAGGGTGGCCACTGGCCCCGTAACGATCGGCGTATGTACAGCCCACCGCTAAAGTAATGTGTGGTTTTACCAATCTCAACGGATGGCTTTGACCGACGATTTTTAAATACGGACTGATTGAAAAGAAGACGTCAATAGATAAAGTTGTAGCTGCAAGGGTGAAGATGCATGTAAGCTACATTTCAAGTCTCGTTGCAGTCTGGCTAATCGTTCCTAGGCTTCAGAAGCAGAACATACCCATGACTGAAACCACACATTACTTCTGCTGTGGACTGTACGTTAGGCGATGATGGTGTGATCCGGGTACGGCATAACTATCGTTGACTGTTAAATGCTTGGCCTGTTGATTATTCTGCCACTGTTTCACGACGTACCGCCAGTGAGTAACAGCGAGCGGTCGGCCTCGGAGTCGGAGGCTGACACGGCCGCCGGCGACGTCCACTCGGACCCGGACGTCATGGCCATGCTCACACCGCAGGCCTGCAAACTCTGCTCCGCCTACGCTCAGGTAAATACTGCCGCAGGCCTGTAAACTGATCCGCGCACGCACAGGTGAACGGGAGGGGGCAGCGGGCGCTAAGTACAGATCCATACATCGGGGAGATACGGCTGCAACATATGGGCTGAAAGACTGAAGTGACAATTAGTTTGAAGAGCAAGCTGTCTGATGATTTTTTTTTCGTAGCTTTGATCCAGCTGCTGCTACGGGCCGTACAATTACGAGAATTCTAGCCCTAATTGTGCTCCATCACTATGGCCGATAACCCATCTCCCGAACCATAATCGCCACGTCCTCCCGCACCTCGCACGTCGCCCTCCCTTCCTCCTCCTACCAGCGTTACCGGGAAGAGCAGCGGGAGCGGGTCAAACAGGAGGTCACCTCGGCCACCCTGGGCCAGGCGCTCTGTGCTGCAGAGGCAGAGAGGGACAAACTCAAGGCCGGCCTCGGACATATACAGGTCAGCGACACGGGAATCGCCCGGGGAACGGAATGTGATGCTTCATTATGCCGTGCTGTTCGCCCGTGCTCTTAATTTTTTGCTGTAACTACAGTAAAAAGCATTGCTCAAAGTTTTCAATTATAAGTCATTTTTATTAAGCCACGTTAAAAAAGACGGTAAGGAATCGGGAGACGTTGAATAGTTCCCTGTAATACGCTAAAATAATAGGTATCCCATGTAAGCCTATGTGACATCAACGGCCCATATTCAGTTACGTCCATCGCACCGTGTCTGCTATCACCGATAGCTTATGAGCGACACCCGGTGTGATCCGCAGAACGAGATACAGCGTATGAAGGAGGAGACGGTGCGGCTGGAGGGGAGCCGGGACAAGACGGTCCGGGAGCTGCGCAGATCTGAGGTAGGGACGTCGGGCTGGGCCTGATCATGGGCTGCGTTATGGGAAGGTGCCGTCCCGTAACAGGGAATAGGTATCGCAAACGGTACCAGATTAATTTATCGATGGAGTCGTTGACACTTACATAGATAACGTCAGGAGGACCGCAGTGACCTGCAGTTGAAGCTGAAGGTGATGTCCGAGTGTGTGACGTCATTACTGACTTGTGTGACGTCATTACTGACTTGTGTGACGTCATTACTGACCTGTGTGACGTTATTACTGACCTGTGTGACGTCAGGAGGACCGCAGCGACCTGCAGCTGAAGCTGAAGGTGATGTCGGAGTGTGTGACGTCATTACTGACCTATATGACGTCAGGAGGACCGCAGCGACCTGCAGCTGAAGCTGAAGGTGATGTCCGAGTGTGTCCGTAAGCGGGACCTGGAGCTGTCCATCCAGCGGCAGGCGCTGGACGACCGGGACCGACGCATGAAGGACGCACAGAGCGAGGGACACGCGGTCAGTGGACGGATAATTGCCGGTGCCATGCGCGGGAACTGGAGGTGGGGAAAGGCAACATCCTTAGTCTGACCTATAGAGTATCTCCAGCACAGGCGAACTGATGTCCTGTTGAAATGATTTTTAGGTTGCTTCTGAAGTTGCACACTTTATTTCGTAACATTAAACGAAAAAAAGCGAATAGGACTTATAAATTTCCGCTCTGGACCTCCCATACGAATAATACCAAAACTGTAGAGTAGATGGTACGAAAGATATAGACATATGCGGACCTGATATTCCCGCGGCTGTAAATAAGTATGTTTGCATTTTCAGACGACCAACAAGCTGCTGGTGGCTCAGGAGCAGCTGCAGCAGCTGAAGGCAGAACACGCGGCGCAGACGCAGAAAATCACCGAGCTCAAGGACCTGCTGGCAGAGCGGGAGAAACAACACATGGCCGAGATGAAGAAAAAGTGAGCGGGCTCTCCGTTGGAGCCAGGAATCAGCTGCAGACCATAATGGGCGCCGGTGCCTGGGGCAGTCAGGATGAGAATCGTCATCCTTATCACTACAAACTCGACCGTGCTGATCCTCTCGTAACCATTCCTTGTCCCATGTCTGCCGTCACGCATCCGTTCTCAAAGACGCACCAACTTTCCCGGGTCATGCTGTTGAACCCTCACCTTATGAACGTAACTTAACTTTAATATGCAGCACTTTTTAACAGCCATTTTCTCCTTCGCTTCATGTTTCTGGAGCAGACAGTCTCTGGCCCACTTCTTTACCACGCACCCGCTGACCTCTCCCTTCCTCCTCTCCCTCTGACCGTTCGCCGCCACAGGCACTGCGCAGTGCGCTGATAACCGGCCGTGACCACCATCTCCCCTCCTTCCTACTCTGCCTTCCCCCCTCATCCTGTCCCCTCCCCCTTTGACCGGCTGCCGCCACAGGCACTGCGCCGATAACCCGGCCGTCCAGAAACTGATCATCAAGGCGGCAGACGAGGCCCGCACTGCCGCCCTGAAGGAGGCGGCCGCCGCCCGGACCAAGGCGGAGCGGGAGACCGCCCAGCTGAGGAAGGACAACGAGAGGATGACCGCCGCGCTGGCAAAGTTCAAGGAGAGGTGCGGGACGGGGGCGAAGGGCCGGGGGACTTATCGCTAACTGCTGCTTCACAAAGCATTTTATTTCGAACTGAGAGTGTGCGATGCGCCGAAATACGGTAGAGGTTATACGTTCCGTGCATGTTTTTACGTTCAGTGCACAAACATCAGGTGGTTTTACAGGCTAATCGATCAGGCTAACAGATCAGTTTGCGCACTGGAGCAGTCAGCTACGCTCAGAAATGTTTTATCTCTTCAGGACTGAACTGTGCGCGTCCTTATCAGGTTCACGGAGCTGGCAGACGACAAGTCGGCGGCGCTGGAGAAGATGGAGCGACAGAAGCGACAGCTGGACGAGGCAGCCGTCGCCGACAAACAAAAGGACCAGAAAATCGGCGAACTTAATCAGTCAGTACAGTCCGGAAACACCCGTAAAGCATGTTGGGATATCCTAACGCGTGATTCAAGCACTAGGAAAACCACGCGGAACTCGACAGTGTCAATTAATGAATTTGTTCTCCTTACCTTTATTCTTGCAGAAACACTCAACACAACCAGAGTTAAGCTCAGCTAGTTTTTGCGTTTACATTTCTGAAGTTTACGCGGCCGAGTTTCCCAGTTTCAGTATGACAGTGACAGAACCCATCCCTCCCTGCAGGACGCTGAAGTCGGTACGGGAGGAGATTGAGAAGCTGGAGGCGCAGCGGAAGGCCGACCAGACGGCCCACAGCGCCGCCGTGGCCTTCCTCGAGAACAAGGTACGCTGGCGGCGGCTCGGAGCGGTGGAGAGCGCTGTGTGTGCCGGGGACCGAACGCGTCCCCTGGTCCGGCCGGCGGTGCTATGAGTGTTGTGTGGTGTGGTATGGGCGCAGATTGACTGGTCTTTGACGGATGTGATGTATCTCCTAACAGGTAAAACAGCAAACGGCAGCCCAAGACCTGATCGCCAAGGAGATAGCCGACGCCGAGCATGTCAAGAAACAGCTGGTGAGTAGCTGAGAAATGTAGTCGTGTAGTTGCAGATATTCTGACGTGCTGTTTGTTGCGCCAGGCCAGTCTCCAAAAGCCTATTGTTCGTAGGACGACCGACGGTACGTCCTTTTTGTGTGGGCTACCGGAAAAAAATGACGAAACAGACCCGTGAAACCCATCAATCCACTCATTGAATTGGTTCAATCGAGTCCAATTGAGTGACTAAACGGATGACTGATGAGCATGTAATCTGCAGTTCTACAATTCCCGCGCACCACCGAATAGCTGAGCTGGCTGGTCTGGCGACCTGTCCATCGCCGCTCAACGAACCGAACATTTATGTAATTTGACAGGAGAGGACAAACTAAACTAGGACCGGGAGAATCATTCGGTGTTGGCAATCCGCAATTCGGTACTGAGCTATCTTTGAAGTGATTATCAAGCTCGTTTCCCTAGGTTCAATCTCAGAGCTGAAACTCAAAACAGAGGCTCGTCTTTCGACAGCAAGTGTAAAATATGGGACCGTTTACAATGAACACGCTATAGGGTATACGATGCGTGTAGCACCTCTGACTCCGTCCCCGCCCGCTCAGGAGGAGGCGGAGAAGCGACTCTCGGAGGAGACGACGCTGCGCCGCGCCGGCGACGCGCGACTCTCCGTGCTGAAGAAGCAGCTGGACGAGATGACCGCCGAACACACGGCCGGACTCGGCAAGCTGCAGAAACAGCTGGAGGAGGCCAGGTGAGGTTCGGAGTCTGCCAGCCAAGGCTCACATTACCGTGGGAGACATTGACGAGTACTGATACTGGTCGCAATCGAACAGATAAATGATGGTTTTTCTTCGACTCACGGCCTGGAAAAGCGTTAAGACTCTTGCGTTATCGTATCCATATTTCAATCGTTCTACAGTCTACTGTAATTATAATCAAATAATGGGCAAATTGTCACGGTTGTACTTGATGGTGCGGCGATATGACGTGGAGATCTCAGGAAACCCGTACCGTCCCGGCTCCGGTAACCCGTCCCGTCCCGCCCTGACCGCGCTCCTCAGAGCCGAGCTGGCCAAGTCGAAGGAGGCGGTCGCCGCCAAGGAGAAGCAGGTGACGAGCGTCACCGACCAGCTGCGCCAGACCAAGCAGGCGGCGGCAGCGGCGGCGGCGGCCCACAACGCCTCCCGAGGCCGCGGGGACGCCTCCTCCGAGCTGGAGACCGAAAAACGCCGCAGCCACCGGCTTCAGGTAACCGGGACTGTAGATGGTAAACGGGGCGGTATACGGTATCGGGTATAGGGGACGGAATGCGGTAAACGGGACGTTATACGGTAAAGGGAACAATATACGGTAAAAGGGACGGTAGACGGTAAATGGGATGGAATGCTATACGGTATACGGGACGGGATACATCAAACGGAACGGGACACTGTAAAGTGACCGTAAATGTGTGTAATGACCTAAACAGAGCGACGGCACGTACCGGCTCAAACGGAACGGCGGTACGCAACTGCTAAAATCCGCGACTGCAACTGCGGTGCTCCTAAGGAGATCTGAAAAAAATGAAGGATAATTATTTAACACCCAAAAAAGTATTGCGTGCTCATTATTTGCTGAGCCCGTTAAAACGGCTGTCATTATCCCGTGTCGTTGCTCAGGTGGAGCTGGACCGTCTGACGGAGAACAAGGCGCAGCTCATCAGCCGGCTGGAGCACGCGGAGCGCGAGCTCGACCGGTGCGCCAAGAAGAACGAGGGCTGGTCCAAACTCTGGGAGGAGAAGGTCGAGCTCATCAGGAAACTCGAGAGCCAGGTAACCGGGGTGGTTGAGCGGTTGCTCAGCGATGCTCGAAGGGAGCTGTAAACAAAGGTGTTATATTGATCGAATTGTCCCTCCCGTTTGGTATTCTGTGAAGTCACCGGGGAATTTAGAATATAATCATTTATAACCGATCCACTACGCGCATTTGCATTACATCCTGCCGGCTGGACGTTCACGCGGTATCTTTTTAACAGTGCGACTGACCTCTGACTGTGTTTACTGACCTCTGTGACCCGACCCTGTATGACCTCTCGGTACCTTACAGGTGAAGATGGGCCGCTCCATGAACGATGACAAGGTGGTGAACCTGCGCCACGAGCGGGATCGGGCCATGGACCTGGCCAAACAGGCCGCCAAAAAACTGCAGGTGAGCGGACCTAGCGGCACCCAAGTCGGAACTCTTGTACTAGGTGCCATCCCGCCCGGGTCCACGTCTCCATAACCTTGCTGACACTTGACAGTCAGAATTACGGCATGTCATGAAGCCAGAATAGTTACGGAGCGAGCGAAGCGAGCGGAGTCTTACGTAGAATAACGGAAATTTCTGAGTATGAGCGGCCGGCCGGCCGGCCGGCCGTGGTCACGATTCTGCGACGCTTATATCTCAGCAACCACTTGACCGATTTACATGCGGTAATTTTTGTAGGGTAGCTTCATTCCTTCTACCAAGTATTGGACTATTCCCGATGCATGTGGGTGACCCCTTATGCACGTGCCACGTGCAAAACGAAGAGGTGACACTTTTGTAATTGTTGCAATATCTCGGTAACTACTTGGCCGATTGCGCTGAATGTTGGCATGAAGGTAGGCACCCACTAGGCACTGCATATCCATGTGCCAGAGTTGGGGTGCTGCTGCACGTGCGCACGTGCAGGGGTCGATTCCAGATCTCGAGAACGGCTGGACCGATGGCGCTCAAATTTGGTACAAGGCTAGGGACCGGTTAGTAGGGTGCCGTGCAAAAGTCAGTTGGGACCCATTTTGCACGTGCGCACCTGCAGGGTGCCGCTTCCAGATCTCGAGAACGGCTGGGCCGATTGTGCTCAAATTTGGCACATCGCTAGAGACCGGTTAGTAGGGTGCAGTGCACAAGTCAGCTGGAGGTACCCCCTCGAAATTTCGCACGTGCAAGGCTCACCCTCTCGCTCGCTCCGTTAGTCGCCCCAAAAGGCGTTATACTGGTGGTATGGGTGTAACTCGATTGCCCCACGTCATATCACGTAGATCACGTATCACGAGAGCGTAATTCTAAAGCGCTAGATACTAAGTAGTCCGACTTATTCTATTCAGCACAAGACTCCCTCGTTAGCGTAGATCTCCCAAACGGCAGTGTCGAGTTCCCGTCTGTTTACGTGACTCTGCGCCCCGGCAGACGCTGGACTCGGAGTACCAGGCCAAGATGGACGAAATGCACGCGCTGTTCGAGGCGCAGCTGGACGGTGTGCGCGCCGCAAAGGACCACGAGCTCAAAAAGAGCGCCGAACGGGTAACTACGCATCCTCTAATCTCACTGTCCGTGATTAGAGGATTGTCATTGAGGACTGTTTTGTAAAAAGTGAAGCATGCTGGTGGCGATCTCAGTCTACAAATTGATATCAGAACATCGAACATTTCCAGTTGGGACCTCTCTCACCTACTCCAGGTCAGTTTGTGATGATTGGAAATTCGATTAGTCACAATATTTTGATCAATCTAACCGATTCTCTGTCGTCCGGTGTCCGTCAGGTTCAGCAGATAGAGCAGATGCTTCGGGAGGTCTCTGCCGAGACGGCGGCCAGCCGCTCCTCGCTCGAGGACAAGATGCGGCGCATCCACCTCATCACTCAGAGTTTCGAGCCGTGACGTCTTCAGTCCGCCGCTCCGTCCGTCAGTCGGTGGCGCCCGTGGTAAATTGTCCGCGAGTACCCTAGTCTAATCCTAGTCTGATCTCTAGTCCAGTCTAGTCTAGTCTGTTATCTGTGTCGCTCATAGTTGTTAGCAGCCCGGCTTCGGGTCAATAAATCGCCAGTGTATAATGCGAATGTGGAGAAAGTTGTGCGTTTGTGTAAAGGGTTGACAGGTGGGTTGGGCCCCTTGGCTGGGTCTGACTCTGGAGGCCGGCTCACCGGGCACGCCGCTTGAGTCATTACGGATACCGCGACCCCATAGTAGCTCTGCTTTGGATGAGCAAAGTCAGACAAGCAAAGAATTTCCCTCTAGAAAAAGTATATTGCACGTATTCAGAGACCACTCCATAATAACCCGAGTTAGTTGGCACTTTGATGCGTTTCCATCACGCCGTGACGGCTTCATAATGGGTTGAGCTGGACACTGGCCTGGTTCTTGGTCCAATTATGGCATAATGGAATGCGGCGGCCAGGTATCGTCACAAGTGAGCCACCAAAAATGCCACAGACACTACCAGCTACTGACCGTTTTCAATATCGAAACCCAGCTAATAGGCATGGGAGTGTGTAAAATATCTTATCTGAAAGCGAGCTCATCATCCAAGGACGCATGTTAGGACGGAATATCAGTTTGTACATCAATGACACTTGGCAAACATTATACCACCACCGTATAAAATGGAAATACCTATCCTTCGGTCCTCTCCTACTTGAAGTAGAACCGAGACAATATGTATCGAAAGAAGTCAGCCTCATTCGTGATCCGAACTCACGATCGTCCCAAGTCCTGTCTCTACTACAGCGCAGGACGAGCGAAGTGACCTCCCTTGGAATGGCAGCTCATCCGTCCTCTGCTGCAGCCCGTCCCCAGTGGACCGACCTCCCCTCGGCTTACGATTTGGGCTCGTCCGTCTCGCCCCGCTGCAGTCTGCCGATCACCTCTCCCAGCATACGGTTACATAGGGCCGCGTACGGGTTCAGAGCCACCAACTGAAAAAACGGACACGGCGAATTAGTTAACCGTAAATCCATCGCAAAATGCGTCAGTGTTCCCACAAAGGCCCCAACGACAATTATTGGAAGTCATCAAATTTATGGCGGAAAAATACCAAGACAATGGAATTGAAAGACTCAAGCGAGGGGATACAAGTGCAGCATGTTATCAGGATCACTTAAGAGCAGCCAGATATTCATTATCCATATAAATTTTAGGCATCCCTCTTAGCAACGGAGCGGTCGGTGCCAGCGTCCTGCCGTACCTGCGTTTTGGCGAACCTGCTGCCGAGCGCGGCGGCGCGCCGGTAGTCGTCCAGCGCCCGCTCCTGCTGTCCGGCCAGCTGGTGTAGCTGACCGCGCTGGCACAGCGCCTGCCGGCCGGCCAGGCCGCGGCCGCCGCTCAGCTCCACGGCGCGGTCCGCGTCACTCAGCGCGTCTGAGGGGCAATACGGTAAAATGATTTCTTGTCACTGAACGCTTACGCGATTCGGATCACGGACGGTTGGCGAAACTGCTCGTCAAATCCGAGCCGCACAACAATGCTACACGGTCCGTGTCAAACACCGACAATCGCCGTCCGGCGCTCACCGTCGTTGCGGTGCATCAGCCTGTAGAGCTGGGCGCGGTTGTTGTACGGGGAGGGCCGCTGCGGCGCCGCGGAGACCGCCTCCGTCAGCAGGCGGAGCGCCGTCTGGTGGTCACCGGCCTCCGCGGCCTGGACGCCGTCCCGCTCCAGCTGCCGGGACCGGCGGCACTCGTCGCTCTCCGACTCGGCCGGCTCTGGGGGCGGGCGGGGGGGGGGGGGGCTGACAGATAGCACGGTGGAGGGGAAGGGGGCTGACAAGACACTACACACTTACACAGTGGACTGTTTTGTGTGTCTGTGGTCACTGAAACATTATTGGTTTGTGTGACCTTCCAGGTATACTATATTGAGGATCACAGCAAAGGCAAATAAAATTGCTTTCTCGGGATGAATACCAGCTGCAGGTAGAGCTCCCCTTTTCATCCCCAGCCTTGCAGAATGATTCAAAAGCACAACAAGCAAAGTTCTTCAACTCATCATGCAAGCTTATACAAATGTAGGTATACAGTTAGGTCTACACTATACAGTAGTAACTCTGACCTACCATCAGGATCGATACTCAGTATCTCCTCCTGAGGTGCCTCAAAGTTCATCACATCTCCCAGAGGCAGGCTGGGATCCAGAATGCTGTTCAACACTGCTCTGTCATGCTCAGTGGCCATCTTGGAATTGGAGAGAAAATCTGAAAAGAAAACTGGTAAGTGCAATAAAATGATTTTTTTCAAAAACAATTATAAATGCCTCATTTATATGTAATGACCCTTGGATTTGGACAAGCATAGTAAAATGTTTTAATGACAGGGGGAGGGGAAAAGTACACCCAAAACTGCTGACATTAACCCAGTTTACATAGCATATTTGACGAGGCTCTAGCTCGTTAATTTGGCGATAATTTCGTTGCAGTGGTCTTCAAATATTTAGAGGGGATCATTTTGTAAATTGTTAAGCACCATTGGCATCTTTTGCAACATCACGGACGGAGATAAAAGCTTGCAACAAACCCTATGTAGGTAACAGCGTCTATTGCAAGTCAAAGCAGCAATATGAATGTAAATTTAAAATTTAAAAACCTTAGCGAATTCAATATATGTTTTCAAGAACCAGACTCTAATGCCAAAATGAAATGAAATTCACTGCTCAGTCAGAAGTAGAACTCAACAGCATTTCTTGAAATACTGGACACACAGCTCTTACACATGCTTATTAGAATAGGAATAAAAGACGTACTGATTTGATATTGATAAATTTGTATTTGTATTGTATATTTTGTAAATATACAAATTTGTATTAAATTGTATATCTAATTGCAAATTTGTATATTTTTGCACTGATTTTCAGATGAACATTTCTGAATGAGCCGGAGCGTGCTGGAGCTTATTCGATTCCCATTTCCCAGCATAAACCAAAATGGTAGCCATGCCAAAATATGTAAAATGGTGGTTAAAAAATGCCTAAAATTATCCAAATTTGAATTACATGCCTATAAAACTGAAACGAATAAATCAGCCCACGCAAAAATGCGCCGAGCAAGGCCCTATATACCGCGCGCGTATATATCTTTCCCGAGCGAAAAAAGCAAACATTCCAGTTTTTTGGCGCTTTTGTTTCAATTGTGGTGGTTCTGTTCGAAGACCCATACAGATGGTGTTTGCGCAAAATTTCTAACGGAAAATTGCCTACTATTTAGTGTCGACAGCTGCATATTAACTTTTTGAACACGCCTCCAACACTGCTTGTTTATTGGCTGTCTGTGGTATTGGGCTGTGTTGCTGTATATACCGTGTGTTGCTGGGTGATTGTGATAATATTTTCATAATTAACCTTTTTATTCAGCGGTAGAGAATTCTGAAAATCCCAGGAGGTGCTACAAACCCCTAATTGTCCACCCCTGTTTTTTTATTTTAAGTTCCATCCAGTACCAGTAGGTATGAGTGTTTGTGGCAATGGAAGGTAGGTGAAACATTTCATTATTGTAATTTTAATCTTTTGAGACCTGAATTTCAACATTCTCTTGAGAGCCTGAGAGCATTCATGCCAAGGTTTCTGAGTCTGTTTCATGATAAAGAGACAATATTTATAATGGAGTCAACTTGTGGGTCAAGTCAGCGGAACTTGATAAATGAGTATGACATCACCTCTACGCCTGTCGCCTCCTGTATTGTAGTGATGGCAGGTTCAATGCTGAGTCTCAGAATAATAGCCAGCGAGCGTATACTGTTGTTTTGTATTTCTATGCCCGATCGGCCCTTATGTGTAATGTCTTGCATTTCTAAATATTGAACTGTAATGAATGAGACGCTGTAATGAGGAACTGTAATGAAAAGACTGCCTCAGACTGCCAGGTTCTATTTAACCAAATATGACTGCATGTCTGCTACAGAATGAAACACTGACAAACACTGACACTGACATCAGGCACTGACAAAGTGAATGCACAAGAACGATAAGGACTTCTGGACTTCAGAGCAAGAGATACACCCTACGCTCAGGAACGCCGCTGTCACCACATATAGCATACAGCACCCGGTCGTGCCCATCATTATTCATTAGCCTACAAGCCCCACCAGACGCTAACCGGCCACGATTTTACCGCCCTCTACGAAAAGCAGTAATCTCACTTTGCAGGCGACCTCTACAACGATAGAGGAATCGACAACTGGCAATCCGGCCTGATCGCGTCTCTCCGGTCTTACCACTTTGGCTATGCAGTGGTGGTAAACGGTAATGGGCTTCCGCGATTACCATAAGCTCCAGGGAGGTGCCATCCCCACACCTCCCCTGCCGTCCCCTGCATCGCCATCGTTCATCACAAATGGCTATAATTAGGATCTGAATGCCAAAATTCATCGGTAGGAAGTTGCTTTCAAGCACTGTCCAGCTCTCAAATGGGCGATAGCCACAACGCCCCCTGCAGTCGCACCAGTCTTAAAATTGATAGATCCACTCTACTGACAGGCACGGTGTATATTCAACCCAAAATGCACATAAATATCACAACAAAACAACCCCTATTCCCTGCGTGACCATGTGAGTAGCACTCCCCGCTAGCTGCGCTTCAGTTTATCCCCGACCCGCTCCCTGACCGCCTGGAGGAGGCGGGGCTCGCTGTACACCGCCGCGGCCACCACGGCGGCCCCACAGAGCGCGCCCACAGCCACATGGACGGCGGCGGAGCTGGGGTACAGCCAGCTCTCGGAGCCAGTGTCAGAAAAGTGGCCGGTTTCTCAATTTTTTTGAACTTGGAAGATTTGTTCTGTGAGATTTTTCACTGCTAATAATCACTTTTTTTGTTCCGTCACTGACTAAATATCAACTGCAACTGGGCATCACAGGACTGAAAGGGAAACTTACTAAAGAAACATGTTAATTGAAAATTTGACATTGTGCTTTGTTCTGTTTTCAGATCTCCAAAGCAGCAAGCAAGCATCCTGCAAGTACTATTGAAACAGATAAGAAGCAGTTACTCCACAATTTCACCATGCAATCATCATAATTGGATCAGTTAAAATGCCAGTCATTCATTACTTTCCAAAGTTGAGGTGCTTACAAGATAGAAGTATTGACAAACCATGTCAAACTATCCAGCAAGTTTTAAAACAAGCGTGAAGGAATGAATCCAGTATACGTGCCTTGAATGTATGCTATTGAGTGTGTTTGTGAAATAAATAAATGTTTCCATTCCATCACATTTCTCACCTGGTTTGTCTACGAATGAGAATCAGATGTTTACGAAAGAGAATCAGCCCGTGACAGGATGATACCTACCATCCAATTCAACCATGATCACCTGCATGTCACGTGCACGGAATGAGGTTAGATGCTTCTTACAATAAATCAATATTATCACGAACAGCCACCCATACCAATACCTACGACTTGAATGGCAAGTCCTCAGTCCCAGCCTCACCACAACTGCAACGTCTTTGCACAATGCACAATCCACACCACGTTTATGGATACACTGCCATTCCTTTTGCGTATTCTTTCATCAAATCAGTAACTACCGATTTCCTGCTGTCTCGTCCACTATTGGGCAGGAAACGATTTTTTATGCAGGAAACACTGACATCACGAAAAACTAAACATCACTTTTGACCGTGATGCGCATTATTTGTCGAATTTCCCAAAAGACGGTCGCTTTTGCCCGTTCAGTGAGGCTGCCATATCCTCATAACGGCATTTCAATGGCAGTGCATTTCTCAGTTTACCATATTCTTGTTCCGTGGCACGGAACAAAAGTAAGGGTAGAATAAAGGTTGAAGTAGGCTTGCAATCGGTTCAAATTAGGTATGGCATCATAGATTGTTCAATTCTGATTGTTTCTATGTCAAATTTTTATATTTTTATGGACGTTTTCATATAGTTTTATTGAAACGCCGTGACCATGTTTCGTCACGGAACAACTCACTTAATTTGGAACGTTTAAGCAATCTCGACTTGTATTTATAAAAAATTGGGTACCGTTAGAATCGTTGAGAGACGGCGCTTTTCATAGCATAAAATTATTGCCCAGTTGATGCCGATTGCAGGTATAATACCGACATATGCTGATATCACTTTTACATGAAGTAATGTTTGTCTAGGGCATAAAATCCCTTTGCTTATTAATATATCATTTGAAATAAAGCAGCCAGATTGAAGTCTAATATTCATTTATTTTAGATTCTTTTTAAATATTATATGCTATTTTGAAGTTTTCATCAATTTGAATCATTTTTATCAAATTGAAAACCAGTAAAGAGGAAATCCCTTTCCTCTAATTTCCCTCGCCGAGTCATCCTCCGCGCCATTTCTCAAGGCTCGAGGTGCGAGGCGTCCGTTTCAGTTTGGGCAAGCGCGTGGGCCGTGGGCAATTATCTATTATTGATTACATATAATCATTTGTGGCATGGTTTTTGGGGGTTGTCTTGCACAAGACCTTTTTTCTTTAAGTGCTGGCATGTTTTTGTGTCTTTGTGGTTCGTTATTTGTTGGTTATTTGCTTCAAGCTGGATTGCGTCAAATTTGTCAAACTTGCATTATATCAATATAGGTATAGGTAGGTACAAGGCCATTTATACTGATACTATGTAGGTAGGTAGGTACCAGTCCACTTGGCTATGTTTTGATTTTGCTTAAAGGTATTTCAAATAGTATTTCAATATACTTAGCAGTTTTTGTTTCATGTGAAAATGTGTCATTTGAAAAGCATATTCTGAATGTTGTGTATATTTTTATACCCCATTCATTTTTCTCACTGCATTCACAATTTTAAGAATTATTTGTATATTTTCCATTATGAATAATTTTGAGCATTAGTGGTCATCCATTACCTGCATGTCCAGATTTGCTAACTAATTACAAATAAGTCTAACACTTGGGCTGTAAGGCCACAACCTGCTGCGTTCCTTGAACCCTTATTTTATATCTAGAAGCTGCTGTTTCTGACTGAGACTCTGGCAAATATCTTGTATACTTAAAGCATACCTAGAACAATACGCGTGGCCCTACAGTGTCTTACTTTATGATTTTTGTTCCGTGAGCAGCTAAACATTTTGTTCCGCGAACTTAGATCCCCAAACCACTTTTCTGACACTGCTCGGAGCCGGCTGCCAGCAGGCCGGCGGTCACCAGCGCGGCAGCCACGGCGGGCGGAGACCGAGCAGCGGCGGCACGGACACCGCCGGCTCCAGCGGCAGACCGGCCACGAACCGGTAACTGGCGACACACGGGGCGGGGACAGGGTGAGAGAGGTACGGGACACTGTATCGGGCATCAGCGACACACGGGGTGGGGACAGGGTGAAAGGGGTACGAGACACTGCATCAAGCGCCAGCAACACACTGGACGGGGCGAGCGGGCAGCAGCAGCATAAAATGGGACGAAGACATGATGGTTGAGAGTGGCACGGGACACTGTATCGGGAACCAGCAGCATACGGGGAGGGGACGGGATGAGAATTGAGAGGGCTACAGGACACTATTGGGGACAGCAGACATTCGTATCAGTCGATGGACGGGTGAAGTAACGAGATCCAAGTATATCGAGATCGGCGAATAAAGCGTGATATTGACTATCCATGACAGATTGGATAATGATGTAAATAATTAGACCAATTAGGACAAATCAAATCTATTCAAAAACACAAAAACTCACCAAACGTATATCCTGGTCAGCATATTGACGCAGTTGGCGAGGATAAATCCAACCCCGCCGAATAGCCTAGTAAAGATCCCTGTCGAGATGACGAATATCACAGATAGCAGCACCATCTTCCGGTTATACCTGAAACACCGGAAAACGTCACAACACCTGTCAAAGCGCCCGATAGTAATGTTCCTAGCTTCACTTTATCGACACGACTGGCCAGCCTTTCCACTTCGCCTTTAGCCGCAAAAGGCAGTCTAACAACAAAAACCAATATGAGAACGTCATTTCCTAATCCGCTCAGCCTCTACCGACACTCCTTACTAAGCCACCGACCATTTCCCGACTGCTTTCCATAAACCCTCCACGGCACTTACCCATTGATCTGTTCCTGGCGCATCACCGCGAACGTGTAGCACTCCAGCACTCCGTTCACCGCCAGTAAGAGCACGTAGGCGCACTGGGCGCGCAGCAGACTGACGGCCGGACCGGCGGTCAGCAGGGCGCCTCCGTACAGTCGCAGCAGCAGGTCGGAGTAGCTCCAGCCGAACGTGACGGCAACCAGACCGAGCAGGCTCATGGCGCGCAGCAGGTCGTGCAGAACCCGGCCCGCCGCGGCAGACACCGGCTGCAGGGAGAGGAGGTAGGGTCAGACTCATAGCGCGGAGTAGGTCGTGTAGCACCCGGCCCGCCACCGCAGACACCGGCTGGAGGGGGAGTGAGCTGTCAGGCACCGGCTGGAGGAGAGGTGCCAAACTGTCCCCTTCCAGTGACTGGCGAGAAGGGGAGAGATGGCCAGAAGGATAGAAGCTGGGCAACAAAACAAACCGAATGACAAAAAAGACACCAAGATGAAGATCACAACGACTGGCAGTAAGGACTTATAGCGGAGATGAAGAGTAGCTACGAGTATAATTGGCTAATATCAGAGTGTGTGCTTACAGCTTTTTCGGCGCCTCACCGGGCATCGACACACTGTGGTCAACGTTACTGATATTTTCACCAAATGCCACTACTCCTCAGTAAAAAACAAAAACAAAAACAAAAACTAACATCAAACACCTCCTACCACACAATCAGCCGGCCACGTTGCCACCTACCTTTCCCCGTTCCACTGTGCGCGAGAAGTAGACGTAGGCGTTCTCCTCGACTGGCTGAAAGAGGAAGCGGGCCGCCAGGCTGCCCAGGTTGGCCACCACGTCGTACAGGCCCTGCTCGGAGAAGTCGAGCAGGTGGAAGGCGGTCATCAGGTAGCGCTCGCCCTCCGTCAGCAACTGCTTCAGCAGGCCTTGTTTGAAGAAGCTCCAGGTGAGGGCCAGCTGGTCACGGTCCAGCGCCGGCTGACGGGGAGGGGAGGAGAGGTATTACTGTTCAGTGAAGAGAGATGGCAGCAAGGGTCACATCACCACCGTCGCGACAGGAAATGTTAGAGGCAGACGCGGTTGCTGGGAAAACGTGGCAGCACAACTTTGGCTCTATTTCTGAGGATACTCGATCCAGCGCTGCCGTGAGCTGTCTGTAACACAGGTAGGTCTTAATACCGTTTGACTGCAATCTAAGAGGCCTTAGACCTAAAGTTCTAGCTAAATGAAACGAAGAATGCGACGACTTGGCCAAAAGAAACCACTATGACCGCGAAAACGCTTGACTACATTTGAAACCCCGCCCCTTTACAAATAGTTCACTGGCCTCACCTGTCCCGGCACCAGTCTGGGTCCCAGCTCGCTCGCCGACTTCACCGGTAGACAGTTATCCGGTGAGCGGACGTGCCAGAGCAGGGTGCCGTAATAGATGACCACGAGGAGAGCGGAGCTGACCGCGTGGCCCACACAGTAGGCCCAGATGGCGTGGGACGGGTACAGGGCGATCAGCCAGGCTTTGAGCGCCACCCGACTGCACAGACTGACCATGTCGGCTACCACCTTGGGAGAGAGGGAGAGCGGGTGGGTGAGAGAGTGGTGAGAGGAGATGGGGAGGGGCGAGAAGACGATAAGAGAGTCAGAGATAATCCACATATGCCAGCAAGGTAGGGAGAATACAGTACTTCAACGCGGTGTGAACGATCGACGATCCGCAAACGACTGTCACAGCAGGCGATTTGAGCTTCAGATATAATTTCACTGATATAGCAGAGTCATCGGGGAACCGACGCGCCTCAAATATTTTCCCCTGACACCCTGTTCCTCTCCTCTGCGTCACCCCACCGCCGTCATTCACCTTCAATTTGACAAATAGCATGGCCTGCGCCAGGATGACCAGCGGCTGGGCGGCCGTCTCCAGTACGACCATGGCCGCGGTGACCCACACGCCCAGACGGTACTCTGAGGTGACCTCAGGCGCCGGCTGGCTGAGCGCGTGCAGCCAGAGGCCGGCCAGCGCCGCCGACACCGCCGCTGACACGGGCACGCTAAAAGGGGAGCGGGGCGTCAGTCAGAGGCAATTACAACACTGCTCTTTTGTAATACACTCAATTCACTGGCAATAAAACATTACATAGGTACTTATGGAAAAAAGTAAAGGGTGCATACCTGACACTGATGATGCCCAGGACATCAGATGTAATATACCGGAGAATGACTGCATTTGTGATGAATGTGAACAGTACACTCGGTAGGTTATCTGAAAGACATTTGATAGGTATAGCTTCAGCATCAATATGTGCAACACAGACCATGCTATTCTGGGCCCTGTTTCACCGGTGATAGCAGCACGCTGCTATCACACGTGTCAAATTGGGTTTCCATGGAAACATCAGCAAACCATGACGCCGTCAATCTGTGTGATGTCATCAAATATTGCTGCCAACAGCTTCACGGCCGTACGATCAAACACATCGCATTCAACGAAACAGCAACTCTGTTCCAAACGCAGCTCACGGATTACATGAAACGTCATTAGTGTGACCTCATCACATTACGTCAGCTCGCGCAATTTGATAGAAGCGTGCTGCTATCAACGGTGAAACAGGGCCCTGGTCTCTGCAGCATATAGGTACTACATTGGTGGAAAATCCCAGGGGGTGCTACAAACCCCTAATTATCCACCCCTGTTTTTTATTTTAAGTTCCATCCAGTACCAGTATGAGTGTTTATGGCTTGGAAGGTAGGTGAAACATTTCATTATTGCAATTTTAATCTTTTGAGACCTGAATTTCAACATTCTCTTGAGAGCCTGAGAGCATTCATGCCAAGGTTTCTGAGTCTGTTTCATGGTAAAGAGACAGTATTTATAATGGAGTCAACTTGTGGGTCTCTACCGCTGAATAAAAAGGTTAATCCAAGGTTAATCATCAAAATATTATCACAATCACCCAGCAACACACGGTATATACAGCAACACAGCCCTATACCACAGACCACCAGACAGCCAATAACAAGCAGTGATGGAGGCGTGTTCAAAAAGTTAATATGCAGCTGTCGACACTAAATAGTCGGTGATTTTCCGTTAGAAATTTTGCGCAAACACCATCTGTATGGGTCTTCGAACAGAAACACCACATTTGAAACAAAAGCGCCAAAAAACTGGAATGTTTGTTTTTTTCGCTCGGGAAAGATATATACGCATACCGCGCCGAGTAGAAACGAGTTTTGAAACATAAGCGCAATAAATGGACCATAATATAGCTGCCATATTTGAAGGAAAGGAAGAAAGAACCAAAGTTGCTTTGCGGTCACGGTGCGGGCGACTGTGATGCTTTACAGCAACGTAACCGATGTTCTATAACATGCGTCACTTCACTGATCGGCATCCCCCAAAATATGAGGCCGATTCGCGCACTTCGTGCACCAGAGAACACTCCAGAATCGAGAAGCGTCCCTTGATTGAATCTCCTGAATTTTCTAAACCATCCGGTAGATCGGCATCCGTCTAGGATTCCGGATATCACTTATTCATAAGCCGTGTTTAGAAGTAGGTCCTACCATTTGTTTCCAAACTGCTAAGCCATCAATTATTGACGGTTATCGTGACATGATTATAGCTGTGTTTAATACTAGAAACGCCTCCAGAGCCCGTCTCGAACATCTCTAATCCCAGCAATCCACAAGCTCACTCGATGCCAAACAACAGACGTCTCCCATAGTTATCTATTATTTCTCATGTTTCAATCACTGACGCGCCGGGCGTGATAGTGGGTAAAAACAGGCGGGCGGCGGCGGCGGCGGCGGCGCGCGGGCGGGGGCGGCCGGCGCGCGCCGCCCCCGCCCCGGGCCGGCCGCCGCCCATGGACGCGGCGCAGCGCGAGTGAAGGCGAATATGTCGTATGTACAGTGCTTTAACGGGCCCGCGACGGGCTATTACCACACGCGCACACACTCACACACTCGCAGCCACGTGCCAGCGCCGGGGCGGGGGCGGGGCGGGGCGGGGCGGGAGGAGGGGGCGGCACCGGCCGGCCGGCCGGCGGGTCGGTTTGTACTTGCGTTTGCCGGCCGGCGCGGCTCCGAAAACGGCGGGAGGGCGCGCGAGCGGCGCACAAGTGGCGCCAAGCGCTCGCCGATGGACCAACAAGGCCGAGAGAACGGAAGACGAAAGCCTATGCGTGGGGCGGGAGCCAGAGACCTCAGCCGACCAGTCGGGGGTGGGAGCGGGCGGGGGCGGGGGCGGGGGCGGCCGCGTGAAAACATCGACGGGCACACGCAGCCCGTTATCACATACACAAGCAAAACCAACAACCGCTGATAAAAATACACGTGACTGTCCGGCGATCAGACTCCGCTCACACACGCTCACACACTTGCACCTCTCCGGTCCAAACAGCGCGTCCGTCCGTCCGTCTCCGTCGTCCACGGGTCCGTGCGGACGGGGCGGGGCGGGGCGGGCGCCGGGGCACCGAGGCAGTAACAACGGGCGCTAGAACACGCCAGGGCCGGCGCGGCGGGCGGGGCTACTTGTGTAGCAGCTGGTAGAGCCGCTCAGACCGCTGCAGGCCGCGCTCCTGCTCCAGCACAAACAGCAGGTCGCGGATGTTGACCCGCTTCACCCGCGGCCGGACCGGAATCTGACGGACGGGGCACAGACAGAGCTTAGTTACACATCGGGAACCGAAGGAGCAGGGACACAGACGGAGCTCAGCGACATATCGGAATCTGACGGGAAAGAACACGGGTGAGAGACACGCCGGGATCTGACGGAGCAGGAATACAGACAGAAGCCAGTAATTGACTGGAATTTGACGGGATACAAAGACCAGTAACGCACGACGACCTGACAGGGACGCGGGCATGCACATATTTACACATTAGTCTGATTAGTAACGTGCCGGGATCTAAGAGGTGACAAACGCATGCACAGATAAATAAACATACCCGGAGATATGCGACAATTGCATACGCGGCAAAATAAATACACAAGACGTCCACCGATAGAGATCACAAGGTGCAAGGACAGCCTCGCTGAAATGAAGCTTACTCGGAGTGCATGTGAGGAATTGAACTGCAACCATGAATGTGCGGATACCGCTCTCGCCTCGAAGTTGTCAGTCCCGCAATGAGACATGACGAGGCGAATCACGGAGTAACGCGTATCAAGTATGTAAAGCGGCTACTATCAAACTACATACCATACACTTATTTGCAGAACAGAGCAAAACGGCTAAAACGGGACTGTTGTGAGTTAGGACTGAGTAGCCAATGAGATCTTGATGCTTCGGGACCAGTAACTACGGTGGTATCATTGCTATACACTGTTAATTCTAAGGTACTATTGAGTTACAATAATTGGACTGACAATTCTAGGTTTTTCACCGTTAGTTAGTTGCCACCTCTCAGGTTTTCCAGCTCCACAGAAGTCGCTGGTGGATATCACCTGCCCTGTCTGAAACACTCCTTCCCTCTGACACCAAACTTGCGACCTGCCACCCTCCCACCACCCATTCCAAAACCTGCACCCCTTCACACCCCACCCGGCCGCCCGCGCCCCGCACCTGTCTCTGGCTGAGCTGGCCGGTCACAGTGGCGCCGTCCCCGGCGGGCGCGTCTCCCTCCAGCCGCGGCTTCTTCCTCGGACCGATGGCCATCAGGGCCGTAATGTTAGCCTCGCGCTGCCGCACCTCCTCCATCTCCACTCGCTGCATCTGTGGAACGGAGGAACAGGGAGTCAGCACAAAGCACTGAACAGGGGCCCTCTCCTGCCGCACCTCCTCCATCTCGACTCGCTGCATCTGTGGACGGACCGGACAAAGGAGTCAGTAGTACAGGAGCTCAGCCAGTCTCGCGCTGCCGCACCTCCTCCATCTCGACTCGCTGCATATTCTGTGGACGGGACCGGACCGAGAAGTCAGCACACATAACGCTACAGTAGAGATCCCAGCGTCTCCTACACCTCCTCCATCTCGACACTCTGCATCTGTGGGTAGTGTGGGACGGAGGGGTCGGTGTCAGCATACAACAATGAACAGCTCAGCCAGTCGCGTGCTACCTGAGCCAGCCAGCGCAGCCAGCCTCCTCCATCCCCATCTTCGGACAGGAGAATCACGACACAGCGCTCCTACAGAGTCCTGGGTGAGGACAGAGTCGTAGGGCTCGGGTGGGGATAATATCCGTCTCAGTGTTCACTTGCCGGAGTGTACACACAGTCCACCGTCTATGCCCGGAGAACATTATGACCTACCTCCTTTGCCTTGGCCTTGAGTTTGGCCTGCTCGGGGTCCTCCGTTTTGGAGCGGCTCTTGGCGGCCCTGAGCAGCATCTCGCGCTCCGTCTCCTCGTGTCGTTTCTGTTCCAGCTTATCGAGCTCCTCGAGGAAGCGCAGCTGTCCTCGCACGTCCCGCGATACGTCGTAGCCCGGCTCCGACTGATCAGACGGGGAGCAGACGGGTGGGGGAGGGTCAGATAGAAGTCACAGTGGTACGAGACGTAAAAGCCGGAATATTGGGTACTCAAGTCTGCAACATGATCTTAACTTTTAATGAGCCGTCACATTTTACGTCGCGGAAGTTCCAAGCTAAGGACCCAAGAAATACGGTGTTGCTCTAGTGCTTCTCCCGATCGCCGAACCGGCTAGAAATTTACAACAAAAAAAGACTCAAACGATTTACAATATTCAACAATCCATAGACACGATTAGCCCATTTTGTGAGGCGGTGTCCGCACCTTGACGACCTCCATGCGGTGTTCGGCGATGATGGCCACCTGTTCGAGCAGCGTCTTGAGCCGCTCCTGAGTGGCGTGCGACACCAGCGCCACAACGTCCGCGCCGGGCTCCTCCAGACCGTGGCGCATCGCTGGGAACGGGGTACAGAGGTCAGACCACCACGTCCGCGCCGGGCTCCTCCAGACCGTGGCGCATCGCTGGGAACGAGTCACACATACAGGTCAGACCACCACGTCCGCGCCGGGCTCCTCCAGACCGTGGCGCATCGCTAGGAACGGGAGAAAGGTCAGCTATAAGTCAGACTACCACATTGTCCGCGCCGGGCTCCTCCAGACCGTGACGCATCGCTGGGAACGGGGTACAGAGGTCAGACCACCACGTCCGCGCCGGGCTCCTCCAGACCGTGACGCATCGCTGGGAACGGGGTACAGAGGTCAGACCACCACGTCCGCGCCGGGCTCCTCCAGACCGTGACGCATTGCTGGGAACGAGTCACACATACAGGTCAGGCATCTGCAGTCTGCACCGTACCATAGCTGGCAGGACTCACATCAAGGGCAAGACTTAATGACTGGTGACCTCCACTACAGTCACCCTACTGCGCGCTACCATCCCTTCCAGTCATCGCCAATCACCAAACCCTCCCAGGACAGCGCACTGCGCACTCACATGGCACAAATCGACACCTTTTTTAACCCCACATTTGTTCTCCGGTGAATTTCAGACAAATTGGTTAGAGACCTTCAAAAAAGGTACAATCACTCGATTTTTCTCAAGTTTGTCTGTCTTGGCAGATAAAGCAATACCAGAACAGGCCTACGAACACACATATTTGATCAGGATCGGACGATTGGACACTTTTAAAAGGAGATCTTTCGTGCCTCCCGGAAATTCACGGGAGAGCAGATGTGGGGTTAAAAAAAAGGTGTCGAAATGTCGTCAGTCCATATGACACAGTCCAAGGGCCACCCTGCCGCACACCGTCCCACTCACCGATTCGTCTGATTTTCAGCTGGAGGGCGGCGCTGGGCAGGAAGGTCTCGTCCTTGACGGATCGGATCTGGGTGCCCACGTACTCGGTGCCGTCCAGGATGTGCTGCGACTCCTCCTGCAGGTTCACCCCGCCCATCGCCGCCACGTCGTTTATGTCGTCATCCTGACCCGACTCGAACGTCGACGACCTGCGAAGGGAGGGGGTGGACGTGAAGGGGTCAGCAACAGGCCAGGGAAAACAAGTTTTTAAATAATTTACTTCATACATGAATCTGATTGCCAAGATGTCAAGGTGCCAAGGTGTGATGTCCTTCTAAAATCAGTATCGGTGACTTCTCGACACCAGATTGAGCTACATCCCTCCAGACTAGCCATCCCTTCCGGCACCGACCCCGACAGTGTCTCGACAGCGTCCCGCACCGACACTCACTTGAAGTTGAGTTTCTTGTTCTGCCGGACGGCGGACGGGGTTGGCTGCCGGTTGACGGTGATGCCCGAGACGGTGCCCACTGCCGCGGGGGAGGCGGCGGAGGCGGCCGTCACCGCCGGAGAGCGAACCACCTTGGTGGCCGACTGCGGACAGCGAGGGGGGCCGGTTAGAGCGTAACTGCGGGCAGGAAGCGTCAGTGTTCACTGTTCTCCCACCAATAATGGTGATCAGTTTCATCTGTGTGACACCGTGGGCATCGGCATCTATCCAGTATACGACAAATAATTGAACAAGCAGGCAACAAAAAAGAGCTTTTGCTCCCAGAAACAAGCAGGCAACAAAAAAAAGAGCTTTTGCTCCCAGAAACACATTCGTGGACAATCATGCGTTACAATCATGACAAAGCAAAGAAATGAATAATAAACATCCCGTTCAAAAACATGAGCGTGATAATATGTAGCAGCGAAGCAAACAAATATTTTACATATAGCAGGCTGGCGTGGCAGCTAAGACGAGAACCCTGCCCTGTATCCGTCAATATCTCTGTATCTGTGAGCCGCCGTCTCACGTACTGGCTGTAATATGCCGAGCAGCGCCGGGTGATCTACATAGTGTGTCTCTGTCTGTAGCTGTGCGTTTGTATCTGTATGTATGTGTATGAAACTCCGATCACGTACTGGCTGTATGCCGAGCAGCGCCGGGTGTCTGTATCTGAGTCTCAGTATCTGTATCTGTGTGAGTATCTGTGAGTCCTTCACGTACTGGCTGTATGCCGAGCAGCGCTGGGTGACCGGCCGAGACGTTGCGCGGCTGGGCGCCGGCGCCGGTCACCAGGCGCACCTGGTGGCCGGCCGCCGAGCCGGCCGCGCCCGTGGCAGAGACGGCCGCCGTCACCGTGCGTCCGGCAGCAGCCGCGCCGGCCGGCCGCGCCGCCGCCGCCGCCGGCCGCTGCACCTGCCGCGCACACACAGACACACACGTACCGTACCAGTGCTGCGCTACCGAGACACAGAGAGGCGGGCAGAACCAGACACAGAGCCGGCCAGGGGACACGGCCCACAGAGGGACGGCGGTCAATGAAGTATGCCCTGCTGCTGCAGGTCTCCTAGTACCAGTAGGGACGAGCGAAATAGTTCTGCCTTCGATGATGAATTGGGGCTTTTGAGCGCCCGGACTACACAGTGGTCATCGGCGAACCCTGCCTTCAATGAAACGATCTGACATGAATTGGATGTCAATCTTTAAACATCGCAATTATTTGCCACAATTGAAACGTAATCTTATGTTGAATTGATGCCTGAATGACAACCCCTAGAGCATTAGAAAGCTGCGCCAAACCAAAATGCTTTAGGGTAACTTGAGTAAAGCGAAAATAGGCGAACTAAAAGCAAAGCGGCGAATTGGAGTCTTTGCTTAACCGATTAGGAGAAAAAGGCAAAATTGCATTCACACTTCTGCAAAGTCAATTTTAGCTGCAAAATATCGGGACATTATTTAGGTGGTGGCAACAGCTAATAACTGCTTTCAGCAAACGAGGAGCGATGAAGGGAAGCAGCGCGGCAGGGCGACTGGCCGGGGCAGTAAAGTAATCTCGGGGCTGGCAGCCCATGTCCCCTGGCTGTGTCGGCTCAACAAGCATAGCAAAATAACAATAACGTGCATCGCTGACATTGAGCTACACATCACAGCTGATTGAAAATCAATGCTTAAAGAATATTATTGTTTTAAACTTCATTCGCTGAACAAAATACACTGAAAACATTTAAAGCGTCGTAAAATGGCATAACGCGAAAATGCAACGGCATGAAAAGAAATATTGCGCAGAACCAGTGCTTGATAAAAAATAACATGCATTCGTTGCATTTTTGGCACTAGAGTGGACAGCAAATGGCACATGACTTGAGTAGTTGTAATCCAGACTCAGGTCAAGGCGTCAAGATCAGCTGTGGTTGAGGTCGGATCAGGGCCATGTTAGGCAAAGACCATGATGTCACTATGGCATCAGATTTGGACGTCAGAATCAGCAGTCGGATGGGTCGGACCGTGACCTCTCGTCTCTCACATTGGTGTCCGGTCAGACCGATCCCTGACCCGTGTCAGCGTCAGCCCGACCTCACACAGCCGGCCGGCTTGGAGTCCCGCTCTCGTACCTGCATAACGGGCACGGCGCCGGCCACAGGGGCCGCCGAGAGCGCCGAGGAGGGCGGCGGCTTGACGCCCTCGATGGTGATCTCACGGCTGAACAGCGACTGGCGCAGGAACGGCAGGCTCTTCTGCAGGGAGGACACGGGGTGGGTCAGAGCCTGCTCTCAACGAACGGAAACAGACCTCGGCAGACAGAGGTACCATGGCACACTTGCACATAGCACATCAGTTCATTGATAGACGTACGGTACATTATCTTGTCACGATACATTACAGCATGCTACGATTGGATGACTGCAGAGAAGCACAACTCGTTGGGACGGAGCGGTCTGTTCACGGCACTCACCTTGAGAAAGGGCACCAGGCAGGGCTGCGGCGACGAGTTGAGCTCCTGCTGCAGCCGCGTGGTGAACGTCTCCGGCTCGGTGCGGCCGTCGATCAGGCTCTGGATCAGCATGCGCACGTTGCGCGCCACAGAGTCCGGCTGGTCCTTGGCCAGCCGCAGCAGCGTGGCCAGGAAGTTGCGGCACTTTTGTTTGGCCGTGTCGGGCGCCATGGCTCCCTGCGGCTGACGGCAGGGACGGACGGGGCGGGGGCGCCGTGAGGGACGGGAAGCGGCGGCACCCAGTGGGCGCAGTGGCGGCACCTGGGGGCGCTGCCGCTGCGGCAGCGTCGCTCAGGGCTCCTCATCCGAATGGGCAAACCCTAAGCCCATCATGCGTGGCTTCAAGACGACTTGAAGAGTAACGTTAGCCTGCATTGATATGATCTTTGGGCTTCATCGGTGTTTTATTTGGAATGCGGCGAGAGAGCGCCAAGACAAGAGTCCCTAACATCGGCACTGGTCCCGGAATTTGTTTTTTTGTTTTCAAACGTTTATTTTAAAAAGGGTCCAAGCCCAAGCCACCGAACGCAATAGCCTCTACAAAGTGAGTCGTCGAAGTAACGGGCACCTTCAGTAAAACAGAGCAAAGAATAGCAGCACTCTCTGGCTAATGAGGTGAAATGCATCGGAATACAAATCCCACGACACACTTAGAATCCGTTGATCCAGGTGCCAGGCACACTGCATTTCCGCAATAGTGAGCTAGCAGACCCTCCAGAGCGCTGGCTCGCAGTTACTACCCGCTATAACTGAACACACGGCGGTCGGCAGTCCGCCGGCGGCAGCAGCCGCTCCTCACCTGGGCTGTGCTCTGCGCTGCGGTCTGCGCGGGCGCGGCCGCCGGCGCCGGGCTGGCCGCCGCCGTCACGGCCACCGCCGTGGCGGAGCGCGGGGTGGCCGCCGCCTGCACGGGGCTCTGCCGACACAGGGACGGAGACCGGTCAGAGGCGGGGGGACAGCGCCGGACGGTGTGTGTGTGGGGGCGGGCCGGTATCAGCACGGTGACCTAGTACCATAGTCGGGCTTTCAGCTTAGTTCATTCCTACTAAAATGTTACCACTTAAATGTTCAATGCTTAGACAAAATATCATAGCAGAAGCATTTGACCAGGACAGACTGAAACACACTCATCTTTACAGCTTTAATTCCGTTTAATACTCGAATAACATTATTCACCTGACCAAAGATCCAGAAGTTTTTTCAGGTTTAAAATGGAGCTATCTGTCAGGATGGTGCTGAAGGCAAACTCATAGCGAAACATTTAGCCTGAGAACACTATGAAATTGTCAGAGGACATGCAACTAACTGCAGCTGAAATTGTATCACGAAAGAAACGTGCAACAATTAACAGCCAAACACACATTTCAGCCATAGCATCAGTTTCATACCATAATCGCTGAAAAGGATTGGTTTTAAGAATGGGTCTGTTAGTAAGGCAGTGCCTAGCCATAAGTTCCCAAGCCTGAGAAGTTTACAGCAAGGGTTGAATAATGGCTCATTCAGCCACCGAGCTGTAGGAAGCTGAGGACGGGAGAAGCAGAGCAGCCACCTGCGGGGAGCAGCGGCCAGGGATGGATCGCGCCAGTCGGCCCCGCGCCCGGCCAGTGTACAGCGGCGGGCTCTGGGACAGGCAAGTGGGCCGTGTCGCACCTTGTAAATGGTGGGCAGCTGGTGGCCGTGCGGCGCGTGCGGGTGTCGCGGCGCGGGCGCCGGCCGCTGCTGCGGCGCCGCCGCCGAGACGCCGCCGCCGCCGGCTGCGCTGCTGACCGCCACCGACTGCCGGACAGGAGACGGGCGTGTCACCGCACGCCGCCGCCGCCCCTCCGAGCGCCCTCGGGAGCGGCGCACCGACAGACCGTCTCCGGGCCGGCCGGCCGGGACCAGAGCGGCGCTGTACAGCTCTTATCGAGGGCGTCGCACAATAAATACTGTGCTGCTTTTTGGCAATTGGGAGAGCCCTAGCAACAATGATGAGTACAGCAAGATAAGCACATTGATGAAAACATGCCAAGCAGAAGATATTAGGCATAGGGGCAGCACTGGCAGGTCAAGAGTCATCACTGGGGTATCAGGAATCAGGAAGGTCATATCCTGTGTAAATTTCCCTGCCTTGCAATGCTACAAGGCAAGTAAAATCTAAAGTATTTTTCACACATGTTAGCAAGCAGTTACATCACAAATTGATTTCATTCCACAGACTGCCAATAGCTTTGCTACATGCACTGCAGATCATAGATTCTAAAGAATGTGGCCTATGTTGTGGAAAGTGGAAGAGATGTGCACAGATTACAAGCATGATCAAACCATAAGATTTTGAAATTCATTTAGCACCTATCATATAGAACCACAGCACAAAATAAATGAAAATAGGCATTCAGAACAGAGAGTACAGCGATTGGGTGCAGTGTGCATGGCCGGCAGCTAATTACCTTGTACATATTGGGTGTGGAGGTGGTGGCTGTGCCCACAAAGCAGACAGCGGTGGAGGTGTTGGCGCCCTGGACCGGCAGCTGAATCAGCTTCAGCTGGCCGTTCTCTGTCTTAACCAGCAGGTGTCCCGAGCCGGAGCCCTGCAGACTCTGCAGGGTCTGCAGGGTGATCGGCTGCTGAACACCACAGAGACAGAGCGGTGCATCAGAGAGGAGCCGCAGAGAGCACCCCACACTCACAGTCACGGTAATCTGAATAAAACCAGGTGCAACCACAAACCTTGCAGGTATCATATCACCACATGCAACACCTATTAGCTAATCAAAGGTATCTTTTCATAAAAAATTAAATTAAGTAGCAGGTCATGTACCTGTTATCTAGCCTTAATCTAGTCTGACCCTAATCAGCTGCTTCTTGCTCCCCATACCAGGGAGAGGTGGTAACTAATTTCTGCTAAAAAAAATTAGATGTGATATACATTTTAAACAAAAAAAGGTATAAATTAAGATTGTAAGAGTGATGACACTGAACATTTTTGAAATTAAAAAAAAACATTTAACATTGAAAACCTTTCCAGTACTTACTCCTGGCTGTGCTGCTCTGTTGACAACTTGTGGGGACAGCAAAACACGAGGTGCAAGGGTCTTTTGCCCTTGGACACCAGGTGTCTGAGTTCGCGTCTGGCTGACATTGAGGATTTGAACCCCACTAGCCACTGAAGGGTTAGTGGCAACAGGAACTCCTTGGGCAGCCACATTTGCAGGTCTGTTCACTGTTATTACAGTGGGAGCACTCGAGGTCTGTGCTACATTTACCACTTTGTTACCTACTGTCATACTCTGTTTACCATTCGTTATCACACTTTGCGCACTGCTTGTAGAGCCATTTGGCAAGCTAGTGCTGTTGATGGTGTAGGTTCTACTGGCAGATGCTGATGCTTGCGTCACAGCAGTTTGCACTATTTTCATAGCACTAGCATTGTTCACAGCACCAGGCGCATTCCCCGCGCCAGCGGCCGTGCTGAGACCGCTGGCGGGGAAGTGAGCAGTTTGTATGACACCTGCTTGGCTGAGAACAGAAGCACTTCTAGGGCCAGCGCTACTGACAGCCACACTTCTGGGGACATTCAGAGAAACAGGTTTACTGTCACTTTGAGGAGTTGAAACCACATGCTGTGCGCCGTTCGCTGGCACGCGACCGTCCGCAGGCACGGCGCTGGACAAACTGACCACCGGTGCAGCATTGTTCCGTGGAATAACACCACTCGCTGTAGTTGTCACTGTGCCCTGGGCTTGTCCAGAGTACAATTGATCCTCCAATGTACCAACCAGTGCAGAAAATGCCCTTTCGTCCACTTTACTGTTCAAGAGATCGTCGAGCGACCCACCCGCCGCCATTTTCCCACCTGCCCTACTACGAAACTGAACTGCGCATGCGCGAATCCGAACTTCACGTATCTACCCAGAATGCAGCACAAACGATTTGAAAACATCGGCGTCATTCTGATATGACTTTTGCTCTTGAATCAGATGTTATAAACTATTTATTAAACAAAAATATTTTGGAAAACAAATTTTGGAAAAAAGCATCGAATTATACTTATTCTGGAATTAAATAAACATGAAACCAAGAACTATTTTCAAGTGCTTAGAGCAGCAATTTACGCCTAAGTCAAACCCGTGTGAAAGCCGGGATCACCGAAGTCCATCATTCAAACTTAAAATCCCACAGATCTCATATGACATCTACGATAAACTTCAGAATCTATCAATGCAAGACTGGCAAGTGGCAATAGTGCAAGGCATGTCCGAAGTTGTCCGCCCCATATCTCAATTGATGCTGGGACTCGCGGTCACGTTGGTAAGAGCTCGGTGCCCCGGCACATTTCCGGGGCTCGAGGTAAGTACTTCGGGGCTCGATGTGAGAGACTCCTGACGGGACAGTCTGTGGTTGTTAGGAGCGACCGCAGCTAGTTGAAATAAATGAGTGGACGTACTCGGTACTGCGTGCGGTTTTAAAGGCAGCAGGCATCCTTAATTGGTTCTAAATTGTTTCGGCCACCCGGAATTTTCTAACCGGACGCTGAAAAACAGTTTCAGTACATTCTCTGGAGTCCGGCCTGCAAACAATCATGCTTCCTAAATGCCCCCAATCCCATAAACCCTTGAACATCAAAGGAGCAAAGATGCGTGAGACCAAGAAGTGACATAGAGTCGGAGGGATAACTTCGTCCGCCGTCTGGTGCCCTTCTCCGTTCATTTTTCCGTTTACTCCAGCTCCAGCCGTCAAAAATCAAAACATCACGCGGAACAGGGCTGGTTTTCTGGTTCATGCTCAGACGAGGTTCATGCGTGTCAGCTCACACCAGATGTCAGTTCAATTCAACCGATGTGAAGTGAACATCGGTTGTCAGTAATTGGTGATAGGTATCAGTGAGTCAGTAATTAATATGATTGTAAATTTGCATGGCAATTTTTAGTGCTATTAGCTAACATACTGTCGTGATCAGAGATAAAGTTGACCCCGAGAGTAAGATGCACAACTTGCCAACTGCGAAAGTAAACGGAAATCGCATTCTGTGGTTACGCGTAATTTAGGTCATAATCGTTCCAGTCAGGTCACTAAATACGTGGTTATCTATTTGAACGTGTATTTATACGTGAAAGACGCATCCTGTCTAGACGCTAGGGTTACACGAATAACATTGTACTTAACAGCTTCATCATGCGATGCGCTGAAACGGCAACTGAGAACCGTGATGACACGCACAATTTTATCGAAAAGCAATAGGTACCCAAAAACAGGAAATGCGCTTCCTCGACTGGTACACCGATAATTATGTGTCGATTACCTACCGCAAATGTGGCGAGTTGGAGCCTAACTTGGCCGTAACACCGCACAGGAATCCAGTCGACATGTTCTGACCCGGTTTTCTAACACATGTAGCTGTCAACACTGGTAACTACGACGAGACAAAGTGCACGACACAGCTCAAAGAGCGCGGCAAGTGAATGTGCTACTTAGCTGCCGCAGGGAATGGTTTGAGTACGACATTGCATTTTACAAAACACGATACGAGCACGACACGAATGCACGTCAGGGCATCTAAACGTGAAACGGCTTTGGCCCAGCACTCACACTCTCAGACCGTCTAGTCTGGGACTCCCACCGACTCTTTGCTAGTCTGAGCTCGACTCTCCAAGTCTAGACTTTGCATAAGATGGTAGGGCGCTTGAGAAACGATGACGAAAGTTCAGCGAAACACTTGGCAAGAACTTAAACCTACGAGTAGCTTGGAGCTGCCAGATACAGAGATCATCGGTCTAAAAATTACACAACCGGCGCCCCAAACCTGTCCTTCGCTAAGGCTAAACAACTTAATCTTATCGTTCTTGGTTTTGAAAGGACCTATTGGGGAATCGTCAGTAACTTAGCCCAGGGGTAGATAAAAAGATACACAAACGGATCGAGGGTTCGTCTGACGCCATTTTGTGAAAACTCGACTTCCGTACTAAAACAGCCAGAATGAAAGAAAGAAATGAAAGAGCGAGTCACACCATTCCATCTCGATTAAAACGTCCTTACGTAGCTAAAATGACCTTGGAAATGACGTCGAAATACCCGCAAATAAGCAACGCCTTTGTAGACTACGATGTCACTTCCTGCCGTATGCAATAGAAGCGTCAGTGAACCAGTCTCTGCCAGCTACCTATCGTAGGTCACCAGTGATCCATCAAACACTTTACAGGACCTCTCCAGGTCGCACGATCTCCCCGGTCCGTCACGGTTTGGCCCTCTGGCGGCGCTCGCGGCCCGTCACGGTTTGGCCCTCTGGCGGCGCTCGCGGCCCGTCACGGTTTGGCCCTCTGGCGTCGCTCGCGATCTTCCTGCTCCTGCAGCAGACGGTCCTTGTAGAGAGCGCGTGCCCACGCCTCTGACATGGGAGTGCGGGCCAGCGTGCGCGGCGTGGCGCTGGCCGTGGTGCTGCCGGTACTGGAGCCGGGCCCGCGGCGCGCCCGGGCGCCGGGCGGCACCGTGCGTGCCGAGCTGGGCGGGTGTCCGCCGGTGGCTCCCCCGCCCCCCGGTGCCTCCGGCACGGTGTCCAGCTGACGCTGCGGGCTGCAGCGGCTCGGCGTCGGCTCGCTGCCGGCACACTCGGGCCGACAGAGGATCTCTGCACCCTCGGCGCGCGGCGGTGCGCAGTGCGCGTGCAGGTGACGGCTGCAGCGCGCGCAGCACACCACGAACTGGTCGAACGGGAAGAGCAGCGCCGAGTTCTCACAGACGGGGCACTGCTGGCCCTTACTGCGGCACGTCTGGGGGACGGAGCGGGCGAGGTTATTATAGGAGAAAAGGGTCTTACGCAGATGATCCATAGAACGACTTCAGACAGCGTGATATAATTCAAGAGAAGCAACTAAAACAGAAAGCAAGAGCGGGCCACATTTTACGAAACCAATCTGAGAGAAAACAACATTAATAATTCGCCTCTCCCGGCTTCCACTCACCAGACACCTGGCGCGGATGTGCGCGCGGCACAGGCCCACCGTCTTCACCAGCAGCTTGAGCAGCGCCTTGGAGCGCACCTGCTCCAGATCGCTCATGCTGTACAGGTCGGGACTGTCCAGCAGGTGCGGGCGGCCCTCGAAGGCGCTCAGCAGGCCCGCCACGCTAGAGTCCGAGCACGACTTCAGGAAGCCGCTGAACATGACGCTCAGGTCCCGGCGCATCTCCTGGACAGGGAGGACGGAGAGTCAGCGCGTGGGAAACATTCGATTTAATTAGCGCAAATTGTAAAGTACAGTCCACAGCAGAAGTACTGTGGGGTTTCAGTCATGGGTATGTTCTGCTTCTGAAGCTTAGGAACGATTAGCCAGACTACAATGAAACTTTGAATGTAGCTTATATGTATCGTCACCCTTGCAGCTGCAACTTTAGCTATTGACATCTACTTTTCGATCACTCCGCATTAAACAATCGCCAGTCAAAGCCAACCGTTGAGATTGGTAAAACCCTACATTACTTTAGCGGTGGGCTGTACATATGCCAAGCAGGTAAAACTCGATCCCTAACGAGGCATTTTAATCGTAAAACGATGATCAGTTATTCAGTCGTCACCGGATTTTACGAAGATTGTGGTGTTCGTTTTTATGTTGAGAACTTACCCTCACTTGTCCCAGCTCATTCACATGAATGAAGATCTGTGAATTGATTTTCTCGAGGTTGATGACCGGCTGAGAGTGCATATACTTCAGATATCGCATAATTCCCATCGACACCTAAGGGTGAAATAAAAAAGTTAAAAGTTGCAGGGTTAACGATCAACTATCCGCGGTTGACGTTCCAGTTAACAGTCCGGTAAACGGTCACAGTTTACTTGATTCAGTTACAGTCCGGTAAATTTTTACGGGCTACTTTATTTGCTGAGCATAAAGGTCTGACCGCTTTCCGAAGTTTAAGCCAAATAAGCAGCCAATAGAAGAAAAAAAAAAACGTTTAAAGAAGTCGGCTCGTGGTATTCCTGGCCTCGCGTTATCCGTACCCGTCGTTTGGTCCAGTCCCAGTTTCGGATGACGCGCGCCGGGATGTGACAGCGGTGGTCGCGGATGCAGAGCACGCAGTAGTAGCGGCCGCTGTAGTCGCAGCGCCGGAACGAGCGCACCTCCTCGTCCTTCTCCCAGTAGAGGCGGCCGCGCGCCAAACGATCCTGGGCTGCGGGGGGAGACGAGAGACGGTGGTCAGGGCCGAGCGCTCCCGGGCTGCGGGGGGAGACGAGAGACGGTGGTCAGGGCGGATGAAGTCAGATCAGGGCCGAGCGCTCGTGGGCTGTGGATGGAGATGTCAGACGGCGGTTAGGCCGGTTAGAGCAGGCACGAGTGGTCGGAGACAGGGAGTCGGAAACAGTGGCCAGGGCGGGACTGGTAGATATCGATGGGCTGCGGGGGAGGAGACGGTTGTCAGGGCAGGTCAGCGCACAGGACAGATCTAATGGACTGGGGAGTCGGCGACAGTGCGGGCGGAGCAGATCGCTCCCGAGCTGAGGAGAGAAGGTGACAGTGATCCGGTCACAATAACGACCACTAATTAGCACACGCCGCGGGCTCGGCCTCACCACACGGGTACTCACGGGGCAGGATGCGCGTCCTACACTCTGCGCAGCGGTTCCTCTGCGCGCCCAGACCACGCTCCGGGCAGATGAGCAGCTGAAACTTGGGCTCCTGGAGCGCCATGAGCGCCGCGCACTCGCGGTTCACCAGGCCCTTGCACTTATCGTGGATCTTGAACTTGCAGTCTGTCGACAAAAGGAAAAGAGCGTATTGCAAGTGAATGCTTGTAAAATGTACCTCTTGTTCGCAACGGTTATCCGGAACGGAACATCAAATTGAGCCGACCTACGTGCTGACTAAAAACGGTGAGGCCTACCCGTTTGTCCCATCCCAAACACGATATCGTATCAGTGATAAAAATATTTTCCAGCAAACTCGTCTTTTTCGCAACCTCTCTCCCTCGGAGGGGACGGTTCGGCGGGCGCACGAAGGACCACGCCCGGGGCCGGACCGCTATCAGCTGCGATATCGCCGCTATCTGCCTCCACGCACATCCACGAGTCATACGAGACGCCGACCCCCTCCCCCTCCCCTTCACGCACATCCGCGAGCCACACGAGACGCCGACTCCCCTCCCTCCCCCTCCCCCACGCACGTCCGGTCTCCCGACCCACTGAGGGACTAATGCCGAGATAACGACTCGGGATAGGGCGCTTCCCCCGGCGCAGCTGATAATGCCACCTGAGGAGTGAGGACTGTGAGCGCGAGATAACGGCACTGGGTAATATAGAGATAAAAGTCTTGGGATAAGGCATCTTCCGGCTCAGTCCTGGATGCAAACTGATAACACATTTTTGGTTATCAGACTACTAATGCATTGGCAGTGGACACTGGACACGTCCTATCGGAAGTGGCGACATAGGATTGTTAAACGTCTCCTAATCAGTGTGACTGGTAAGACGGCTGCCACGATAACAAACCTGCGTGCTAACATTCAAATGCCGACTTTTCGAATTTTGCTTAGCGAGTTTCCATTACTATTCTTCTTGTCGTTATTAGAATGAAGTATTTCATCGAAATCCGGTAGTTCCTAATTACCGTAAACCCCGACAGTCCCTGTCCCCCGTCGACACCCACCGACCGCACGCAGTCACAGCCACCGATTAGATCCGTACCGCCGGGATCGGTCTAATCGGCCGGCAGTGTGGGGATCGGGTGATTGGGGGATGTCTGACGGCCGCTGCCCACCCACTGACAGTCCCCCATTCACTCGGCGGTGCCGGTGACGGGCCGGCCGCCCGCCCCGGGGATCACTCTCGGCCCGCCGCTACCCGTCGGCTCGGGTTTCACAGCGGGGGACCGACGGTCAGGTCAATTAGCGGACACCACTGTCGCCGCTAATAGCGGGGGGGGGGACACCGGAGACGCGCCGACAGACGATTAGCGGAGGGAGACCACAATGAGGTGCCAATCGGTCACAGGGGTAGGACGGATTAACCCGCGCCCTGCTGGGGGGGGTGTTTGAACACCCCCCCTTGTGGTTTTTCGCGAATATCTCAAAAACGGCGGCGCGAAGCGCCGCCGTTTTTGGTATACCTTATCATACATCAATTCTACACATGTTGTAAAAATTTCAGACCTAGGTCATTCAAGGTCAGGTCACCAGGTCACTTGAAGTGACCTCACCTCATAAAAACTTTCAATGTCTGTCATAGCTACACCGAGTGACCGATCGCTTTGAAACTTTCAGCGATTGCTAAGAGCAATAGCATGTACAAAATGTTTATCTCAGAATTTTGATATCGATGACCTAAGGTCAGGTCAATTTTGCGACCTCCCCATTATAAGTCAATGGGAGAAAATTGAAATGCGCCTCTTTTGGATGAAAGACATTATACACACTCCCAAACACCGAATTACAAGTGGTTTAGACACACTGAACTTGAAAATGGTGTCCGTGACCCTTGTTTATGCCCTGAGGTCATCTTAGGTCACGAATGGTATCTAACAGTTTTTCGCAAATAACTTTTGATAGAGGCATGCTAGAGCGATGAAAACGCCTTAGATGTGTTCAGCTCGACGATACGGATCGACTGATATGCAACATGACCCTTTCCGGTCAGGTCATGACCTTGACCTGAGGTCAAATTTTCAAGTTGACCTTTCAAGGTCAAGTTATAGTTCATTCGATGCGTCTTGACGAGAGGAACACGATGCCGGTAAAAGTAAGCTCGTACAAGGCTTGGGTCAAAAGTTATTGCAGAAAAACTGTTTTCGAAAATATCGGCTATTTTTGCAGTTTTTGCCCCCTGCAGGCAAAACCGTTGACCTTAGGTCAAATCTGAGAGAATTACTCAGAAAGGGCGTTAATAGGGCTATCGAATGCGCTTTTCCGCGGCGCTGTAGCTCTATTGGTTCCCGAGTTATGCGTTGGCTTCTTGGAAATTTTCGACATTCGACCTGGAAATCGGCGAAATTTTGCCTTCAATGACCTCTGGTGACCTGACCTTTGACCTGACCAAAAAATTGACCGAAGTGATTTCGTCATTATTTTTTACGCTCTTTCGAACGCCGCCTTCCGCGTGTCGCTACGTGGCCCAGTAGCCGAGTTACAAGGGGGGGGGGTGTTCAAACACCCCCCCCCCCCAGCAGGGCGTGGAAATCCAGGACCCCCAGCAGGGCGCGGGTTAATACGATCAGTCATTCACAAATCACTAACAGACGCGGGAAACGGAAAGTCTTATCAGCCGACCGTTCAAAGCAATGTCACTATAATCTAATCGTACAGAACAACCTCTTCAATTACCACTTGAGCAGCTATGACCTACCATTAGGCACTTCATATGCCCGTGAAAGCTTGATGCTTGAAATGTCATTAGCTGATTTCCTGCTTTTATCCTCCTGTCACATACCTACCAGCAGTCAGCAGTCTAATATTAGAGGACAGACGGTGACGGATTAGCCCGAAAGTATCCATAATTAACAATTTACAGCTAAGCCCCAATACGGCTAAACGCAAAAATTATCTAAGTATTCAATACCTATTCATGGACTAAATTGTCACTGTCGAACAGTAGGTACTGTGAGTCAATCAACACCGATTGGAATATACGACAATCAAACAACTTATGACATGTAGAATAGCCATCGAGAATTACGGATAACGGATATAGACGATTTTTCTAACATTCCGAAAAAGCCTGTACCTACTTGAATAACTGGAATCGAAGACTGGTGCTGAATGCTGATTGCAATAAATTCTTGTCACCGATTTACATAAATCCGATAAAAATAGTTTTACTAGAACTCAGAGCATAATTAGTGCACGAAAGCATTACAAACGAGAATCAATAGAGCATGCATACAGCACAGACCATCAGTAACTCGCAGTCGCGTCCGATCACCAATATCACAATCCCCGCCGCCTTACCGATGCAGACGAGCCACTTGTGGAAGAAGCAGACGATGAGCTTGCAGCAGTGCTCGCAGCGGCGCAGGCAGCGCGCCGGCATGCGCTGGTAGCGGTGTCCCATGCTGATCTCATAGGACGAGTCCTTCCGGCGCAGGTCTGCCTCCGGCGACTCGTTCATGCACGGGCAGGCCTGTGCGGGCCCGCTGCCGGGGAACGGGCACTCGCAGACGGCTGTGGGCGCCTGGCTCGGCGGCTTACTGAGCTCGACCAGCAGACGCAGCTGGAGGGCGGCCGCCGGGCCCGGCTGCGGCGGCCAGCCGTGGCTGCGCAGCAGCGCCGGGTACGGGAACCCCGGGCACACGGGCTCGTCACCGGGCGCCGGCAGCGACGGCTCCGGCTCGGGCGGCGCCGGACGGCACAGCACGGAACCCATGGCAGAGGAGGAGTGCCGACACCGCGTCCCAGACCGAGACTGAGGCGGCCCTCAGCGGCGGCCCCGTACCCCGCTCCGTCCCCATCGCCCGCGGCGGGTGGCTCCCCTCCTCAGGGCACGCGCAGGCGGCGGCCGGCCCGACTTTGAACCCACTCGGCGGCGTCTTGGGGTAGGCTTATCGCGAGGGCGCCCCCACGGGCCGTTCTGCCGCCCGGTCTCCGAGAAGGGACGGCGCCGCCACCGTGCTGCTGACGGTCCGCTGTGCCGCCCCTGAAGATCCATGGTCCGGCTATGCTGGGGAAACGTGCAGGGCCTATTTTAACATGTTAACTGGGGGGGCAAATGCCCCCGCACTCAACAGAATTGCCCCCCCAGTCGTCGAGATGTGCCCACTATAAAAATGGGCATAAAGGAACACGGTGACAAACATACAACTGTGACTTGTTTTGCAATGGATGTCAAATGAGTCAGTCTGCAAGTAATGACCAGTGGTGGATCCAATGGTGGGTCATATGGGTTATGACCCCCGCCCCCTTTGGCCCGGGGACACCACAGGCCTGCCCGGGGCACCACCGGCCTGTCAGGGGCACCACAGACCTGTTGGGAGCACCATCGACCTAGGAAGAGCACCATAGGTCTGCCAGGGGCACCACAGACCTGCCAGAGGCCCCACCGGCCTCGCAGGGGCGCCACCTTGGGCCTGTCAGGGATACCACCACAGGCCCGCCAGGGGCACCACAGGCCTGCCAGAGGCACCACAGGCCTAGCAAGGGCACCACGGACCTGTCAGCGACACCACGGGCCTGTCGGGGGCACCTCAAGCTTGTCAGGGCCAAGGGACACCACAGGCCTGTCAGGGGAACCAGAGGCCTAGCAGGGACACCACAGGCCTGTCAGGGGAACCAGAGGCCTAGCAGGGACACCACATGCCTGGCAGGAGCACCACCGGCCTCGCAGGGACATCTTGGGCCTGTAAGTGGCACCACGTGCCTGTCGGGGACACTCCAGGCTTGTCAGGAGCACCACAGTCCTCTCAGGGCCCAGGGGCACCAGCGGCCTAGCAGAGGCACCACCGGCCTAGCAGGGACACCAACGGCCTCGCAAGGGCATCATGGGCCTGTCAGGGGCACCACGGGCCTGTCGTTGGAACTTCAGGCTTGTCAGGGGCACCCACAGTTCTTTCAGATGCACCGGCGGCCTAGCACCATGGCACCATGTTTGGCCGGGATTGCGATTCGGCGCATGTCGCCTCGCATTAGTCGCTCGTTTGCAGTCTTTTCGTGGTTTCAAACGTTCAAACATGGGATATGATGCTGCTCCCATGCATTAGGGTGGGTGTCAAGGTCACCGGAAGGTCAGGTCAGGTCATTTACCTTTGATGACCTCGGTTCACATTTTCGAGTTCTATAAGATTCTAGGCTAGTTTTTGGAGCTAAATTCGAATTTAGCAACCATTTGACCGTTTGCGAAGTAGTTTTGGTGCCTTCGTAACATGTTACGAGGCTGTCAGAGGCGGTTGCCACCTACTACGAACACCCGGCAAAACCCTTACTGGTTGACCTGACCCGACCTGGCCTAAATGCATGAAGACATCATCTATAATCATAACTAACATGATATTCGTGATCATCACCCCGAAAAAACATAGCAGCCACCCTTTACGATGCTCTAACAGGTCTCGATTTTCCCGACTTTTGGGTCATTGACCTGACCTGGAAGGTCAAGTGATGACGACCTAGGACCTTAACACTCGCCGGCACAGGCCATTTTGCGTCCTTCGACGGCACAAGGGGGGGGGGGGTTGGTACGACCCCCCCTCGCGTTTGGCCCCTGATCGAGCTAGAGCTTCGCGGAAAAAACGAGCGTGCTGCCCGTCACGAGAGGAAGCCGATGATATCCAATTTTAATGTCCTAGGTCATCGGGTGACCTTCCAGGTCAGGTCAATGACCCGAAAATCGGGAAAATCGGGACCTGTTAGAACGTCGTAAAGTGTGGCTGCTATGGGGTTTTTTCGGGGTGCTGATCCGAATGATATCATGTGAGTTTTGATCACAGATGATGTCTTCATGCATTTAGTCCAGGTCGGGTCAGGTCAGGTCAGGTCAACCAGTAGGGGTCCTGCCGGGTATTCCTAGTAGGTGTCAACCGCCTCTGACAGCTTCGTAACATGTTACAAAGGCACTAAAACTAGGCTTCGTAAATGTTCATCGGGTTGCTAAATTCGAATTCAGCTCCAAAAACTGGCCTAGAAACATGTAAAACTCGAAAAAGTGAACCGAGGTCATCAAAGGTCACTGACCTGACCTGACCTTCAGGTGACCTTGACATCCACCCTAATGCATGGGAGCAACATCAAATCACATGTTTGAACGTTTGAAAGCACGAAAAGCTTGCAAAAGCGCGGCTAATGCGAGTCGACATACGCCGAATCGTGATTCCGGCCAAACATGGTCTCGGAAAGTAGGTCACAGGTCAAAGGTCATTTGGGTCAGGGTCATGAAATTTTCAGGGTAGGTGTAAAATTGATAAATGCGAGGGTACTGAAAGTTTCGTTGCAATCGGCAGCTTTTTACGCGAGTTATTCGCGAAAAAACCTTAGGGGGGTTGCATCAACCCCCCCCCCCTGTGTCGGCGAGGGTCGGCGAGGGTTAAAATTGGGTATCATCGGCTTCCTTTCATCACGGGCAACACGGTCGTCTTTTCCACGAAGCTCTAGCTCGAGCAGGGTCGAAACGGCAAGGGGGAAGGTCCAACGGACCCCCCCCCCCATATACGTTCGCAGCTGGAAAATACCAATACGGGCGAGGGTTGATGGATTATTAGAGACAATTTTCCAGGTTGCCCCCCCAGTCAAATTCCCTTAAAATAGGCTCTGGAAACGTGTGAACATAGTCAGAGTCTAGGCCGTATATGGTCAAAGCAAGCAAGCCCGCGGGCCGCGTACCGCCGGGTCACCGGTCAGGCACAACTGATTGCTCGGGCAGGCTACCCAGCGGCCCCTGTGGCGAAAAAACGGTGGCACCCTGTGCCCTAAGACGGGGAGTCAACTTACTTTGGGTGTGCTGCTGTTCTGTATTTTTGTTCTTTATTGGGCAAGACCCTTCCGATCTAAGAATATTTCAGAGCCGGAAGTATGTTATGTTACGCATTGGTCTGGGAGGCCACCCTCAGGGTAGGTATATTGAGTGGCCACCCGGGTGCGTCACCGAGGCTGAGACCGTCTCAGTCTCGAGGGACGAGCCACCTGACCCAGCCTCGCAAACGGTCACCGGTTTCAGGGCCTTGTGGTTACCCAGCCGCACAAGAGCCGCTCCTGAGGAACTGCTTACGTAAGATAAATGTGACCGTCCCACCCGCATCGGGGTTCGAGGTGTAGAGGAGAGGATTGTGGGACGTGACGTGTTGGCGTGTAGGACGAGTGGGGACGGGTGGGTGAAGCGATTGACGGGTATAGCGGTTGGTATCCTGGCTTCGGAGTTCGGACTAGTGCGAAAGTGCTTGCAATTTTCTGGGACACGGATTAACAGAAACACACAATTCACAAAACAAGAAATCAGAATCAAAACGGACTATTTATACGGACACCGGCGAGCGACACAACATTCATTGCAATTTGCCAATTGCATTGGAGGCCTATGTCCATGAAAGAATTTCCGCACAGACAAAATGAAGTCAAGAGTATTTGTATGTCATCAAGAATCGCAAACTTTATTGTAATTCTCACATCATTTTGATTTCCCATCGACAGAAACACACACGATCCACACGATCTGATTTGTGAATGTGAGAAACCACGCGATGAATGACCTTGAATTTGTTTCGAAACATGCGCGATTGCTACATTCTTAGCAAAAAATACTTCTGAAGCTTAAAATACTCTTTGAGTAGATTCAGCCTGTAATTTTTTTTTGTAGATTTTGAATGAAATCCTAATTTTTCACTTTGAATTGTTAAATCTTCAGCACAGTGAGCTTCAGGTTTCTTGAATTTTTATTTGATTTGTCAGGAGTGATCGAAAGACGATAAAAGTACCACAGCTGCGCAGCATTAGTTTGTTCAAGTACCATCTCTAAAATACACAACTCTTGGAACTGTTGGTCGGTGAATGGTGATGGGCGTGGAATTATTTTTTATGGCTCCTCTATTGCGGATTTGATGCATTGAATTGCATTATATAGTTTGCCAATATACCATACCGTTGATACTGTTGTAAAGGACAATTTGCAGACACACACAAGTAAGGTACCTACGCTTCTCTCATGACATCAGTACCTATTCACCGCTAGTTTTGGTTTGAGCTAAACCAGTTAAAATAGAAATGTGTGCTTACTACCTGTACCAGCATGATTTGCTAAATATCGTATTATTTGAAACTGATATAAATGTTTCCTCTGGAAACACTGATTCATTTAGGTTCATTTATGCCCTGCAATCAGCTGTCGGCTAGGAAATTTTGTGAAATATTGTTAACTTTTAGGAAAATATGCAGTAAAATGTTATTGAAGTTTCATTTTGCAGCCTGTAGGTAGGTACCCTAAGTTGAAGTTGGAGTGTATTTTGGAATTCATATGTGTTCATCAGAAATGGTACCTGTGTGTTCACATGTCCCAAATGCTCACCTATTACTGGCTCATTAATATCAGTAGGCGGAACTATGGTCATGAGTACCCAAATATAGGAACGTTCCCATTTTTGGGAACGGAGTTCCCAAATATGGGAACGGGCGTTCCCATTTATGAGAACGGAAGGCAATTTTTCGGCCGTTCGCCCACTAAAACTCAAAAGTGCATCACGTCTCAAAAAAGTGCACGCTGATTGAAGTATCTACTAAATCTTCATAAAGTTATCTTTAATCTGACCGTGGAACAAGGAAATTGACCGTGGAATGATATTTTTAATGATTTTTTAAAAATGACAAAATGTTGAAAATATGGGTTATACGACATTTAACATGCAATTTTAAGGAAAATGAAGCATTTTTTAGTTAAAGGTTAAGTATAATAATTTTCGCCTGGTTATGAACTTTCATACTATCGACACCAGATGCCGACAAATGCAAGCGAAGACGCGGACGGTCCCGAGGTAATATTGTTGACTTTTGGTGTCGGGGCGGACGACCTCGTGGAACGTGAGTGAATTTACCGAACTACTGTTGTAAACTCAGTTTAAGCGGTTGAAAATTATCCAGCTGTATTTTATCAACCCTGAAAGACATATTTTATTTGGATGCTAGCTGTTAAGCATTGCTTTTAAGGAGCGTCATGAGCGTGGTTTTTGCCTTCGGTATTTTTAAGCACGATCGTTTTGGGGGAATTTCTTTTATGCAGGTCGCCCTGTGTGGCTTATTTATAATTTTTATGCTGATTTTGATCATTTCTCGTGCCCATCCTACCAGGCTTTTTGCCACTTACACTCATTAAGAAAGGAAAAAAGTAGATTTATATTGGGACTAGGTGTTTTGAGAGTGAAACATTTCAGCGTTCCCATTTTTGAATACTTACTTGTGCTCATCAACTATCAGTGTTAAACAGACAGGTGTTTTACATGCCTCCACCCTCGGCGCGGACGGTGTATATAGGTATGGAAGACCTTGTTGAACATCGCTGAGCGTTGTGAATTACGTAATCCTGCAGAGGGGGGCGTGCCCGTTGCGAGATCGACGGGAATAAAAGCGCAGAAGACCGGGCGAAACATGCGACGGTCTTGCCGGAAAGGTCATCTGATGATTGTTGCGTTAACAATAATTTGCGGCGTTGGACGTGATGCTTGTTAATGAAAAGAGCCCCTGAAAGCCGTCGGTGAAATCGTTCCCAATTTTGGGTACGCCGTTCCCATAATAAGGAACGCTTGCAGCGCCAGTGTACGAGAGCGTTCCCAAATTTGGGCTCGCGGCCCGGATGATGGACTGCTTTAGAAATAGGGGAACGATTTGAAACTACGATGGGCCTTACAATATCAAACTCTTTCCCAACAATATTGAGATAAATATCAGGCGGTTCACGATCGTTTTATATTTTTTGGACGTCATTTAACGGTTCTTTTTCTTGTTTTAAATAATGCCTACATGGCGTTCCCATATTTGGGTTTATCGTTCCCAAAGATGGGAACGAAAATGCGTTCCCGAAAATGGGTACGCTTGACCATAGTTCCGCCTACTGATATTACTGGCTCATTAATACTGTTTCTATAGATCCTGTCTACTCTCTCCCTTTTCTGTTTATTCAAATTTTCATGTCAATTTCTCCCAATATGCCATTCTCTTATTTGATTTTTTTAAGCCAGCGTATTCCAGCCCGTAAGAACAGGATTTTTAGATGGAAAGGATCAAGATGCAATGAAAGCTAAAAGTCACACTGGAGTCAGACAGATGTGTTACTGATGAACCAAGAAAAAAGTAAAAACAGCAAATGCTCAGTTTATCTATTTATTGAGCAGAAGTGTGTTCTATAGACTAATGCATTTCAACCATTTTTGTTATTGTTCAGCTTGATAAATCAATATTTAGGCATTATTTATCAGCTGACTCTGGTTTATTGTACATGCCTGCCTTATCAATATAAATGATTTGGTTTCTGATAATGTAAATAAAATGTTTCCCTAATATTTGTTTCAGTCTATATTTCTGCATTACATGTTGTAGCTCATAAAAGGTCCTGTCAGCCTTTGCCTGTGTGTGTGTCCTTCAAATCAATGTCCAGTCCTGAACTGGTTCACCTTAAGGCAAATCCTTATGGCTCTTCTGGGCTTATATCCTTTTCAGGCCAGTACTATATTGTTATAAATTTGCTGAGGGAGGATGGAAGGCGCAGTTCAAAGTTCAAACTGTGAAACTAGGTGATTTGGATTCACCACTGCCATTGTTTTGCATGCAACATTCTACTTTCAAGTTCCATAGTGCTCTGTTTTAATGTGATGCTTTATTTAGGTTTGATTTCAAGATTTTAGCCCTGATCACAAGCAGAGCTTACCTACTCGTCTGAGATGTTGAACCTCAAGCCAGCTCAAGATATTCATCTCATCCACTAAGTCTTAAGCAGGGTGCCTAATGATATCTCACTTAGTGTGATTAAAAGTTGTGAGCTGAGCAAGGAAAAAGCATTCTTTCAATGTCTTCCAGTGGTGGTGATCGCCCACTGGTCAGGTCTGACTCAAAAATTAAGTTGGCTCAGGTCTGACTCTTGAATGAATGCAGTTTGTTTGGCTTAAATACCTGTCTATGTGGAAAGAGTCATACTTCTTGTAGTAGAACTTAGAAGAAAAGCAACTACTGGTTGGCATGGTTTCTGCTCCAGTAATACCAAATCATCAGATAATCAGGAGTGATCTAATGATAGTTTGGAAGGTCTTGTGAGGGTCTTGTGTTTAGTTTGGAGGGTCTTGGGACAGTAAAATGCTGGTTCTATGTGAAATTAAACCCACCAACTTCAATGCTCTCAACTTGCAGACTGCAGTGGCAATGCTGGTCTGTCCACAGTGCTGGGGTTATACAGTCAGCTCCTAGATGTCAGGACGGTCGCTACGAATGCGTCGGGCAAAGTCCGAGGCTGACCGCCTCTGATCTTTAGGAAATGGGCCTGCCCGCTCACCACTGTTTTCCCTCACTTGTTAATTGTTGCCGATGATCTAAATCCCGGTCAAGGGTACGGGGGTTGGACTACCCGATTTGCAAGCCCACTTATCCCTTATCATGTGTAATTTTCTCAAACATTTGCATAGGACTAGTGGCTTGTGTTTACCGAGTCGTGATTACTTTGCTGAATCAATGGGGGGGGGGGGGGGGGGTTACAGTGGTAAGTAGCTTAGTATAAGCAATGGTCATGAGTGCATACATTCACAGTGTTCTAACGCAGGTATTGTATGCAAAGTCAAGTTAATCCGCTCGTGCCATTTGACGCTTTATTAATGAATGCTATTTTTTTAAGGTATCTGACCATATGGGCTCTCAAGAAATTTAACGTTTTTCCTGATGATTGAGCGGAGCTCACTTCTTCAGTTGCCGTACTTTGGTATAATACTTTTACCAACGTACCGCAACCGTAAACGTCCCAAAATCACAAAGGCTGCGAACGTTCCGAAGGTCGCATCATACTCGTAATGTATCGCATCATATACCAGAGTACCTCGACTTTCGGAATTGCTTGAGACACATTCACATACCGACAACGAAAGGATGGCGATCGGCTTATAGTTATTTAGTTATCTCTTTAACTAAATTGTGACGGTGGTCCGATTCTCCGGCAAGGACTCGTGTGTTCCTTCTACCTTACTCGGTGATTGCTAGCTGGGACGGGTAACTCCGGCGCTCGTGTCATGTCGTGCTCGCGTGGTGCCCGAACTGTATTTAGGAGGGCCCGGTCCGGTCGGCGGCTTGTATGGGCCTACCACGGAGCTGCGGCGGCCTCGGCAGCACCCGCTCGGCTCGCCGCCCCATTTCTGACACCGTCAGGTAGGGGCGGCCGCTCGTCGGACCGACCGGGCGATGGCGTGCAACGAACAGTGTCCCCGGTAGTCCACCGTCCCGATCGGCGGGCTCGCGTGGCAGCGGCAGGACAGAGGCAGCTCATTGCGGCCGCCACTGAGCCGTCACCTCGCCGCCAGCCGTCGGTTCGCGCCGGGCCGCGGCTGCCGGTCGGACCACAGTGCTGCGCCGCCAGCCGCGCTGTGAGCAGGCTCCGGAGGCCACTGCGAACACACTCGACCGGACAGACTCAGTGGTGTCGGAACTGGGCGTGGTGCGAGCTGTGGGGGTGACTGAAGGGCAGTGGTAACGATGAAGAGCGCTAACTAGTGATAAACTTGATTAGAGGGTGGTGACTGGTGATTGGTGATAAACTCACGAGTTACGCCGTAGACCCGTGACCGATGATAGTGGACCCCTGCAGTGGTGATTTCTGCGACCTGTGATAGCTATAAGTACCGCCGGCTGCCGCAGTGATCCCAGTGACCCGTCCGGTGATGACGGGGCGGTGATCGAGTGTCGTCAGTCAGTGTGGCGTGACCGCTGACTGTACCAGTGGCACTGTGTAGGGACAGCAGTGTAGAACAGCTCCGACCGCCGTCTGAACCTCCGCCATGCCGTGTCTTCCGTCAGGCTCCGGCTCGCTCAGGAAGCGCAGTATGGAGCGCAAATTCACCCGCGTGCTGGCCCGGCCCGGCATGGCCGCCCAGCTGCGGGAGAACGTCAGTCAGGCCGTCAAGGAGACCACCATTCAGGTACGGTCACGAACGCACCACGGCCGGGCCTGATGGCCGGTCAGGGCGGGGCCTCACGTGATCAGGGGGAGGGGGGAGCGGGGCTGTGTGACCTTCAGGCCCAATTTGTGGTCGGTGGATTTCCTAATAGGAGGAAGGTCAGAATAAATAAAGTGGGCCAGCGTTCGGTGGGTGATTGAAGATGACTTTTCCTTTTGTCAGATATTATAATCATCCCAATTAGCGCATGTGTCATTATTTAGTCAAACGTAATTCTGATGGTTATCAGTTCAACAGGTGTGAGAGCTCTCACATCCTTCCGTGTCTGGCACCGCCGGCCACTAGCTGACCTTTCCCTCGAACGACCCGCAGACGCAGCGGCACATCACCGAGCCCCTCGACTACGAGGGGTACGTGTCCAAGAACATGACCATTCTGCGGAACGACCCGCACCGCGAGCTGCTGCTCTTCCCACTGGACGATGTGGAGGTGAGTTCCCTCGGGGTGACGCAGCTGTGAGCTCATTACATTCTGCGGCGGTGACCGGTCAGCTGACCGAGCTGTGTGAAACCGGAGCTCAGTCGGTGGTCATCTGACCCTGTGTTACTCGATCCGGGCCAGTGCAGTCAGCGATATGCTTCGCAATCCCATAAACAAGATTGGACTGCTTACGTTAGAATTATATCGTGCGTAGTAGTTCGCGATGCTGACCGAATCACCCAGCGATATTTCAATTCGTGTCGAAATACTTATATTCCGTGACAATTCAGTATTCTGTGACAGCTGACCACAGTCTCCCCCAGTGTCAGGTGCTGCTCTCGAGTCCTTGTCCTCCCCTCCCCCGGCCCGGACCGTGCCCCCCCCCCCCCCCAATGCCCCGCCGGCCGGGCCTCTCCTGCAGTCCGGGTGCCTGGTGCATGGTGATTGAGCCAGCAGCGCAGTCGTCACGTGCTGATGAATAGAGAGCGTGTCCTGGCAACCTCTGACGTTCGCGATCGGCCGCCCCGATATATGTGGGGCCCGGCCGTCGCCGGTGAATTAATTAGCAATTTTAGCAAGCGAACAGTCAAGAGCCCACGGTTTGCTGGTGGATTTTCTACCATAGGGGACTGATGGTTAGCGCCACGGCTGAACCGGTTGCCGGGTAACAGCCGACGTGTCGTGAGGAGGCCTGTTCGCCTCCTCCGTGGTGACTGGTGCCGGCACCGTGCATGGTATGCCGCCCATATATGGGGCGGCGTCCGGTCGGAACTCTGCGGGTCAGCCTACCACTCAGGGGGTGGCTCAGGTAGCTCGGCATAGATACGATCTGTCCGAGCCGGTCACCACAGGGTACATTGTCACAGCGAGCCGAGGTAATTGGCCCCCCGGCCGCATTGTTTGGTCTCAAGGCGATCACCAGCGGCCAGCCTCGCCTGACATTGTTTGTGATGCCGGCGGAATTTCGCCCGTATTTCGGCAGCCGGATTTGGTGAGATCGCTATCGCTGGAGCCTTTACAAGGTCTAATGAAAGTATAATACCTGCTGGCGGCCTTCACGACAAAATTGCCCCGTATGTTCTCACGGAAACATGGCACACGAGTGGCTGTGGTAAATGAATCACATGTCCTCTCACTACCAGGCACTAGCAGTGATGACGTGATTGCAATCTGGATAGTGGATAGATTTTACCGGACGTGACTCACGCGATATTTATCCGTCAGCTAATGATAATATTGACAAGGTCATCTGCAATCACAATTGCGCTGCAGCCCTTATTATAGACGGTTTATCACAGCGATATGGGTGTCATCAAAACCGCACTATCTAGACTCGGAGTGTGCTTTTATAATCGTGTGTTAGTTCATACTTGACCGCCGAGATTGCCGGGAGTGTTGAGGAAATGACGAGACTTCATATGAATGGGAGGCTCTTACGTGGCCGGAAACGTGACGTAGTTCGTATTGGTGTATTCTCTTTTTGCGTGCAGTTGTAATCTTTGTTACTTAATTTTTATGCCGAATTCTTCTTATGAACCACTTTTGGTTTGTTGATTATTTTAGATAAATACGCACGTAGCTTTCATAGTGCAACAAACACCAACTGTGAACCCTGTTCATGAACGCCGTATACCATCCTCTCCTCAATGCCCGTTTCATTGTAGTCACTGTCTTGACCATGACACCATTCGCGCTCAAAGCTGATCCCGTAGGCGCTTGATAGCCTACATTATCTGAGAAACCCGCCCAAACACGCCATCAGTCCTCAAAGCAGATCCTGTATGTCCCAAATGCTCGACCTACAGCAGCTGACGCTGTTTGTCCCCCTGTGTTCCTCCCCCAGTACCGACTGACCCCGTCTGTCCCATTTGTTCCTCCCTCAGTACTGACTGACCCCTTGTGTCCCCCTGTGTTTCTCCCCCAGTAACGACTGATCCCTTCTGTCTGTCATGCTCGTCCCTCAGTAGCGACTGACCCCGTCTGTCCCACTGTGTTCCTCCCCCAGTACCGACTGACCCCGTCTGTCCCATTTGTTCCTCCCTCAGTACCGACTGACCCCTTGTGTCCCCCTGTGTTCCTCCCTCAGCAACACGTGCGCGAGCAGCACGGCTCGGCGCTGGGCACTCCTCTGGAGCAGCTGGCTCTGCAGCAGGCCGACAACCACATGATCCGCGAGTGTCTGGAGACGTACACGGCCCGACTGGTGTCAGTGAAGTATAAATACGACGCGTTCGCGGCCACCTACCTGCAGCTGCCCAGGTGGGTAGAAATGGGGAGGTATGGGTGTCTGAGAACGACAGGTGGGTCGGGATGGGACGGGACGGAGAGTTACGTGGAGGTACACACGGACGGGTCTCTTTGAGATTGATAGCTGGTTCGTGGTAGCGATGAACAACGTGTTGCCACCTCGATGTGTCTAGTCGGACATGGGCGGGAAGGGCGAAAAGCTCTGGGCATTCACAGGACGACAGACGGTCCTTGGTAGCGGTGATGGATGTTGCTTGCGAAGGTGTGCCGGGTCGGACCGGGTTGGGGAGGTATGGAACTCTCATAGGGAGTGGGTGGGCCGTGACTGCGGTGACAGACGTGTCCCTGTCCGGGTGATGTGGTCACTCACGCCTACTGGTGGGTGTGATGTGTGGTCACATGTGACCTGCGTGTCTCACGCCTTCTTGTGGGTGGGCTGTGTGGGTAGTGCTCGATCCGGTATCGACTGCACATCGTGAGTGGGTAGACGCAGCGAGAACATGTTTTCGGCGGCGGGGCGCGTATGTGGAGCTGTCGAGATAAGGGTCTGATGTCGCGGCGGGTCTGATGGTTGGGACGAGTTGGGTGGAACCCTGTCCGGACGACTGGTGGGAGGAGGGTTTGGTCGGGTTGAATCGGTGATCCAGTCTGCAGACCGGCTGCATTTCAGATTGTAAAGATATCTGGCTGTTGCGAGATCATGCGGCTATCGTGGGCTGGCATGACTCGTAACTATTGGATATTGTCTTTATCGTGCTCTGTCACATGTGAGTGACTCCTCTTTAATTGCATTTCTTTCAACCTATCATTGCATATGTTCCGTTTTTTCTGTCTTCTTCTCGCACTTCCAGTATACTGCGATTGACACGTTTCAACTGATTACAATCGGCCAGCCGCCTGCCGCCCCCCCCCTCTCCGCCCGCACACACACCTTGGCTTACCACCTCACCCCCGCTCACCCGATTTACTTCATTGGCGGTGCCGCGTTTGCCGAGGTCCGTTTAATCGCCGGCCGGCGGCGGGCGGCGGGCGCGCTGCGTGCCTGTCAAACTGTTTACGCCCCGATAGGTGGCCCCGTTTGCGTCACACTGTGTCCGCGCACTGCGGCGCCGAACTGCGGACCCGAGCTCGTATGGCCTTGTTTTCTGTCAGTTTACGGGGCACGGGAAGGGTGACGGAATTATCGCACCTTTGATTACGACTTTTTGTGACGTCTGTTTCATGCCAGTCGACTGCTTACTTTCGCCTGCTCCTTCGCGTTTTCCTGTTCGCTATTTCGGTATTGTTTTTGTTATCACTGCATCGGATCAAAATGGAGGACGGAATCTGTGCGGTCCATCTGCCTTGTACCGACCAGAGTTGCATCACACTGTGCTTTGTGCAGCCTGTGCACCCAGGACAATGTTCAGGCTGACAGGGCAACCGTCCAGCGCCTGCACTCTGACGCTTCTTCATAAAAACTCGCTGAATGTTCTGGGTAGCGCGCTCTGTTTGGGTCTCCGTTCGCCGATGTCACAACGTGGAGCGGGCGGCCGATCATCTGTTTACTCTGCTCCAGCCCAGCCGAACTAATCGTGCGGTGCCTGTTTACCAAAGGCGCAGAGTATCGGGGCTTCACGTGCCGCGAATCCCTGTCCCCGTCGACCCGCCCTGACCTCACCGTTTGCGGCTGTGACGCTGGAGAGATAGGCGCCGTGTTTATGGCACGTCACCGGGGCCATTTGTATATTATGCATCGTCCCATATCGTCATTATCGTCACTGTGTAATGTGCGACTTATGTTTGGTCTTTCCGATCTAGGGTGGCATTCGTGTCTACTGTCTATTTATGTGGGGTGCTTTTCAAGTGGCAATTCCCAGACACTTATGAAACCAACCGACGTATATTTCCATATCTATCTTTCCTTGCGTTCAGATGGCGCCTTCCAATTATGCATTTTCTATATGCTCGTACTTCAGTGCTCTCCCCCGAGCGACGAGTCTTTTTAATGAGCCAACGTTACGCCTCTGTCGACTGAGTACTGCAGTTTTGAACCCCCAATTCGTGTGTACCGATCCTCTGAGTGTGTTCTGCCGTCACCCCTCACTCACCGTCCCGTCGCCAGGTTTCCGCGCACGCCTCCGCTGCCGCCGTACGTATGTGAGTCCGACCTGGACATCGACTGTACCGACTCCATCGAGGTGCAGTCCGTCTCCAAGGCCGGCTACCTGCTGCGCGGCACAGACGGAGCCGGCGACAAGCTCTTCGCCAAGTCCTTCAAACGACGCTTCGCCAGACTCAGGTAAAGTGGTGCTGAGGGGATGCGAGGAGAGAAGTGAGGTGATCGGTAGGAGTAGGGGCGTGTCTCGTAATGCATCAGCCAGGACGTCGACAAAGTAGTCAGCGACTCTAAGACCACAACCTTTATGCACTTGTAAGTTGTAAGAACAGGGATTGACCATTCAAATCTCGTTTGTGCTGCCTATTGACCTTCGGTTGAACCCGGCGCTGTCTGGCGTCCCGTTATCACTACAGACAGTCCCTCAGTGAGCCAACAGACGCCTGCCATTGGGTCTGATTCGGCCAGAGTGGCGCACAATGCACCGAGTTTGTCTGGACGTGCTCTATGTGCCTGGGAACCCCTGGCAGGGGGCTGGATTGATGGGCCGAGGATGGGCCTTATTTGTGCAATGAAAGGGACTGGAGTTGCTGTAGGACAGGGTGGATGGAAAGGGGTGAGGAAGATTTAATGAGAGTTGCTTATGGTGACTAGCCTGTGAGTAAGACCGTGTTGGGCAGATAAGACGGTTGTTTGGGCCATGACAGACAGAGAGCGGCTGTTTTTAGAGGAGCTACAAGATATGTAGATATGCCATTCGTTGTCCATATGGAGCTTGAATTGAGGCCCAAGCCTCATTCCGGACATAACGTTCGTGTTTCGGGTTCACAAGGAACATCTGTTCTCATTAACATACCAATGTATGCATTTGTCCCCTAGCTGTGTCAGTCTGGGACGGTAAAGGTCGGATGGCGGTGGCGGCACAGACATCACGACGACCTCGCCCTGACCCTCCCCTCCGCCTGTCCTGATTGGTCCGCTCTGCGCGTCACATCACTCCGTGTGGCGTACTGGAAGTAATGATCCCACCTCTCCTCCCGCCGGCCCCGGCCGGTACCGTACTGCGCCTCATACTCGTCTATGTGTCGTCACTCCGTCTGTATCGGTCTGTTATTGCGATGACTAGCGCTCAGACGAAGGACGCTGGGTCACGGTATCTACTGTCTGGGCTTTGGTCGCGGTGGCCCTCGCGGCCGTGACTGGGTCATGAATTCAGGGGTGGAGGATTGACAAATGTTGTCCTCATTATATGTTTGTTTTGTTTTGGCTTCAATGTGAGCCGCAAGTTTTCTGAATGTGATGTCACCAATCGATGTAATTCCCCAATGGAGCTCGCCATGAATAACTTCTACCCAATGCGCGTAGATTCATTGAAATTTCCGCCGGTGCTGCTTAAAAGCGATGTCATTCATTTTTGCACTGTGAACTGTTCCTTACGTTTCATGTTCCGTTTTTTGCGTTACCAGGCAAGGCGTGGACGGCAACTACGTACTCGAGTTTTACAAGGACTCCAAGTCGTCAGAGAGCAAAGGTGCCATCCCGCTGGACCTTGTCAGCGATGTGGTCAAGGTATGTGCTTGTTATCGCGCACACAAGTGAGAAACTCTGCAGCTTCAGATGCATGATAAGCTTCTTCGTTCCTGTCTTGCCTGATAACTAGTCAGGATGTTACATGCTCGCATCGTCTGATGCAAGTATGATGTGAGATTTTGGACTGTAATTTGGTCATGTCTCAATAATTGAGGCTTGTGAACGTAGATGGCTACCTAGCAGACCATAAGGCGGACAGAAGTGGCTATTATTCCGGCGTGGCTGGTCTATTACGTCGCAGCTGTTCGTAAGTGGTATTGCGCCTTTGCCTCAGCTGACGAAAAACCCCAACCCCGCTCGCCACCACTGACCGCCTCCGGTGGCTCCACAGGCGCCGAAGCGGGGCAAGTTCTGTTTCGAGTTGCGGTCGACAGATGGCGGTAAGGGCCACGTGCTGACGGCGGAGACGGAGGCGGACCTGCAGGAGTGGCTGGACACGGTCAGCCGGGCGGTGGCGCTCACCAGGGATGACCGGCTGTCGGTGACGTCAGAGACGGTCTCCACCACCGACGGACCCGGCACGCCGGCTCTGGGTGAGAGGGGACGGGAGGGGAGACGGTCTCCACCACCGACGGACCCGGCACGCCAGCCCTGGGTGAGAGGGGAGGGGAGGGGGAACAACCTGTGACCTCTGAGACGGTCTCCACTACCGACGGACCCGGCACTCCAGCCCTGGGTGAGAGGGGAAGGGGAGGGGGAACAACCTGTGACCTCTGAGACGGTCTCCACCACCGACGGACCCGGCACTCCGGCCCTGGGTGAGAGGGGGGAGGGGAGACTGTCCCTGCCACCGAGTACCGACGGACCCGACACACCGGCCCTGGGTGAGAGGGGAGGGGAGGGGACAACCTGTGACCTCTGAGACGGTCTCCACCACCGACGGACCCGGCACTCCGGCCCTGGGTGAGAGGGGAAGGGGAGGGGGATCTTACTGGGCTGATGCCTAAATATGGGGGTAACCTTTTAACCCTCGCCCGTATAGGGGGGTGGGGGGTCGAACGGACCCCCCCTCGGTTTTTCGCGAATAACTCGCGTAAAAAGCGGCCGATCGCGACGAAACTTTCAGTACCCTCGCGTTAATCAATTTTACACCTACCCTGAAATTTTCATGACCCTGACCCTAATGACCTTTGACCTGTGACCTACTTTTCGAGACCATGTTTGGCCGGAATCGCGATTCGGCGTATGTCGGCTCGCATTAGCCGCGCGTTTGCAGTCTTTTCGTGGTTTTAAGCGTTCAAACATGGGATATGATGCTGCTCCCATGCATTAGGGTGGGTGTCAAGGTCACCGGAAGGTCAGGTCAGGTCACTGACCTTTGATGACCTCGGTTCACTTTTTCGAGTTTTACACGTTGCTAGGCCAGTTTTTGGAGCTGAATTCGAATTTAGCAACCATATGAACATTTACGAAGTAGTTTTGGTGCCTTTGTAACATGTTACGAAGCTGTCAGAGGCGATTGCCACCTACTACGAATACCCTTACTGGTTGACCTGACCTGACCTGACCCGACCTGGCCTAAATGCATGAAGACATCATCTGTGATCAAAACTAACATGATATTCGTGATCAGCACCCCGAAAAACCCCATAGCACTGCCACGCTTTATGACTTTCTAACAGGTCCCGATTTTCCCGACTTTTGGGTCATTGACCTGACCTGGAAGGTCAACCGATGACCTAGGACCTTAAAATTGGGTATCGTCGGCTTCCTCTCGTCACGGGCAACACGCTCGTTTTTTTCCGCGAAGATCTAGCTCGATCAGGGGCGAAACGGCAAGGGGGGGATCCAACGGACCCCCCTCCCCCTTATACGTTCGCGGCTGGAAAAACACCAATACGGGCGAGGGTTAAATCACTTCTTATTGAAATGCATCGGGCTCCCTGATGTCTCCCTGCCCATCCATCCAATGTCTGACCACCCCTACCCTTTTCCCCGCTCTCAGGTCCTCCGCCGGCCGATGACCGTTTCAGCACGCTGCGGGGTCTGGACCAGAGTCTGAACCCACAGCTGAACCGGTACGCGCACGAGACGGACTACCTCATCGGACAGGCGCGCTCCGAGGGCCGCCTGCCCGTCTTTCAGCTCTATCCAGACATACAGGTCAGGGGATGGGGAGTGGTACGACTGGGGGGGGGGGGGGGAGGATCAGAGGGCCGCCTGCCAGTGTTTCAGCTCTACCGCGATATACAGGTCAGGGACGGACAGCGCGGATGGAGTTTTGGAACTCAGGAAGGAGGAGAGCGAGGGATCGGGCTAATTTGTATGTGCTTTGGGTAGTTCGCTTGCTAGATATCTTGAATTATCAATTTATCAGGATTATATCAGGATTATAGGATTATAGGCTAGGATTTATATAGGATTATTAGTTCAAATGTGTCACCGATAGAGGCTTTCACATTGTACTATATTCGTCCTATTTATTAATCTAAGTCGTAAATTATCGTCAAAATAATCTGTGTTCTCTCTCCCCTCTCCATCCCGTCAGTCGACACCTCTGTCAGTGGCGTCCAGTGAGGACCACCTGCGTACCGAACCGTTCTCAGAGGTGCACGGTGTCACCGTGTTAGTCCGCTGTGAGAGCCTCCAGTTCCGACTGCAGATGGCCGTCGACGAGACCGGAGACAACATGTCACAGGTAACGGTGGGGACGAGACCGGAGACAACATGTCACAGGTGGGGACGAGACCAGAGACAACATGTCACAGGTAACGGTGGGAATGACACTATTTATTGTGGTCGTCACTCGTCTGACAGTTGAAAAGTGATGGAAAGCGTGGTTGATTAAAGATATACGTGTGCATGTGGTTTCGACTCTGTTTTCATTTTGCCAAGCGTCTAAAGCGTGTCGTTTTATGCAGTGTTACATTAAACCATTTTGACAACTTTACGGAATAACGTTCAGGCAATAAATTTCAGGCCCTGCATTTTCACTAGACCGGCATAATTTATTTCCTTCATTCATTTGCGTATAACGATGTCATTTCTGCCTTTCAGATTGAGCCCTATTTCGCCTCATTATGTCTCTACGACGCGAAGCAGGGCCGGAAAATATCGGAGGATTTCTTTTTCGACGTGAACGAGCCCTACATTCGAAATCTCCTGCCAAAGAGCATCTCAAAGAACAAGTCCCGGGGCGCGTGCCTGCTGCCGGACCTGACCCACGCGCCGCTGGAGTGGCTCTCCTATCCCAGACAGGTATGGCACAGCGCATCGCTTCCTGTAGCAGCTACTGATGTGACGATTACGACGGCCAGTTCCGAGTTTGACGGCAAGCTGCATGATAAGTCTGACGATGTTTTTTATCCAAGCACAATGTGGACGGCTATGGAGTAGATTCATGAATGAGATTTGATGAATGCCCCCGGACTTGAGTGTTAAAAGCCCGAAGCAATTCATTAGATTAATTGCAGCTGACCCGTTCCCATCCCATCCGCCGCGACCCGTCCTCCATACTACCCCCAATGTGCGTGTCTGATCGTCCCGTGCCCCTCTCTCGGCGTCAGGCGCTGTTTACGGTGCAGCAGCCTCACAGTGAGATATTTCTGGTGGCGCGCATTGAGAAGGTGCTGCAGGGCGCTGTCTCGGTCAGCTGCGACCAGTACTGCCGGACGGCCGACCCCAAACACGTGGCCAAAATGCACCACCAGGTGCGACAGTCGTGCGACAGGTTAGTAAGCCGTCGAAACAGTCATCGGATTGGGTGTGGGATTTCAGGTCAGTCATGTTCTGACAATTGATGACCGTAGTGTTCTTAACAAGGCGAGGGAAACATTTATTCTTAAAATGTTAACTGCAGTATTTTGTTACACCCAAGCAATACGAACGATGCCTGTCCCGTTATTTCTCGTTGTTTCGTTTCTGGAATATTGGCTATAACACTCCCTTACTCCGCTACACTACAGCGGACGATATTCTGTAGCCCAGCATCCATCCCCACTACTGCACTTGCCCCTCCCTCGGCAGACTGGGCGGCTACCGGATGCCGTTCGCGTGGACGGCGCGGCCGCTGTTCCGCTCCACGGCCGACCTGGACCCGGCCGACTTCGGCGCCCTGTACCGACACGAGCCCAACAGGATGACCGAGGAGGACGTGCTCAAACTGCTGCAGGACTGGAGAAAGTGAGTGACCGGGTCGCGAGGGTGGGGGAAGGCCGGGACGGGTTGATCTGTTGATTTATTGTATTTTCACCTAGTTAGGCATCAATAAGTCGACTGTAATTTCGATTACTTTCTGGAGCTTATTTTGATATATGAATTGCGGATTTTTAGATAAATCGGCTACAATGAATGCTTGGCACATTATTTTCCGATGCGAAGATGTCTTGGCGCCGTCCACTGCCCGTATGTATGTGTCTGACTCAGCGCCGTTCTCGTTGTTTCCAGGCCGGACAAGCTGAGTCGTCTGGCGGTGATCCCCGGCTCTCTGAAGGTCACCGTTCAGATACACAGCGGGCAGACCATCAACAGTGAGTGCCGACTTATTATTCACGGAGTACGAAAAAAACTCTCCTCCGAGAAATGTGGCTCACTTTGCCACAGTCTATTTTATTGACGGTTACAGAGACAGTTGATCCACAACTTTCACATAATTAGTAAGGTCGGTACTCGGCCGACCCGGCCCGGCCTGGCCCGCTCAGCAGCTGCCCATGAGTCGGCCGCTCCTATCCCGGCCGCAGACTGTCGCCGCCCTCTCACTACCCCTGTCTCCGTCCACAGACTGTCTATCGCCGTCTCTGGTGCCTCTGAAGCCGTTCCCGGTCCCGCCGTCGTGCCCGCCGACTCTGAAGCTGCAGAGTCTGCCGGCGCCGGCGCCGGAGCTGGCCGTCCCGCACACCGGCTACACCAACCTGCTCTACGTCTACCCGCGCCGGCTCAAATACGACGCGCAGAAGACGTTCAAGGCGCGCAACATCGCCTGCCGCGTGGAGCTGCGGCAGGGGGACGACGAGAACGCTGCGCCGCTTGAGGTTCGTCACCTGGCGGGCTGTATAATGGATTGGGATACGATATTATAGTGCACACTGCGCATCAGATAATGTTAAGAAGTGAACACGGGACAACCCAGCTCCTCACTAGTTATGAGTGTTCTAACTGTTCATTGTTGATGACAAGTTTTTCTTCTTCTGAATGCTGTTGTTAATGTTTAACTTCATTTTCGCTATCTTGTTTATTACCGTTTGGCGCCTTTTCAGTGTCTCATTCCTCCGTGTGTTCTTGGGTGATATCCGACTCTGACCCGCCCCCGTCCCCTTGCCTTGCAGTGTTTTTACGCTCGTCCGGGCCAGGGGTGCAGCTACACGACCAGCCAGCTGACCTCGGTGCTGCACCACGAGACGACGCCCAGCTGGGGCGGCGAGGTGAAGCTGGCGTTGCCGCTGGCGGTGGACGAGCGCCACCACCTGCTCTTCACCTTCTACCACGTCAGCTGTCAGCCCAAGCCGGCCAAGCGCGGCCAGGAGACGCCCGACGCCGTGGTCGGCTACAGCTGGATACCGCTGCTCAGCAAGGGCAGGTCCGTCGGTCGGCGGGACGGTCGGGGTCAGAGAGGGTGACTGTGATTTGAAGCGCCGATAAGTTAGCAGTGCCGGGCTGAAATGTTGAGTTCGGGGCGTCAGGGTGGGGTGTCGACGAGAATGGTCTGCTTCTTTGGAGAACTGACAGTTTGGTGATTTTGAACTGGAATGGTTGAGTGTCGAATTTGGTCGAAAATGTCGAATTTTGTTTTTGTTTGGTGAACATGATGGTATGTTTTATGTGATCTGAGAATTACACTAAGTTCTGCGTTATTTTTATGTATGTTTTTACCGCAGGCTGAACCTGGACACGCAGACGGTGGCGGTGGCCTCCCCCCTCCCTCTCAGTCTGTATCTCCTGTGTGACCAGTGTGTGTCTGTATTTACCACAGGCTGAACCTGGACACGCAGACGGCGGCGGTGGCCGCCCCTGTCAGTTCCTCTGTAACCAGTGTGTCTGTGTATCTACCGCAGGCTGAACCTGGACACGCAGACGGTGGCGGTGGCCGCTCACCTACCGCCCGGATACCTGGCCGTCGAACCGCTGGGGCTCGGCAGAGGGGTAAGTCAGGTACTGATCCGAACCCGCCGGTCCGCCGTCCGCCTGTGCTGCGGCAGCGGCGGACCGGCGATACAACCGGCCTCACAGCCGGACCGGGGCGGAGCGGACACTAACACTGAGCTGCTGATCTGGGCTGGACTGAGCTGCTGAGCTGAGCTGAGCTGAGAGCCGAGCTGAGAACTGGCCGCCGAGTCAGGGGCACTAACCGGAGCACTGGTAGACGCAGGTGTTGGTGTGCTAGTCTGTCGGTGGCTGGACTGCCTGAGGTAGAAAACTCGCCTATTTTCGTATCTAACAGACTTTGCGTCATTGGGAAACCGGTGATAGACGCGCATGTGTGCATCGGTAAACTTTGTGCGGTTGGTTTGTGGTTATTATTTGGTAGTTTATTCGACATTGACGATTCATGTTGGAAGGTGTCAACTAAGGTAATCCGATGTGATGTGTAGGAACTGACGCCTTACATTAACCTGGCTTTCCTCTTCTATCAATAGTTGTGAGCGGAGAGACCATTGTGGATACCATTCGCATGATCACTAATGCTCGAAGCATTTGTCGTATTTAGTTTTGCACGCCGATCGTATACTAACAGTGTTTTTTTTGCATATGTTTCTTTTTGTGTTAATCCTGACTGCTTCATTGTGATTTCTTTTCAATGCTCCCCAGCCGTTGTTCGGCGTTCGGCAGAGTTTTCGACACACCGGCGAGTTTGCTCCGACGGCAGTCCCCTCCGACAAAGTAAACCCCGCTGACTGGTGTTGGGTGTCCGTCCGCCCGCCGGGGTGTGTCACTGTGTCAGTCGCTCTCCGGGCCTGCTGCTAGCTTATGTCGGTGGCGGTTGGGACGTTAAATTTCGTCAGTCGAGCTGCTATGGCTGTGAGGTCTGGTGCAGGTAGACCTCGTTGTCGAAACACAAGCTAACGGTTGCTGTCTATTGCAGCTTCCAGCAGCTGAATACGGGGTCGTCCCATCTTTTTCCTATTTATGTATATGCCTGTGTTTTTCGTCGTTCCCAAGACTTGCTTGAAAGTCATTAGATCCTGACGCTTTGTTTATGAACGGTCTCACGATGTTGATACACGTATGTGTCCAGCTGGTATTGTGTGCTTTTCGTGATACTGGGGCTCTGTAAATATGCCGTTTCGACGTTTCGACGCGCGTTCGACATTTGAGCGGCTATATGACGTGCGTGCATCATCAATCTGTCATCGTGTTGTATATATGCTAACTACTGAGCTAACAGCGAGGAAACTGAGTCAAGATATCATCCAGAGAAAGGTTATCCTATGCTCACTGTACAGTGCTCATGTCTGCACAGTGCACAAACCACCAGCATGACTGCGCGAAACTTTGCAAAGAAAAGCGATACAGCCGCGCGGAGCCTGACTCTTTTTAGGTGCAATAGCCGCTGCCCCATGCTAACGGTGGCACACATACACACCCGCCCGGGACACTCTTTGGCCTGTGTGTGACCTCCCGGGTGCGGCCTCGTGATTGACCTCCCTCACGTGTTCAACCTCTCCCGTCCCCGTGTGTGACCCCTACCCTCACCCCTCTCCGCCAGTACGCGGGCCCGGAGATTCGCTGGGTGGACGGCCAGAAGCCGCTGTTCAAGGTCACCTTCCGACTGGTGTCCACCATCTACACCCTGGACCAGCACCTGCACAACTTCTTCCTGCACGCGCACCGGCTGCGCGAGTCGCGGCTGCCGACTGTCTACAACTCGGATAACGAGACCACCAAACAGGTCAAGGTCGGTGATATGGGGTGAGGGAGAAGGGGAGGGGGGGGGGGGGCACTTTGATGGGAAATGGAGAGTTCGTGGGTAAATGTGTAGTATTGGATCGATTGATGTGGTTGGTACGGTTTGGTAATTGCATGAGGTTATGAACTATATTTGGTTTTAGTTCAAATCTGTGTTACCGATTTTTGTGTGGGCTGTCAGCTGTTTTAGGCTGTTTTTCACTGTTAACTATGAAAATGAAATGTGACATGCGTGCCTTTCATGAAATGAATAACTAATATTTATTCTGTAATCCATCGTTCCATTTTTGTATCTTTGTGTGAGACGGTTTTACGGAGGGCACCAACCGTAGTTGGCTGTGTGTTGAGATGTTATCGACTGAGTAACCTCCTGTTTTCTAGGTGGTGCACCATCTTCCCAAAATACTCAAGGTCTGGCCCATTTGATGTGTGTGGGCGTTCTGTGTGTCTGTCCGCCTGTCTGTGTTCCGTGTCTTTACTGCTTGGGCCCGGCTTGGCAGGAGCACCAAATGTCAACGTACACCCACTTGAGAACTCTCAGTGGGCTCACCCCTCACTAAGTGTGCACGCCACCGCAAATCTTCGATAACGCTCGACTCTATATGTCGCAAATCACAGAGGGGGGGGAAAGGGGGGGGCATGGGAAGGCTTTAGAAAAATGTGACCGCTTCTTATTCCAAACTTTCTGTTTCGGTATGCTCGTTTTTCCTTGCAGGTTTGTTGTCCCCATTTGCTTGATCCCATTTTGCTGTTTTGATTATTTCTTCATAAGTTGTCTGTGTGCTGAATCTTCATTTACATCTCATCGAGGCGCAAAGTGAGCTGCATGCTGTTGTTGCGAATCATACCATTCTCTATTCGTCATGATGCCACTGAATTTTATTTCGATAATGTCTTGTATTTAGACGATCCATTACGATATGTGTTTGTGTCCGGCTTTTCTTCAGCACATTTTATAGCTGACTTTTTTTTCGTGATTGGCATGAACACCTGAATTGACTGACATATTGTGTTGTGCTAACGCCACGTCATTCCATAACTACTTATTTCCTCATTCTTGACATGCCTGAAAATAAAACGCATCTTGTAAATCTGCCTTCGTCTTTATATAGAGGGTACCAGATATCAAAATTACTTCACAGAAACGACACCGGCTCCTCCCTTACACATTCCCTGATCCACTCAACCCCACCCGTCTGTGCAGCTCTCATCAGCCTCCCCTCCCCCCGACCTCCCCGCCAGGCGCTGCACGCGATCGACGTGGCCACCCTGATCCGGTTCCTGCCGACGCTGCTGAACCAGCTGCTGCGGATCGTGGTCAGTACCGACTCGGACGAGGTGTTGCAGAACACGCTGCGCGTGCTCACACACGCCATCACCACGCTGCACCAGGTCGGACGGCAGCGGCTCGTCGACATCTACACTAGGGTGAGAGCGGAGCGGCGGGACCGGGCTGTATGGAGCTAGGGCTGGAATATGGTCGGTGGGTGGGTGGGTGTGAGATATAATCGGGATTGGATAGGGTGATAACTACACTGTTCTGTCTCTTTGTTACGTCAAGTTGTTGTTACAGGATAATTTACTAATTTTAGCATTTATTTTGTTGCCCTCTTTATTTGCATCACAGTTTCATCTATCGTGTCTGTGTACCAAAAATAACAATTTGTTTTTAACGGCGATCAAGCTGATATTAACTTCTATAAGGCCATCGGAGCTTTATTTTCGCTCAATCTACCGTTTAAAGGGACACTCCCACCTTAACATTAGTTTTGAGTTGAGATAGCCAAATTGGTGGCCATGGCCTGCAAATACCGGTTTGGGCACTCACAACATCGAAAAATGCTTTAATTCGAAAATATGGAATTTTAAACTTGCAGTTTTCGGATTCTAAGGGGCTAATGCATTGGAATGCCCCCTTAGAATTTGTGACGTCAGCGGAGATCTAACGATTTTTAAATCTTAGACTAAAACCATCGTTAACACGTGGTGGTATACGCTGCTTTGTGCGCAACGTCTGCCGCACTTTAAGGCTGCCAAATTATTGCTTCCAAATAAAGTCGCTAGTAACAGGGGAGATCCCAAAAAGTAAACAAAAGTAAAAGCCTAATATATTGAAAACCAGTGAATATTTTTCGGTGAAATTTGGTAGATATTCGTTTTCGCTCTTTCTGAACCAAGGGACATCACTTTCATGCCAATTCATTAACTTTTTTGAAGGTGGGAGGGTCCCTTTAACTCTCGGTAACTTACCCGGCCTCCCGGTCTATCGTTCAGCACGTGTTCTCTGAGCCGCGGCCGCCGCCGGCCGCCGGCCGGACCGTCCACGAGGCGCTGTGCCGCGGCCTCGCCCAGCTGCTGCAGCCCAGCAACATGGACTTCCTGCTGGTTCACAAACTGCTCCGGCACGCCAGCTCGCTGTTCGACATCATCGTCAAGTCAATGGCGCTCCATCTCCTCAACTCGGGACGCATCAAGGTGGGTTGGTGCCTTCCCGTGCTGCTGCAATTAGAGTTTGAGAGCGATACTGTTAAAGTGTGATGTGGTGCGCTTCGGAACGGCTTTCGTAGATAATATGAGGAGCTTGTCACTGATTGCAGGCCGGGCTGTGATGATAATTTTTGCGGTGTTTCTTGCCAGTAGTGCTATCTCGTTAGAGGTCTGCTCTATCCTAGTCGTAGTCTGCTGAAGCTCATGTGATTTCTTCTGTCGCCTGTTGAATATATGTCAGTGCTTTCTGAGGTTATGAGCAGCGGCGGCCGGCCTGTACAGACTCTGCCTCTGTGGTCGGGCTGGGTATGGGTCGGTGGGTGAGGACGGGTCGGGCCGCCTCTCAGTCCTCTGCCCACCGGTCCTCAGGTGCCGTCCTCGCCGCCGCAGGAGGACCTTGAGGACACCAGAGGAGTGAGTCCTCTCCCGGCCGCACGAGGCGGCGCGCCGCGGCCCGACGCTACCGCCCGGCCGCGGCGTGTTTTAAACACCCACCGCTCCGCTTTTACAGACTAGCCGCGCCTTTCCCCGTGGGATGTTTTATCTGATGGTTTTGCTCTAGCTGTGCCGTTTGCACGTGTGGTGTGTGTGTGTTGTGTGGACGGAAAGTGTGACTTGGTCACGGTTTTAGGTGTGGTGTGAGTACGATTTTTGGACGGAGTACCTGCCAATTGGACTGCGGCAGAGGCATCTTACCTACCATTTACCCTCATATCCCCACCTAATATTTTATGCACTTTATATTCACGTGATTGCATCGCATTTTTATATTTGTCGTTAGTTTCAACACACCACGTCATTATAAGTGAGTAGCGTTTGCGTTTTTATTATGTGCTAAGCGCAGCACTTTGCAGTCGTTGTTTACTTCTCTAGTCACAGTTCGGCTTATGTTTTCGGTATTTTGGCTATGACCTAGTTAAATTGTAGCATAGTGCCCGTATCTTAGCACCCTCTCATACACCTCTGCCACGTCATGTTTTCGCACTCTTTAATTACGCTTTATCCCTTTCTGGATCCACGTTATTTGTCAAGGGCTAGCTGCACTAATGTTTTATAGCACGAGAATGGCATCCGCGAATTTACGAATTTGAGCACCCACCCGCACATTCAAATCTATTTTTTTCACGCTGTTTTCCTTAGTTGCATCCCTTTCCGTCACCCCTCCCCCACCCTCTCCCTCGGTATACTACGACCTCCCCACCGCCGCTGGCCGCCCCCTCACCCCGCCCCCGGGCCGTCCACAGATGCAGCGTCACGAGCGGTTCTCGGCCTCGTTCAACACGCAGCTGGAGACGATGCTGGAGGCCTTCTACCCGTACATACTGCAAAAATACAAGGAGCTGCCCATCGAGACCCGCGAGGCCAACCGCAGCATGGCGGCTCTGCTCAAGGTGGGGTACTTGTCTGCACATTCCATCGCTTGTCTAGTGCAGGTGAATTATCATTAATAGCTGTTCTTACATGAACCGTCACCTTATGAAACTTCAGCAATGGCTGTTGCCGCCGCGGTGTTGTGTGGTACCTCCAAACTGACTCTCCCGAGCGGGCCTTTTCCTAGGCTAAATACTGACTAATGTTTTGGTCTGCCCATTTGCAGCGTTGTCTGAGTCTGATGGACCGCGGGTTCGTGTTCCGTCTCATCACCTCCTACCTGGAGAAGTTCAGTCTGGCCGACCCGCGCCTCCTCTGGGAGTACAAGTTTGAGTTTCTGCAGATGGTGTGTGCGCACGAGCACTACATTCAGCTGAACCTGCCCATCTTCAGCCCGGCGCGGGTCACCGTCCGCTCGCTACAGGGTAAGGTCGGAGGGAGGGAGGGACCGAGGGAGGGAGAGAGCATAGCTGGGCTTCGTTGATTCATTGATGATGACTAGTCAGGTCACGTGCATCTTTTGAAGCTCAAGTCTGACACCTATTTCGAAGGTCGCTTGACGCTTGGCTGACTTGTATTTTCTTTTGCCGATTTTCCCCTCATCTCTTAGTTCGTCTGATATCGCACCAAGCACTGATCGTCCCTTTCCCATTTGGCAGATTTTGAGCAGCAGTACTTTATGTCGGAGCAGTTCAGCGCCAAACACTACCTGACCGGTCTGATGTTGCACGAGCTGCGGCTGGCGCTCAGTCAGATCTCAGAGGTGCGACGGATGGCCATCCACGCCGTCCGAGATCTGCTTGTCAAACACGCCTACGACGACCGATACCAGACCAAGGTGAGGGGCGACGGCGGCGGGACGGTGTCGGGTGTACGCCGAGAGAGTGCAAGGACAGAGACGTGTTAGTTTGCCGTTATAGCCGACGAAGGGTCGTGTCTAGCTCATGAAAATGAATCTGGTCATATTATATTTTTTTCTCGCTTTTTTCGTTGCAATATTGAAACATTATGGGTGATATATTACCGATAAAAGCAAGGAGGCTAATTTCTTGTTGTTTCCGCGATGTTTTCCCTGTGCCGTAAGGGCTTGGCTAGTTTCATGGTCGATGCTCACATGGTGCCTTGCCCAGTTCTACCCGAGTTCCTTGACACCGTTCTGCTTTCTCTCATCCGCAGGGTCAGAAGTCTCGGATCGCCACGCTGTATTTCCCGCTGGTGGGTATTCTGCTGGAGAACCTGCACCGGCTGGACGTGGCCGTCCCGGCCGCCGCCGCTGTGGGCGCGGGCGGGGGCGGTGCGGCGCCGTCCTCGTCAGCGGCCGTCAGCCGGGCGGCCTCACACCGCAGCACGGGCACCTGGCAGACGAGCAGCTCGTGGGTGATGGCTGACGGCACCTCGTCCCTGGGAAACAGAAACAGGTCAGTCAGTGGCGGGTATAGCCGGCTGGCATACTGAGCTGGGGTAGGGGAGGGGATTATAACGGGCCTGGTCACTAGGTTAGGTGATGTGGCGAAGCGGGTGGCTATACTGGCGGCCCAAAATAGGTTAATGTTAGTTGTTCTTTGCACGATGTTGCAGGCCGTCTATCAGACTCCTGCCGCAAACTCCTGTTCCGTAGTCCGTATCGGGAAACAGGCATACACATAACTGTGTTCCTCGCGAGATTTTTCCAGCTACTTTAACGTAAGCCGGTGGTCCCCATGTTTTAGGTCTTGGCAGCCAGTGCGCACGTAAGTCAAGACGCTTGGTGGTCCGTCTTTGGTCCGGTCTCGCTTTTCTAGTTTATCGGAGCTGTTTTCTCGTCTGTTCTGGGCTTGCTTTATCGCCTCTGTCATTTACTTGGCATGGCTTTGGTGTTGTGATCAGGAATTCGCCATTCGGTGTAGTTTTGTTCCACTTTCGTTTGGAAATCTATTGCTGTTGTTATTACGTCGATCTTAGGTGGGTCGGCGTTCCTCCATTCCATATCTGTCTGTGTGTGCTCGGTAACTTATCTAGTCAATATTTTACATGTCTCCGGCTGCGCGACTGAATGTCTGTAGATAAGTAATGTGTATTGAACATCGGCGTGACCCGGTGCGTAAAGCATGCCTACCCCGACCCCGCCCCCAAAAAAGAGTGCGAAAATATGATGACTATAATTCCTACGAAATACATATTGTTTGTTGACAATTATCGCGTGTGCAATAGTTTAATTAATGGATGGTTCCCCTCTCTTTTCTCCCTCGCGTTTGCGCGATGTTGCAGTTTGTATCACTCGTTCAGCATATTTGTACTACACCCATTTCTCATTTTCTCGACACCCAATTTGTTAGCGTTGCCATCGCGCCAGCTTACATCTTGTTTATCGTCTGTGTGTTTCAGGTTTTCGATGACCCCCGATTCGTCTTTGAACCACTCGCGGGCCACCCAGCGAGAGTCCACCTACCTAGCCTATATCGCCGGACAGGGTACGTTACACGCACGGACGTGGCGGCCGGCTGGGTTATAGCGATACGGGATGTAGGGGAACTGGTGGGAATGGGGCTTCATGGAACTGCAGACAAAAGTGATGCCGAGGACCGCGGCCGTGCGTCAGATCATAACTGCTCCCTGTGAGGGCCTGCATAAAAGCAGTCTCTGCCCGCCCCCCTTCTCTCAAGTCAGCTGTGCAGGTGTCTAACGCATGTCTCCGCCCTATCCCCTGCAGGTCAGCAGGCGTCGGAGAGCACGGCGGCGTCCACGGTCAGCCTGGCCTCGACGGCCTCCTCTCAGAACACGGTGGAGTCGGCCCACCTGGAGAACGGCGAGAACGGAGTGCACCGGCCGGACGAGCCGGCAGAGACCGACAGTCAACCGGGCACCGCTAAACGGTCCACACATAACAGGTCAGTTGGGGTTGCCACTACGAACGATCCTTGGGGGCTTAATTGTGCTAGTTGGACATTAGCCGACGCAACTGATGCGCTACTGGCCTCTAGTTTTACCATGGACATACTACCAACCAATCCCCGCTAGTTCTGCTACTACAGACCGCAAACCACATCCCGGCCTGACCTCCCTCCTCACGACTGCCCGCAGGACCCAGAGCACCGTTCACGACCCGGGCGCGCTGTACCGCTACGACAAACTGCTGGCCGGCGAGGCGCGCGACCTGCTCGTGTGCTTCCTGCACGTGGTGCGCCACGTGCCCGAGGAGCTGCTCATCACGTGGTGGAGGCACGCCGCCGAAGAGGACGTCATCAACTTCTTCACACTCGTACAGTGAGTCGAGGAGCGAGATGGTTTTTCTGGGAGGGGGAGCAGGGTGACAGTGAACGATGGATCAGGTCTATTTTTTGCGCTTGACGGAATGCCTGCTTATAGAATTAGTTCTGATTATCCAAGAAAGTTTTGTTGATTCGGACAATAATTTTTTTCACATTTAAGTTTTAAAGTTATTTTTCTGATAAATTCAGGGATTTTCAGAGACCCATAGATAAGCAGGCTGGAGACACCAAGGCACACACATAGGTACCGGCTCCGTTTCAGGCTGTGTCTGTCCCAGTTCCGGTACACGGGCGGTGTGGTCACGCGCGCCACTCACCCGCGCACCTCCGAGACCAAGAAGGCGTTCACACTGCCGGCCAGGATAGAGTCGCCCGGCGGGCCGGCGGCCGGGCTCAACAACGCGTCGTTCACAGAGTCACCGGCCGGAAAAGGTGAGACGGCACAGCTGTATGTGCAAGCCGGGGTGCTGATACAATATACATGGACTAGTTAGGGCGCGTGGACTGGTCTGTAGAGTGTCCGCTTGACCACATCACGGTAACAAACTTTCAATACATTCAGTTTGCCGTTCTGTTATCGTAATTTTAGGACGAGATGATGACTCGTCCCGATTTGCTGCCTCCTTCATCGGCCACAGCGCCTCACTCTGAAGTCTGAACACCCTCGAATGTGGATTTCTATGGTACATCACTCAACCCTTACCCCTCTTCCTCACAGGCCCGTCGCCGTCGCCGCCCTCCACGCCTCACCTGTCGAGCGAGGCTGCGCTGGTGTCGCTGGACCTGTGCTGCCTGTACTCGGCCCACTACTCGGAGCGGCTGGCGCTGCGCGGCGGCCAGAACGCCCAGATGGCGCTGCTGTCGGGGGTGCTGCTCAGCCTGCTGCACCCGGGACAGGCCGAGGCCGTGCTCAGACACGTGTTCGCCGCACTCAGGATGTTCGTACAGCGGTACGGCAGCGCGCTGTACCATGGTGAGTGGTGTGGGACGGAGTTGGAAGGAATGACTACCGGTATGGGACTCATTAATTACGGGACGGGTGTGAATGCATTTTGGCTTTACGTTCGTCTTTCCTGGTTTTGTGTTCTTTTATTTTGTGTGTCACCTTTTATTCAAGATTCCCGAGTACGAGTATCTCCGTATTTCTCTAGAACAATCTTGCAGCTGAACTGAACAATGATCGCCCCCACATTATGTTAAATGCTAAGCATCAGCCAAGCCCACTACACGTCCAACTTACCACAGGCACTGCGGAGCTGTGCGGTCGTCTGTGCTACGACCTGCTACGCTGCTGTAACAGCCCTCTGGCCAGCTCCCGGCACGAGGCCTGCGCCGTCCTCTACCTGCTGATGAGGGGAAACTTTGAGTTCACCAACCGCAAGGCCATCACCAGGGTCCACCTGCAGGTGGGGAGCCGACGTTATCATGTGGAACGCTGGGGGAGGCTCTGCGATATTTTGGGTTATGGGATTCTTGTGTTGTACTTCCGTCTTCCAGTGATATAACGGTCAGTTTCGCAGTTTTGTAGGCTGCTGCCTATTTTTTCGTTTTTTTTTTACCTTTGTCTTCTGGCCGCGTGTGATCTAGAATAATGGCTTTTTTTAATACCGCTGTCCAATTGCTGAGTTTTGGTTTCTAGTTTTGAATGATGTGGGGTCATCACGTGAATGCCGTGTGTCTATGTGCTGCAGGTGATAATCAAGGTGTCCCAGCTGCTGGGCGAGTCGGTGGTGCTCGATTCGTCCCACTTTTACGAGAGTCTGGCGCTCATCAACAGCTACGCCAACAGCGACAAGGCCATGACGCGCACCAGTGAGTGCAGGCTTACTTTGGCAGCCGCTTGTGTGCTATTTTGAGACATCTTCCAATTATCGGGCATTTGTGATCGCGCTTAGCATAAAGGGTCGACCAATATACCCTGGGGTCGACTGTTACTACTTACTATAGCTCGTTTTTCATAACCTGCTCGATTCGAAGTGCTTTTTCAATCTTCTCACGTGTACTTGTGTGCGATTCCAAACTTAAAAAAGTGAACGCTGCCCCATAATGGATGCCCTAGTTTTCACACTGTGCCATTTCTGGCTCGTTTCTGACATATTAAACTCCGCCGTTCAGGTTTTGTGTCTGACGTGAAGGACCTGACGAAGCGGGTGCGGACCGTGCTGATGGCCACGGCGCAGCTGAAGGAGCACGAGAACGACCCGGCCGTGCTGGTGGAGCTGCAGCACAGCCTGGCCAACAGCTACGCCAGCACGCCCGAGCTGCGGCAGACGTGGCTGGCCAGCATGGCAAAGTGCCACGTGAGGGACGGCAACCTGTCGGAGGTGGGTACGGTCAGCGCGGAGAGAGAGAGAGAGAGAGAGAGAGAGAGAGAGAGAGAGAGAGAGAGAGAGAGAGAGAGAGAGAGAGAGAGAGAGAGAGAGGAGAGAGAGAGAGAGAGAGAGAGAGAGAGAGGAGGGGAGGAGGGGAGAGGAGGGAGTGAAGTGCGCAGTAGTGTATGTCGACACGATGGGATAAGGTTGAATGTTTGGCTATGTCGCAAGGGCGATAGGCGTTCGTAAACACTTCTGATGGTAAGAATCGCTATCTGGTATTTTAAAAGCACTTTTGCAAGCCGAATAATCGAGCCCGTCCAGTGATTTGTATAATTTGACTACCGTCCATGAGTTCCACCCACTAACGCTGTTCGCGTGTACGTCTGCCTATCCCACAGGCGGCCATGTGTCAGGTGCACATCGCGGCTCTGATGGCCGAGTACCTGCTGCAGCGGGGAGAGCACGAGACCGGCTGCGCCGCCTTCCGAGCCATATCCGACAACGTGGTGCGGGACGAGAACAACCTGCGACTCGATCACGGTGAGAGAACAATGCAATGATGAGGGGATGAGAGCTCAAAGTCGAGGGATCGCCTTGAGAGTCCCCGGTTGGACTGAGTCCCGTTTCGTTGTCTGAGGTCTCTCGTCGCTCGACCTGCAGCGGTTGCAGTTCTGGTTGGCTCGTTTTTTGAGGTTATCGAATGTCGTGTTTTACCTTAAAATGCCGTTTAACAAGCATATAGACGACAATATGTCGTGCATCAGTTATCTACGCACGGACTTAAGCAAGTGATGTTCAGCTTCTGACCTTCCCTGACTTGCCCTGCGCCCTCGGCAGGTATCGGTGACCTCTGCTACACGGAGGACTCGCTGGTGGCCCAGCTGAAGGTCTGCGCAGAGGCTATGGAGGCGTGTGAGAGGCACGAGCTGATCGCCGACATCTACGACATCCTCATACCCATCTACCGGAAACGCAGGAGGTACGGGGGCGCTCCTTTCCCTTAGGAGGCCGTAACGGACGTATTGATCCGTATACAAGATTGATATTTTGCTTGGGGAGCCGGGAGGGGCCTCAGCGATAGTATTCACATTTCGTTCTGGAAGCTCTTTCCTTTTCCACTTTTAGTAAATATTTTTGTTTGGAACGTAACCAGTAGTTCTTTACTTGCACCGTCTCTCGTACGTTGTTCAGCCGTTTGTTGATGGTATCTCCGGACTGGGGGCGCTCTGTTGTTTTCCTTGCATTTACCTCTGTTCTCTGACCCTATTATCTCCCCGTGTTGCAGCTACTCCGAGCTGTCGCAGGTCCACCACCATCTGGAGCGGTGCTACAACCGGATAGTGCAGCTGAACGCCTCCGGACGCCGGCTGCTCGGCACCTACTTCCGGGTCATCTGTTTGGGCCAGGTCAGTAAAATATAACTTGCAGGATCTACCACAGGGCTAAAAATTGAATAAATGTCAAACTCTAGAATTTAGGTTGAAGCAGTTCACCGCAGTCCGCCCAAATCTTGGTTACTGTTCGAACTGTTTTATTAAGGGTTTGAATTCGATTCCTCATGGATTATTTTATTGATGCTAGATTGACATTCTACAATCATCCAACGCATTGCCGCACTTTCCGGACTTTCCCTTCCATCCACCTACTGCCGCCTCCACGCCTCCCCTGACGGTGACACTCTGTCGTTCCTCTGCAGAACTACTTTGACAAGGACCATGACCGCGAGTACGTGTACAAGGAGCCCAAGGTGACGTCGCTCTCGGAGGTCAGCGAGAAGCTGCTCCAGTTGCACGTCTCCAAGTTCGGCAGGGACTATGTCAGGATGATCAAAGACTCGGCGCCGGTATGTGGCTCCACCATACTATCTCTTAAATGTTTATCATCAATCCCAGAACCATTCCAGGGAAGGCCACACCCTGGTCGGAGCCACGCGGTGTGAGTTGGGGGTCGCGTTTGGTTCAGAGCAGGTGGGGCCGGTGGGATCGTGGTGATTGGTTGGACAAGGCGGATTGTATGTCATTTGAGTAAACACTTACGTGAAGGACGGAAGTTCTATGCTTCTTTTTGTGCCAGTGATCTCTGATATATGTGTCTTCTCGGTCAGGTGGTGATGTCCGAGCTGGACCCGCGGTTCGCCTACATCCAGGTCACCCACCTGACCCCGCACTGGGACGAGGTCGACCTGGACGCGCGACCCACCGAGTTCGAGCACAACAACAACATCAAACAGGTGCGTGTGTGTGTGTGGTGACGGACCCGGCGGGTCACTAACTGGGGGTGCGGTGTCTGGAACGGTCGGCGGCGCTGAGGCTCTGTTTAGTGCTTCTATAGGCGGGTTGAGGACTGGTTGCTTGGTTGTTGCTGGAAGCTTTCTAACCCCGGGATTGGACTATACATTGGACTGTATGCGGCAGAGGAGAGTACGCCATCATAATATCTCTCAGTTTTGTGCCATATCTCCTTGTGTGTCCGTTTCCATTATAAAATATTTACGTCCGTTACGTTTCAGTTTATGTACGAGACGCCGTTCACGCGGGAGGGCGGCGCGCACGGCACGGTGGAGAAGCAGTGGCGCCGGCGGACCGTGCTCACCACCGACTACTGCTTCCCCTACGTGCGGACACGGATACCCGTCATACGCAGACAGGTGAGGGGGGATCCACCGACTACTGCTTCCCCTACGTGCGGACACGGATACCCGTCATACGCAGACAGGTGAGGGGGGGGGGATACCACCGACTACTGCTTCCCCTACGTGCGGACCCGGATACCCGTCATACGCAGACAGGTGAGGGGGGATCCACCGACTACTGCTTCCCCTACGTGCGGACCCGGATACCCGTCATACGCAGACAGGTGAGGGGGGGGGGGATACCGCCGACTACTGCTTCCCCTACGTGCGGACACGGATACCCGTCATACGCAGACAGGTGAGGGGGGGGGGGGGGTACCGCCGACTACTGCTTCCCCTACGTGCGGACACGGATACCCGTCATACGCAGACAGGTGAGGGGGGGGGGGGATACCGCCGACTACTGCTTCCCCTACGTGCGGACACGGATACCCGTCATACGCAGACAGGTGAGGGGGGGGATACCACCGACTACTGCTTCCCCTACGTGCGGACACGGATACCCGTCATACGCAGACAGGTGAGGGGGTGATACCACCGACTACTGCTTCCCCTACGTGCGGACCCGGATACCCGTCATACGCAGACAGGTGAGGGGGTGATACCACCGACTACTGCTTCCCCTACGTGCGGACCCGGATACCCGTCATACGCAGACAGGTGAGGGGGGATACCACCGACTACTGCTTCCCCTACGTGCGGACACGGATACCCGTCATACGCAGACAGGTGAGGGGGTGATACCACCGACTACTGCTTCCCCTACGTGCGGACCCGAATACCCGTCATACGCAGACAGGTGAGGGGGGGGATACCACCGACTACTGCTTCCCCTACGTGCGGACCCGAATACCCGTCATACGCAGACAGGTGAGGGGGGATACCTTCGACTACTGCTTCCCCTACGTGCGGACCCGGATACCCGTCATACGCAGACAGGTGAGGGGGGATACCACCGACTACTGCTTCCCCTACGTGCGGACCCGGATACCCGTCATACGCAGACAGGTGAGGGGGGGGATACCACCGACTACTGCTTCCCCTACGTGCGGACCCGGATACCCGTCATACGCAGACAGGTGAGGGGGGATACCACCGACTACTGCTTCCCCTACGTGCGGACCCGGATACCCGTCATACGCAGACAGGTGAGGGGGGATACCACCGACTACTGCTTCCCCTACGTGCGGACCCGGATACCCGTCATACGCAGACAGGTGAGGGGGGATACCTTCGACTACTGCTTCCCCTACGTGCGGACCCGGATACCCGTCATACGCAGACAGGTGAGGGGGGGATACCACCGACTACTGCTTCCCCTACGTGCGGACCCGGATACCCGTCATACGCAGACAGGTGAGGGGGATACCACCGACTACTGCTTCCCCTACTTGCGGACCCGGATACCCGTCATACGCAGACAGGTGAGGTGTCGGGGTAGGCACGGTGACGGGAGGGGCTCTTTTTTGGCCTAGATATTGAATTGGCTGGCGAAGCTTGAGGTGTCTTTTGTGAACTTTGGGTACTGTTTTCTGTTCAGTGTTCCATGCATCCTCCTTCGTGAGTATAAACTGCCACCGTTTTCATTTCTTGCACTCTCATCACGCCTTTCCCTATCTCTCCCCTGTCTGCAGGAGTACGAGCTCTCCCCGATCGAGGTGGCCATCGCCGAGATGACCCAGAAGACCCGAGACCTGCTGGACGTGGTGGAGCGACAGCCGACAGACGTCAAAAAGCTGCAGCTACGGCTACAGGTAAGCACCGGTCGGGAACCGACGTCAGCAAGCTGCAGCTCAGACTGTATTATTTTATCTCGCGGGTAGCAGTTTTCCCGTAGTTCCAATTTTTCGTCCATTACAGACTACTTTCTATTTCGCTCTTTTTATATAACGTAATGTTTGCTTCGGCACCAGCAGCGTCAGTTTAGTTTGTTCCTGCCACGTCAGTGTGGTATGTTTCCTACTGTGACTCACTCTCCCCTCTGTTCTCGTCCCCTTAGAGCAGCGTCAGTGTGGTATGTTCCCCAGTGTGTCTCACTCTCCCCTCTGTTCTCGTCCCCTTAGAGCAGCGTCAGTGTGGTATGTTCCCCAGTGTGTCTCACTCTCCCATCTGTTCTCGTCCCCTTAGAGCAGCGTCAGTGTGGTATGTTCCCCAGTGTGTCTCACTCTCCCCTCTGTTCTCGTCCCCTTAGAGCAGCGTCAGTGTGGTATGTTCCCCAGTGTGTCTCACTCTCCCCTCTGTTCTCGTCCCCTTAGAGCAGCGTCAGTGTGGTATGTTCCCCAGTGTGTCTCACTCTCCCCTCTGTTCTCGTCCCCTTAGAGCAGCGTCAGTGTGGTATGTTCCCCAGTGTGTCTCACTCTCCCCTCTGTTCTCGTCCCCTTAGAGCAGCGTCAGTGTGGTATGTTCCCCAGTGTGACTCACTCTCCCCTCTGTTCTCGTCCCCTTAGAGCAGCGTCAGTGTGGTATGTTCCCCAGTGTGTCTCACTCTCCCCTCTGTTCTCGTCCCCTCAGGGCAGCGTCAGTGTGGTATGTTCCCCAGTGTGTCTCACTCTCCCATCTGTTCTCGTCCCCTTAGAGCAGCGTCAGTGTGGTATGTTCCCCAGTGTGTCTCACTCTCCCATCTGTTCTCGTCCCTTAGAGCAGCGTCAGTGTGGTATGTTCCCCAGTGTGTCTCACTCTCCCCTCTGTTCTCGTCCCCTTAGAGCAGCGTCAGTGTGGTATGTTCCCCAGTGTGTCTCACTCTCCCATCTGTTCTCGTCCCCTTAGAGCAGCGTCAGTGTGGTATGTTCCCCAGTGTGTCTCACTCTCCCCTCTGTTCTCGTCCCCTTAGAGCAGCGTCAGTGTGGTATGTTCCCCAGTGTGTCTCACTCTCCCATCTGTTCTCGTCCCCTTAGAGCAGCGTCAGTGTGGTATGTTCCCCAGTGTGTCTCACTCTCCCCTCTGTTCTCGTCCCCTTAGAGCAGCGTCAGTGTGGTATGTTCCCCAGTGTGTCTCACTCTCCCCTCTGTTCTCGTCCCCTTAGAGCAGCGTCAGTGTGGTATGTTCCCCAGTGTGTCTCACTCTCCCCTCTGTTCTCGTCCCCTTAGAGCAGCGTCAGTGTGGTATGTTCCCCAGTGTGTCTCACTCTCCCCTCTGTTCTCGTCCCCTTAGAGCAGCGTCAGTGTGGTATGTTCCCCAGTGTGTCTCACTCTCCCCTCTGTTCTCGTCCCCTTAGAGCAGCGTCAGTGTGGTATGTTCCCCAGTGTGTCTCACTCTCCCCTCTGTTCTCGTCCCCTTAGAGCAGCGTCAGTGTGGTATGTTCCCCAGTGTGTCTCACTCTCCCATCTGTTCTCGTCCCCTTAGAGCAGCGTCAGTGTGGTATGTTCCCCAGTGTGTCTCACTCTCCCCTCTGTTCTCGTCCCCTTAGAGCAGCGTCAGTGTGGTATGTTCCCCAGTGTGTCTCACTCTCCCATCTGTTCTCGTCCCCTTAGAGCAGCGTCAGTGTGGTATGTTCCCCAGTGTGTCTCACTCTCCCCTCTGTTCTCGTCCCCTTAGAGCAGCGTCAGTGTGGTATGTTCCCCAGTGTGTCTCACTCTCCCATCTGTTCTCGTCCCCTTAGAGCAGCGTCAGTGTGGTATGTTCCCCAGTGTGTCTCACTCTCCCCTCTGTTCTCGTCCCCTTAGAGCAGCGTCAGTGTGGTATGTTCCCCAGTGTGTCTCACTCTCCCCTCTGTTCTCGTCCCCTTAGAGCAGCGTCAGTGTGGTATGTTCCCCAGTGTGTCTCACTCTCCCCTCTGTTCTCGTCCCCTCAGGGCAGCGTCAGTGTGCAGGTGAACGCCGGCCCTCTGGCCTACGCCTCGGCCTTCCTGGAGGAGAGTGTGCAGCGCACCTTCCCCGGCGACAAGGTCTACCAGCTTAAACAGGCGTTCCGCGAGTTTGTCGAGGCGTGCCACCGCGCGCTGGAGCTGAACCACCGGCTGCGCGCCGACGACCAGGCGGACTACCAGAGCTCGCTGGTGGCCGGCTTCCGTGACCTGGTGGCCGCGCTGGGCACGATACTCGGCGAGAGCTTCCCCGTGGAGCTGGAGTCGGCGGCGCGCAACTCGCAGCATCTGAGCGTCTACACGCTGCTGAGCAGCGTCACCGGCTCCAGCTCCGTGTAAGCGAGGATCGAGGGTGGGAGGGGCGAGAGACGAGGACGGAGACTGAGACATAGACACTAGATGGCGGTGGGCGACAGGGGACGGAGACGTAGATTGAGATGGAAACCGTAGATTGAGATGGAAACTCAGACAAAGGGGAGAGAGACGGAGGTGACGGATCCGCGGGAGGCGGTAAATGCGGACGCACGTCTGTACCAGCTCTCTGCTGTCTGGCTCGGCTGCTGTGGTGCCATATGCCTTGCTGAGGATGACTGTGGTGACTCCGGTATAGAGCTGTTGAGCCGAAAACCAGAGATAACTCGTTAGGAGGTTACTGTGTGATTGCGGGTCGTGCCCTGCAAACCTGTTCCGTCAGTTTGCGAACCTGCTGCGTCAGTTGATCTGTATGCCGATTTTATGAGTCTACTGCAGCGGGTCGTTAGCATGCTGCGTCAGTTAGCGCCTCCGCTGCGTTACTTTGTGAAGTTGCGCGTCACTTTGTGAAGTTGCGCGTCAGTTTGTGAAGTTGCGCGTCCGTTTCGTACCTGCTGCGCGGCCGTTCCCGTTTCTGCCGTTCGTTTGTGCCAAATGTGTGCTGTTCCGAGCTGGAGTACAGCCGAGCGCTGCAGGGTATCGTTACGGTCTGATCTGCGCCGCTGTTGGTGGAGTGAGTGAGTGTCCGCCCGCTGTCGGTGGGCGAATGTCGCGAACCTTGTGCGTTCCCTCCACAATGCACTCCGTAGTCAGCCGAATTACAGTTCGACACTGTCACGCCAGGCAATAATACCACAGTGCTCAACCACTGATGATGCGATAATGTTACAATGCTAGTCATTTTGTATTTATTTGTGTTTTAACTTTGTGGCTCTCCGTATTTAACTCCCTGACAGACTACTCCTCGCGCGAACTGCTGTGCTGCTCCGCGCAAATGTGTTGTGTTTCGTTCTGTCGCGAGCAGAGGTGAACCCGTGCCTCAGTCAGTGTGTCTGGTCCGGTATCCCTGTGCCTTCCCCGGTGATCACGGTGACGTGGACGGTGATGTGTGCCCATCGAGGCACGAATGTTCTCGTCGGAAAATAGAATTGCGATATTTCGGTGAGCGGCGTTTGAACGTGGTTCGAGAGGTGCTGCTGGAGAAGAATGGATTGAATCATTTTCTATGCACCAGTCATTCTTAATTCTCAGCTTTGGCCATGGATATAGATTCTTTATTCATTCGACTTCGAAACGTTGCGGAATAAAACTTCGCTGATAGTTATTGGGAGTTTTTTCGGCTTGGTAGGGGAAATTTAGCAGCCGTAGCCGTTTTGTGCTGCCATATCAAAGACATTTGTGAAGTGGGAGGGACGACATCCGCCGCACAACAATTCGCAAAATTCTGCGAACTGCGCCGTTCATTTCAAATCGTGGGAGCTCGCGGAGCGGTCATTTTTACGTGAATTTGTCAGGCTATTAAGGTAAGATAGTTGCCCTCTTTAATGTTCTTTTTTCTTGAAGGCTTCAACTCTAGAGGGCTTCTTTACAATAAAGTCAATCGGACGAAATTTGCCGAAAACTAAGTCGGAAGGGTGGTTGTATGCGGTATCGGTAACCCTGGCGTCACCGGTAGCGTTTTCGTTCAAGGTTAAGGTTTCCTGTATTAGGCAGCATTAGGCCACCGTGCCAAGCCGAAGCATGCTGTGACGTCACTGGGTAAGAGAACGTCTCAGATCGACTCAGAACGACTCAAACTGACTCAGACCGACTCAACCGACTCAAATCGATTCCGATCGACTCAGACCGACTCGGAACGACTCAACCGACTCAAATAGATTCCGATCGACTCAGACCGACTCAGAACGACTCAAACTGACTCATACCGACTCAACCGACTCAAATCGATTCCGATCGCCTCAGACAGACTCAGAACGACTCAGGCAGACTCAAACCGACTCAGGCAGACTCAAACTGACTCGACCGACTCAGAACAACTCAAACTGACTCAGACCGACTCAACCGACTCAAATCGATTCCGATCGACTCAGACAGACTCAGAACGACTCAAACTGACTCAGACTGACTCAACCGACTCAAATCGATTCCGATCGACTCAGACCGACTCAGAACGACTCAAACTAACTCAGACCGACTCAACCGTCTCAAGTCGATTCCGAGTTAACTCAATTAGTGCTATTACTTATAAAGGTATTTTTTCCATAAAAGGCATCCAAAAAGTTCTTAAGGCCTGGCTACACTATGCGTTAGCTCATTCTACATGTTTTTTTTTGCGGAATGTTGTTCTAGAAAGAAACAACATTACCTATGTTTTTGTTATATGTTTTATATATTAACTTTTATTTGGTATCAACATTTTATTAACTTTTATATAAATATTAAACAAATTATATTAACAACTTTTCTAGAAAGATATTATGCAAAACACGCAAACTCACAAAAAACGCACACAGAAAACTCATAGTGTAGCCAGGCCTTTATAGAACTGCAGATTTACAAATATGTTCCTTGAAGGCCTGGCAGATTCTGATAACTGATTTAGGTTTTAGTTCATGGTTTCCTACAAAATAAATCATGTTTGCTACACAGACTTAATTCCCCAGCAATATTGTGATATACCTAGTTATGTGCTGATGGCTCACTGAGCTGTGCTGAATGCTGAGTGGCTGACCATGCTAGCCACAGAGGTGCACAGGCTGATTGCTTGTTGATTGAGATTGCCCAGATCATCTGAACCAGGTGGCATGTCTCTGTATGGGCGTGACCCACCAGGGCAGTCCTCACAGGGCCATACAACACATAGGCACAACATGACTCAGACTACTCAATTCCGAGGGTAACTCATTTTAAGTTATCATTCTGTGCATCAAACTGTTTGTGATGGACTTTGTAAAACTCGCTGTACTGGGAGAGCCATATTTTGGACTTAATTCTGCCGCTCTGCGTCATGCGTGTAGCAGGAATTACTGAATGGTTATAGCCATGGGTACTGTTTCACGGCACTCTGTCAGCGCATTTTGCGAGCTGGCGTCATATGTTATGGTCAAGTCACTCAATGTCGGAGCCTCCGAGTTTGTTGATGTCTCCATGGAAATCGAATTTGCCATGTGTGACTGCTGGCAGTCTGCTGGCAGCGGCCGTGAAACACTGTCATGGTCCGACCGTGGGCTGGATCTACGCAACAATCTGTGCGAATCATGAATCCATGGACGTTGGACAACCAACGACCAATGGGCTCATATTGACATTTTGTGAAGTTTGCTGTGCTCCCTTTACCTTGCGTTCGACATCCTGGAAATGAGGTATAATTATCCGGGATCACTTTGGTAATAATTTGGTATTGCAGGGACCATCGATGCAATTAATCACATTTTTAGATTGCTTTTGCTTCACTAATGGCTCTTTTACTCGTTGTTATGTCCGTTGTACACGGTGTTAGCCTAAAACACCGAATGATCCCGGTGATCCCGGAAAATTATCCCTGATTATCTGGATGCCGAATGCACGCTTAATATGCTGTAACACCCGACCTACAAAATGTGAGGTGCCGACAGCTCACAGCGTCAGTCACTCAGCGTCATGCAACCTCACTTTACCAGCTCAATGTGTCGGACCTTGGACGGGGCTGTGACCCACAGTGCAGGCTCATCATCCGCCTTTCGGCGGTACCTGGTAGTTCCGGTGACGTCATCGTTCACAGTCCGCCCGTGTTCGCGGTATTACCGCCCTTACTGCTGGGAATCCGTATCGGCCGACCGACCCTGTCGCCTGCCGCGGCTGCCAGGCCGGCTGACGCACCGGTCATTCATGGACGGTAGTAGTTCTGTTGGACTGTGGACCGGCCCTGCGGGCCGGCTCCTCCCTGAACTGTGACCCGCGGGGGAGGTCGCCTGCCCCTCCCCACGCCGTCGTGGTGCTCGTCGCTGTGCGGGAGGGGCGACTCGCAGTCGGTGACGGTGGACGATAGAGGGAGGGCGGCAGGCGGCCGGCAGCACCGCGGTACCCGACACGTGCGTCCCGTCTGTGTCTAGTCTAGTCTCGTCCGCTCAGGGTCGGTCCTCTGCAGTGCTCCTCTCTCACTCATCACAGAGTGACCGGCTGGCAGTTGTGTTCAACGGACAGGAACCAAACAGGCAGGTAGAGAGCGGGATAGTGTGGACGGAAGTGGAGGCCACACGTGGCCGTCAAATATTTGTCCCTTGCATAGGTATGTAGTGTTTTGGTGAATCCTGGCGTGTTCGGGGTAGTCACCCCCTCCCGTTGTAAGAACTAGGTGAAGTGGTTCGTTTCCTTTGTCCATCTGCCGGCCCGCATCTCTCCCGTGTGCGTGTGCCAGTGACGCGGCCCTGACTGAGCAGCTAACCGACCGCCGGTTTTTCTGCTACCGGGACCCTTTGTTGGCCGTCCACCAAACGGCCTTGCGGCTGGCCGCGTTGTTTTTAGGCCGCTGGTGGTTGTGCAAGTTACCTGTTTTGCTCAGGTGCGGCTCCGTCGGAATATTTTATCATGTTGTCTGATTGATGGTGGCGTGACGACGACTGCCTGTAGTCGGATTGTCAATACCGAGGGTGGCAGTGCCGGACTACTGTACTGCCTCAGCGTGCTCCAAAGGTCTCGTATTCATCGGTAAATAACTCTTGTTGGAATGTAAAGCCGACGTGAACTAGGGGCTCGGAGTATGCCGCAATGCCAGTTATTGACCGTAAAGCTTTCTATAATAACTTGATCGGACGCCGTCAAACTGGATTTCTGGGTTGTTGTAGCCTTGACATTCTGTATATGATATTAGATTTGCTTATATAAGCGACGCCTGGCGACGCTGGAACGGCTGCCAACTGCAATAACTCTAAATTATGTAACGTTGCCAAGCAATGTCATACTTCTTCCTGCAAATTTATAGTGCCTGGGGACACTCACACTAATTGTGAGGCATACCATCCAACAGACCCCAGTGCTCAATGGACCGTGCTCCGCTAATGTGAGCCTCTCTTAGTCTAATACAGCGTTGAGAATATCATATACAATATCTTAGACGTACTTCCAGTGACCCCCGCTCCCGTGTCATCCAGTGGTCCGTCAAATCTACACCGATGAACACATGTTTGTCAAGCATTCTTTACGCCCTATAACTACTTCGTTCCGCCGGTACAATAATGCAACGATGCTGGACGCCCTCGTAACCTCGCTCTAACCTCCCCGTCTTCTCTGTCTTCCCAGGTCTAACGATGCTGGGCACCGTCGTAACCTCGCTTTAACCTCCCTGTGTACTCTCTCCCCAGGTCTAACGATGCTGGGCACCGTCGTAGCCTCGCTCGGGGTGGGCGTGGCCGCCAGCGTCATGTTCGTGTATGACGTCATAACGCTACCAATCTACACCATCCTACAGAAGCCCTGGGTCCGGATCAAAAAGGCCAAAAAGATTCGGGTGAGTACATAGGACATGACTTTAACTCTGGGTTTGTTGTCTGTTACGGTCTAGCTCAGGTAGCAGTGTTGAATGTATTGTTTAGTTGTATCGACCGGTTGTCGTGCGATGCTATCAGTTAGCGTTAATGTTTGACGGAGGGGTCGTTATAACTGCCGGGGGTGGCACGCGGTTATACAATCGATGGAGCTGGAAACAAACAGGTAAGATTGGAAGCACCTCGGTGCTGTTGCAGCGACTACGAATGCCACTATCTAAATCATCAATGAAAGCTTCAGTTAGCATTTGCGTAAGTGCTGTGCTGTAGCGGTGGAGCCAAGTTGAAAGAGGACTCCGGGACGAACCGAGCTTCACTTGCTCTCCATTAGTCAACGTCCTCACACAGCCGTGGAATCACTGGAAATCGAGTCCTCACGCAGTCCCCGTCCAGTCCTCGCCGTGTGTGGTCGGTCGGGTCGTGTCAGTCCAGCGGACCGTCCTCACATGACTGGTACGGAGGACAGGCGCCGACCCGACCTCTGCACTGGTGTCGTGTGGTCGGCCCGTCCACGGGTCGACTGTTTGTTTGACTTGTCGCCCGTGTTGTAATAATGCCAGAGACCGCACGGGTCCACTGGTGCTCTTTGGACGCAGACTGACACGGGATGTCCGATGTATCGAGACTGGGGAGAATCTACGTGCTGATACCAGGTCTTCCCGTAGAATGTCTCTGCTCACAGCTTTGCTTGTTACGGGGCACATGATCGTTTAATAACCCGCCCCTCGCCAAGATCCCTTGTTCGATCATTTCAACGCACCCCGTCATCATCAATAAACAATATCAGCCTGCTTCTTCTTCATTACCGGGGCCCCATCGGTCTGCGCCGTCGACTCCCCTCGCCCTCCGGCCGGCAGCCCTCAGGGGCGATACGCGACGGGCAGTCTGTACCGAGTCGCCCGGCCAATGTGCAAGTACCGGCGGCGTCTGCAATCGGGCAGATAATCCGCGATGGCCGTGGTACACTGTTTGCCTGGCTGTCGAGTGTAGGAGATACGGTGGCGACAACTTGGCCACAGGCTAGTTTGTCTACAGGCTAGTCTGCGCTAGTTTCCGCCAGCGATTGGAGACAACAGGGAGGGGATGATACGGTACTTGTGTTGGATAGGCCTCAGGCACAAATGAGATAATATCAGAACAAGGGACGGAACTGCATACGAGGTAATCCAAAGTCGATTTCTTGTTAGCTTGCAAAGGCTTAGAAATAGGTTGGGACGCACTGCTAGCTGTAGTTTTGCTTTTTTCGAAAGTGGAATATCACTGTATTCACCGGATGCTTTGTTGTCATTTGCATCCTTAAATGTTTCAGTTTTCCGACGTGCAGCATCTGGCGACATGTAATGTAACACACATCCGCTATAAAGAGTGGTAGAGTTGTCTCCTCAATGGATTATTCCTCCTGGCTCACTCGAACTTTTGTATTGAAAGCGCCCATCACCGGTCAGCCGCGTCAGCTAGCTCCCCAGTCCCCGCCTCTCCGTTGCATGCAAATGACCTTCACGGCTGCGTGTCGTTGCTGGGGCACCGTCCATCTGCCGGGCCGCCCATCGGTTACAGATGTTCCTCCCTGCTCTCTCTCCGGCTCCACACTCTCCCCAGCGTGCAGCCAGGTGCTGTTCCCCTCCCCTCCCCTCTCTCGGCGGGGAACAACACCTGCCCCTCCCCGCTTCGGGTCGGAGGGCGGCGACAGTCTCTCACTGCCGGGGAGTCAGAGGATCACGCCGCGCCGGCTGACGGCCCACGTGGCTCCCGCCCCTCGGCTCTGCAGACGCGGAGGAGGGAGGGAGGGGTGTAATGGGGCCCGTGGAGTGCGCGCCAAGTATGCACCAACACGGAACTGGCAGCGACACCGGCAGCACACTCACCAGGGGATATGGGGTTATGCTGAGGGGAGAGTGGCTCTTAGGGCCTGACCAAACTGTGGCGAAGTAAATAATTTGATATTAAGGACATGCGCGGCATTGTTCGCTATGTTTGGTATATCGCACGTGAATTGAGGAGTGGAATTATTTTCCGTTTCAGGCCAAGGAGGTACCGGGATCGGTATGTCGCTACAGGAACTACGACGACCCGATCGGCTTCCAGGTCACCATGAAACGCGAAAAACTCGACACCGTCGAAAAGGTAACCGGCCTAGCGAAACTTACCTCTCAGAAGGCATGAGTTGGGAATCCAGTTGAAAGTGTGTTTAGGCGTTTAGGTTTTATGTGGTTTCGAAGTTTGGGGTAGTTTAAGTTTAAAGTTGTAATGATGACTCACACAGGGGCATTTTTCTTCACTAGTGACTCGTTCGTTTCTGAAGTTGCGGCCGCTATTGAACCTGAGAGTGCCTTCCTTCATTCTTCCGTCTTTCAGTTCCTGCGGATTTTGCGATGGAAACATCGCATGGTCCTTACAGAACCGATGAACGGTAACGTGTGAGGTTAGGTTAAGCTAGGACTGAACGTAGAGGGCCTCGTGGGTCCGTAAAAAGATACAGCTGAAAGGGACACAGCCAATTACGAGTCTAACACTATTATAGCCGTTGTTGTTGTTGTTGTGGTTTAGGGCGCTTAGCGGCGAGGCTCTTGCGTCCAACGTCTTGATTTGTGAAGTTCACATTCTTGCATTCATCTTCGTTGGGAAGATTGGGAAACTAAGCAGGGTAAACTAAGCGGTGAAAGGGATAAAGGATGGTTATCGCAGGGTAGGAATTTCAGCAGGGACAGGTGATAGGCGAGGACAGTAGACGTTTAAGTTAGTTTGGTTAATCATCAACAGTATTCTAAACTATCTACGCCTCCAGACTTCTGCAAAAAAAAACTTTGTTAGTGAAAGCATCTACATGATCAAGTGATACTTAGTAGGTATATGCTAAGTTGGGTAGCCAACCATACCGTGGCATCTAGACAACAATCGGGGGAAAACATGAGGAACAAGACATGATAAGCAACAGTGCATGGTGACAACTCGTCGATCACAACATCGTAAACAGGCGACAATCCTTAAGATATTGGAACACTGCATCGAGTAGCGCTGGCGTTTTATCACCCAACAGCGACCGAACATCCATTCTCACGTCATGTAGCAAGCAAGCTGTAGCTAGCTGTTGTCGTTCTCAACGATACTTAGGACACACTATCAAAAAATGCGTTATTATAGCCGTTAATATTATTATGCGTTAATAGTTATTACTATTATAGCCGTCCCTACTCCCTGATGCAAGATGCTGTCTGCTTCGTCTGCATGACCTCTTATTATTAGAGGCGACCATTCCAACCTGAAAATGATCCCGACTCTACCACCTGATTAACTGACATCTTCTATGTATAGCCCATGACATTGTGAAGCGTTGCTCGTTTGTAGAGATAGTGAAATTGCAACAAATTTATTTTGTATCAGCGTAATATAGGCTCGTTCTCAGTCTGCCCCTACATACTTACTCTTTACCTACCCATTAGCATTCACACCTCACAAAATGAATAATGTTACCGGTTGTATCGGATATCGGATAGTTGGTCTAATGACGTTGCTCCACTTACACAATGCGTAACACCCGATCGTATTCGGCGCAACTGATCGGTGGCCTTGTATGTCTTGATAGCTCGTACTTAATGGTGGACGGATCCCAGTTTATCTGTGGAATGTGTGTCGCTGTTACTGAAGTTGTGTAGCGCCTTCCGTGAGGATGGAGTCATCACATTTTGAGTTTCATCCCGCTCTGTTTCAAAATGACTTGGTTTTAACTTTAATACTAATTCTGTGTTCTTTTTGTGCGCATTTTTATATTTGTTCCCTTGGCATGTTACACACATCCATGATGAACAACTCTGAACACTTCGGTCTGTTATGTTCTTCATGCCCCTCGTTCTGTATTCCACGTTTCTCTTGGGAAGTCGTTTTTGTCTGGTATTGTTGGCTACGTTAATAATACCCGCGCCGTCCATGTCTGACGGTCTGACCCTGTGACCTGTGACCTCCAGATCGTCCGGTACGCCGTCAAACAGCACGGTGACAAGAAGGGCTTTGGAACGCGAGCCATCCTCTCTGAGGAGAACGAGACGCAGCCCAACGGAAAGGTGTTCAAAAAGGTACGGCATGACGCGTGGTGGGTGATTGGGGATTTGAGAGCCAGGGACGGATGAGTTGGGGTCACGGAGATCAGTAGATTTGAAGGGATTAAGTGACTTCTTCGACTAAGTATGACTTTGAATTGCTAACATGTGATGATAGATTATGTAACGGTAGGTCAGTCAATAGTCAGTTTTGATGGTATGCTATTTACAAATTATCTTGTAAATACCGGCAGGTGCTCATGCATACTTCTTACGACAAGTAAAAACCGTTGTCACCCAACCCACGCGACACATCGTTTAGTGCGAGGCTATCCGAGCGCACGCCGGGACAGCCCGGTGGCTCGTGTTTTATTGAGTACGTGTTTACGATAGGGGCGATAGCGCGGTGGGCCCGCCTGGTGCCGGGCAACACGACATTCGAGCATTACCGATAGCCGCGATGGACCGCCAACCCTGCACCCGCCAGACACCATAGCGCAGCTCATTCTATTCACGTCAGGGCTATGAACTGCGCCAGTGACACGCTATAACGGCGATTAGCACAGCCGGAGGACGGGGACGCGTGGCGGCGTCCGACCGAGAATTGGTAACTTCCTGCTGCTCAGACCGTCTATCGTTTGGGCCGGGGTTTGGGCGGGCCGAGAGAGACCACCCTCACCGACACGAATTTGGTGGTCGCGTGTCTCCGAGAAAGGATCAGTCCGCCAGCGTGGGATGTCTGTGTTCAAAGTCTGTCGGCTCAACCGCAGCGCTGGATACCTATGAGCCGGTTTATACCGATTCAGCCGAGTTTTCGGATCGGCGGGCGTGTCTTCTGTATATGTTACGCCCCTCTGTGGCCCGTGCGGGTCAGGTGGTCAAGGTCGGGGATGATTGAGAGGAGAGGTACATACGGAGATACGATACTTCTTTCGACGCCCGCACAGGATTCCGTGTGTGAGAAATAATACATTTTTTAAAGGACATGGATTGCTTAGCGTTGGAGAATGCAGTACCGAAGGTTTGAACGAAGTCGTTAATTCTCAGTGGGTTGAGTGAGGATTTGAAGCTGTGATTACTGTGCGCCGAAAGTTTTTTTTAGTGCAATTAGATCACAGTTGTAAACTACAGGGACACGCCCCCTGAAACTCTGTTCCCGGTAGATTCAAGCCACCACAATCTCCGGAGTTTGTTTACATCCTCGAGTTTTGTGTATGCACTATGGAGTCTGGAGGCCGGTCAGCATGCTAGAAAATCCGTCGTCACGCAAGGTATATGTTTACTGATTCGCAGTTGTAACGGGCTCTGGAATTGGCCAGTGGGCGGTGGCCCCACCACTATTTGATAGCCGGGGACCCAGCTGAGGGCGGAGAGGAGAGGGGGGTGGGATGGAGGGGCGGCCTTGAACAGCCTCTCCGGAGAGGTGCTATCGAGAGCACCTCGAGCGGAAGGTCAGACCGAGACGGTGGGCCCATGTGTGACACGATAAGTACGCCCGCCCACCCGGGTGATTTTCTGTTTGATTATTTATGTCGTGGTGGAACTAGCGAAAGAAATGTTTACGCTTAAACCTAGGAAGCTTCACAAAAAGTTCATTGAATCGCGTATGGAAGCTGGGAAGCAAGTTTCTCTGGTGTCTGATTCGAAATTTTGCATCTCCAGAGCTGCACCATGGTACTGGTTCAAGCTATTTGCTCGCCATTAATGAGCTCTTTCCGAACTGGGTTTGAGCGTGATAAGTGCCAGATATTGATATTAATGTGCCGGGTGGTACCCAAGGCCTCGGGCAATAGCACTCGTGGTGAAAGGGTCAATCTGGTGATTTCGTCACTTGCGGGCCAAGAAGGATTATTTCAAACTTTGTGAGCTCGCTGAACAAGACTGTTTGGACATTTCTTACAACACAGAAAACTTACATTATTATGACTGGGTCATTGATTATTAGATGCTCCCGAAAGAACTACTTGGCTTCTTTATTCACTTTCTCCGTTCATCAATGTGTAACCACGATAAGCCGCCCATTGCTCAGTCGGTTTCCGGCTGTTCTGTCCCTGTTCGTCACGGACACCGCCCCTTCCGCGGGCCTGGGGCACGTTTTTGTGTGTAACGTGACTGTGATGGAGCGGCGTCCCTCCACCCCTCAAATCGCGTGCTCGGAGGCCCACTTGACCGCGCCGTGCCACTATCTCAAGTACCGGACATATTTGAGGGTATCGGTGCGGCCGTGCACCGGCTATCGGCTGGACCGTGTCGAGCCTCCCAGGGAGCCCGACCGAGGTTACGGGGATCGTCGGGGCATTTGGCAATGGGTTGGGTGTCCATGAATGATGTCTACTAGGCTAGTTGCATTATAGGATGGTAGTTTGGGGCTGTCGGAATGCGCCCTCCCTGTGCCGCGCTTTGGTCGCTCCCCCTCGCCCAGCTTGGGTGCCGATGATGATGATGATGAAGTGCGGATGCATTTAAATCAAGCTGGGCAGTTGACCCCAACTGACTCCACTACTCTTTCGCACTCTATTATCACTCTCCGAAGTTCGTGATGGGCGACTACCAGTGGACGAGTTACGTTCTCTCACTCTCACTCTGTCTCACTCCCGCTGTTCGTGATGGGCGACTACCAGTGGACGAGTTACGTTCTCTCCTCTCACTCCGTCACTCTCCCACAGTTTGTGATGGGCGACTACCAGTGGACGAGTTACGTTCTCTCACTCTCACTCCGTCTCACTCCCACAGTTTGTGATGGGCGACTACCAGTGGACGAGTTACGTCCAGTTCGCGGCGCGTGCCGACGCGTTCGGCCGAGCCCTTCTGGCGGAGGGCGTGAAGCCGGGCGGACGCGTCTGTATCTTCGCCGAGACGCGGCAGGAGTGGCTGGAGGCCGCTGTCGGCGCGTTCACTCAGAATGTCACCGGTAAGGAGCGCTTGGGAGTGAGGGTTTGAAAGATCGTTTTGTGATCGGCAGGTGGGAGTCGGATGAGACAATGTGTTCATTTCAATGCTTCATTGTGTAACGAAAGCATCGTAGTAGATCGAAGTATACTTGATTTGGCCTGACCTAACCTGAACTAACTTGACGTGATCGACCCTTGTCCCCCAGTGGTGAGTTTGGTGACCCTGTACGCACGCCACTCTGGACGAGGACGCCATCTGACCTGACCCTTTGACCTGTGCCCCAGTGGTGACCCTGTACGCCACCCTCGGTGAGGACGCCGTCGCTCATGGTATCAACGAGACCGAGGTGGCTCACGTGATCACGACGCACTCACTGATGCCCAAGGTGAAGACGATCCTGAGCAGCTGCAGCAGGTCTCGCACGTCATCTATATGGAGGACCAGGTCGGTGACGGGGCAGGGCGCAGGAGGGGGGTGATGGGGTGTGGGCTAAAGAGGTGATGTTATCGTCCCCTGAAAACACCCGTGCTGAACGCTTTACGGCGTTGCAGGGACATTACCTGTTATCGCAGCACCGGGGACAATAAAGGCAAATTGCCGTCATAGTGCTGCTGCGCAGCGCTTGCTGACTGGAAAATAATGGCGGCCACCAAATTTAATGATTGATTCAGCTTTCGTCCACTGAGAATGTCAGCCTTGACGATAAATGTGAGGGCTGATTTTCACCATGAAATAATTTTGTCCTAGGATCAATGTGTCAAACACGTAATGCTTCATCGGGGACTGCCATCCTTTAAGTGGGATCCCACAGTGCGGCAGACAGTTGTCTGAACTTTTCTGGAACTGTTCTGTCCCATCCCTTAGCTGGAGAAGACAGACACCTCGGGAGTGAAGAGCGGCGTCAAGGTGATCCCGTTCGCCGACATGCTGAAGAAGGGACACGACGCCAAGTTCGAGGCACACCCGCCCACCAGCGACGACATCGCCATCATCATGTGAGTCGGAACTTCCGCTTAGCAGTTTGCTGTCTCTTTATTGCAGTGCTGCTTTTTCTTCAAATGAACATTTTTTATTTTTCTCTCGTATTTACACTTCTTTACGTATGACCTTATTTGTTCGCTGCTCATCTTGGGCAGAGCGTTACACCCAAGCATTACTATCATTCAGGAATATTCTCTACTCTTCTTGATGTTTGGGATGCCTTACCACCCTGTGACTCACTTCCTCACCCTACCTCAGGTACACCTCCGGCTCTACTGGCACCCCGAAGGGCGTCATGGTCTCCCACTACAACATGGTGTCGACGATGACGGGGTTCGCGGTGGCGCTGGTGCCCTCACCCGAGGACGTCTACCTGGGCTACCTGCCGCTGGCACACGTCCTCGAACTGATGGCAGGTGCGGCCGCGGCTGACAGGACAGGGTGGAAAGGGGAAGGGTTGGGCGTACAGAGCGACGGAGTCAGGACTAGGGAAGGGGGACTGGTCGTACAAACGGCGGACTAGACAGGGCTGGTCAATCAGACAGAACGCTGAGTCAGTTCGGTGATGAGGGGCTGGATGCTGACAAAGCTAAATAAGATATGTTTGGGAAATTTGAGCCGAGCTCCAAAGTTCTAAAGCTGATATTGAATGTGGGACATGGTGTGACGACATGGTATGTGAGCCTTGAAGAAGCAATGTAAACTGCCCTCCCTGTGATCTGGGTCATCACAATGCGCCTGTAACCCCCTTCCCCCTCTGCCGCCACGCCGCGCTCTGACCCCTCCCTCCCCTCCCCCTCTTAATCACAGAGCTGTGCGCGGTGATGTTCGGCGTTCCGATCGGCTACAGCTCTCCGCTCACACTGATGGACAAGTCGAGCAAGATCAAGCGCGGCTGCCAGGGCGACTGCTCGGTGCTCCGGCCGACGCTGATGGCCGCCGTGCCCATGATCCTCGACAGGGTCGCTCAGGTCGGTGTGCTGCGAGAACGGAGAGAAAAGGGGGAGGGGGAGTCGAGATGGGGATGGTAGAGCTGTGGTATCGGCCGGAATATAGGGAGAAGTTGGCATATCAGCGTTGACTGGGACCAATGTGATGTGGTGATTGCCATCGAAGTTTCACATTCGTTGGCTCTGGTGTTGGCTATGTCTTTCTTACGGTCAACTAAGGTTGCTCATTTAACATCCGTTTTTGCTTTGTTCATTGGCTTCACAATTAATTATTATTTTTCCATTCAAAACTTCGAACTCATTGATTAATGATTACTATCTTTAGTTTGCATTACGCTATGTCTGGTGCGCTGCATGCAGTTGCTCTGCATTACTGCTGCCTAACTCAGAGGCTCCATCCCTTACCGCTTCAGTGTTCGCTGACAGAACCAACACACCGCCAGCTGGCACCTCCCACTGACCGTCACCCCCCCCCCCCCTCCCCTCCCGCCTCCAGGGTATCAAGGAGCAGATGCACTCTGCGGGCCGTCTGGCTCAGGGCCTGTTCAACTGGTTCGTCATGTACAGGAACTGGTGGCGGCGGCGCGGATTCTCCACACCCATCCTGCACAGGTGGGGGTCTGACGGATAGTCGGAGAGATCGGGGCGGGGAGGGGGGGGGGCTGAGGACCGTAACATGATGGTACTAGTTGGATATCATGTCAATATCATGGTAGCGATGATCTTAAGTAAGAGACCTATTGCTGTAGAAATGTAGAAGGCTTTTGTTGGCTTCAGGAGCAGTAAAAACCTTATTACAAGGCATATCGTTATATTCTTCATGTAAAATCAAACGTTTCGTCTCTGAACAAAGACATCATCAGTGAAGTTACACACAACAGTACATATTATGAGAAAGCAAGCAATCAGGCGACATAACAAGAGCAACACAGTATCGCACATAAAATCATGCATATCATGAACGTTTCATGTTTCACCAAGGAAATTTTTGACGCAATTAAACGAGACCATGGAAATGTAGAAGGCTAATGGCTGTGATTATTGTAACATAGTGTCATGCTGTTTTTAGAAGCGGCGGTAACACGTTTCAATTACCTGAGCTTAATTTAAGCTCTCAGTTGAGCTCAGCTTTAGCTTTGTTCTACGGTTGTAGCGAACCGACATGGCTTGCAATCTGTTGGATTTCCGCGTCGTCGAGCCCGTCTCTATCGCGTTGTGTGACTTCCTACTATCTGCCACTATCTCGAAACAGTGGCTCAATTTACCGAGCTTCTCAAGTGGCTGCCTTATCGTGGCTTAAGCAGCCTGCTCCAGTTACTGATTTCGCAATAAAAGTACAGCTATACTGGCACTACGTGCTAGATTTGTTGAAATATCATAAGTATTACAGCTTACAGTTCTCTAACACTACATAGTACATCGTACATTTGTATCCCAGCGCTTTCATTTCTCCCACCACGATGCAGGTGATGCGTGAGAGATGAAAGCGGCGCGCCCCTGACTGTTCCCCTCCGTTCACAGCCTGGTGTTCAGCCGTATCGCGGGCCTGCTCGGCGGGGGTGCGGGCCCTGACTGTCCCCCTCTGTTCACAGTCTGGTGTTCAGCCGTATCGCCGGCCTGCTCGGCGGCCGGGTGCGGGCCATGGTTTCTGGCGGAGCGCCACTCTCCGAGGTCACCCACGATCTGATCCGCTCCTGTATCGGCTGCAGCGTCATGCAGGGCTATGGACTCACCGAGACGACTTCTTGCGCTTCACTGATGGACGGTGAGAGGAGAGAGGGATGAGGGATGGGTAGAGAGCTTGTTTTGTTGGGTTAGGCCCTTTCGGTCTGACAAGACCATTGCAGAGCCGAGGGTAGAGAGCAGCTGGATAAGGGATATAAGTGGGAATAGTGAGATACCTGGGAGACCTTAGTGGATGGTAGTACCTTGTTCTTAAAAAAAAACGCGATCCAATCGCTCGGGGTCCAAACGACGGATGACTCGATGCGGGGACCCGGTCATTTATTTTGCGTGTCCGACAGAGGGCAGGACTGTCGCTGTGACAGATGTGAGACTCTCTTGACTGACCTGACCCACCCCCTCCTCGCCCCCGCAGAGTACGACGTGGCGGTGGGCCGCGTGGGTCACCCGGTCAGCTGTTGTGACGTCCAGCTGAGCGACTGGGAGGAGGGAGGCTACAAGGTCACCGACCAGCCCCACCCCAGGGGAGAGATCGTCGTTGGTGAGTAGGGCGGAGGGGAGGGGCGCTGCCCGGGTTAGAGTTCTTCTCAGGTGACTGAGAGGCTACCCACACTCCTCAGTTTCATTTCAAGTGTGATTGCTGGGTATGGGAGGGGAGAATCGACACTGCCGGATAGTCCTGATAATGGAAGCTAGTATCTTTCTACGAACAGCAGCTCAAATTATCCCGGCTTCTCTGTGCCATTATCTGACGTTTCGTGCCGTCCGCAGGCGGTGACAACGTGACGATGGGCTACTTCAAGCAGCCGGAGAAGACGAAGGAGGAGTTTTTCGAGTCGGACGGCCGCCGGTGGTTCCGGACGGGAGACATCGGCCTCATCTACCCCAACGGCACCATCAAGATCGTCGGTACGGCAGATACTCACAGACCTCTTTTGATGGGAGTCGATTGACCTGACTGGGTTGTTTTCATCACTAATTTTCTCGCGTTCTGGGTTTTAGGGTTACAAACATCCGTAGGTAATCGTAAAAGAAATGTTTTTTTTTTGTTATATTTGGAAGTGGATGTATACGTGGTGGTAGGTATTCCACTTGTTACGATCGAAAAGTAAATGATTTTGTAGGACACTCGATGCTTAGGACCCGATGTCCTAAATGTATGACTCGGTGCAAGGCATGTTTCTACACCGTTTATCAACCTTTTAACTTCAGTTCCCCGCCTCTGACGTTCCTCCTCTGCCGTTTCCCCTTCGCAGACCGTAAGAAGGACCTGGTGAAGCTGCAGGCGGGGCGAGTACGTCTCTCTGGGACGCGTGGAGACCATCCTCAGCACCAGCCCCTTCGTCGACAACATGTTCGTCTACGGGGAGTCCTCCAAGAACTTCGTCGTGGCCGTGGTAGTGGCCAACGCCAAGCAGCTGGGCTTGCTGGCAAAGGAGGTGCTGGGGTCGGAGGCCGAGGGGAAGTCGCACGAGCAGCTCTGCAAGGAGGAGCGTCTGGAGGAGGAGGTCCAGAAGCGGCTGGTCAAACAGGCGCGGCACGGTCAGTGGGGGCAGCGGAGTGCGACGGGGGGGGGGGGTGATAAGGAGGGCAGAAGAGTGACATGGTTTGATTGGGAGTGGGATGCAGGTTGGGTGGGCTTTGGGGCAGGGTGTTTCGACAGTCTCAGTGCGGATTATTCATAAGAAATTCGGCTTTAGTGAATCACCCACATGTTCTTGTCGTAACTTGTGATTGTGAGGAAATAGCGACACTTAAATGAAGTCCCCCATCCCCATCATCTATGTCGGCTGCCATCCGAAACTGTCTTATCAATCCCCTCTGACCTTCTGTGTCTGCTCCCCTCCGCCAGGTCGTCTGGAGAAGGCCGAGATCCCCGCCCGGGTGGCCCTGACCTCGGTCTCGTGGTCGCCCGATAACAACCTGGTCACAGCCGCCTACAAACTCAAACGCAAGGAGCTCAGCAACTACTACAAGGATGACCTGGAGCGACTGTACAAGTAGGCGGCGTGGTACCTGAGGCCGTACGCGGTACGGTACCGGTGCGGTACGCACTGCGGTACCGTACCTGGTGTAGTGTGTCCGTTGGCGGCAGCAATATCTCGGCAGCCCGGGCCCTGAGGTCGGTTGTGTGAGGGGTTCCCTGTAACTGGCTAGGCCCGCCTGGGATGGGTTTTGTCTGGCAGAGTCGGTACTGAGGCCGGGAGGGTGAGCGCAGGGGACGAGAGACTTTTGGAAGGGAGTCGGTCTAGCGTTATACTGTGGGGCCATTTACACTGACCTGACTCGTGTTTGGTTTGGTTTTGTGCCGACTTGACGTGTAACAGACGGTCAGAGACACCAACTAGCTGTCTCAATGGCGCTGTTTGCAGCTCATTGGCAGCAATTAATGTCGCCGAGTCGATTTGGAAAAGCCGAGTGAGGCTGCTCGTCGGTCAGCTTCTTGACTGGTTAAAAGTATTCATCCAGTGATGAAGTAATGGATATTACAGTGCTTCAGGCTTTCTTTGGGTTTGATATTCATGGCTGCGAGTGGGGCATTTGAGCCGAAACAGAGTGGGTCGCCTCAGTTTGATTCGGTAGACGTATTCTTGTACGAACGGTAGGAGGGTGAGACTGAGCGGACTGCTGAGTCAGTTTTCTATTTATGCCTCAGTGTCTCGTCCTGCTTCCCCCTAATCCGCTGTCTCATGTCCACCCAGAGGCTTTTAGCTGGAGTATTACGCCCGTCTACTGACACAGGATGCGACTTTTGGCTCCGTGTGTGAATATTCCTGTCACGCGGTGGCCGAGTAGTTTGCCAGTACATACTGCGGCTTATCAGTAGTTGTTCCGCTGTGGGCCGTTCGGAACTAGTCCGAAAGTGGTGTAGCATTTTGTAATCAGATTTGCATAGAGCGTGACCCGTAACCCACCCATTTTGTGCGTAGATCATTGCATTATACGAGTCGCGATTGTATGCGTGTGATGCGTTGCTAACTGCGATTTTATCTTGCCTACAAATGTCGCCTTGATTGTATTGAGTGGATCACAGCTCGACAGGGTGATTTTGTGTACATTCTGCTTCAACGATTTACTGCGAGCTTTTCGCGCTGCTGTGAGTGTTCTCGAGTGAGTGAGACGCCTGTTACTTGTGAGTGTGCCCCTCCGTTCGGCGGCCAGAGAACAGTCAGCAGAAAAGACAGACGGTTTGTGTGGGTCGGAGTCGCCCCCGACAGTATTACAGTCTGAGGATACGGCGCCGGGCCCCGGTAAAAATACACGCTGGCGCTGGACGGTCGGCGTGTCTCGGGGACCACGGGCCGCCCCGGCAGATGGGTGACTATGTACAGATGGACGGCCTAGTCAGTGCTGGCGGCACCGGGCCGAGTGAGAGATGAAAGCTGGAACCACAGCGGCGACGGCCGGCCGCCGAAACCCGCAGACTACGGCACTTAGTCGCCACATGGCAGCACCATTCCTGTGACACCAATAGGCAACTGTCTGTCGCGGCCCTCTAGCTAAAACCTCTAATACGCATCACAATAGTAAAATCAGACCTGACTAAGTCACAGATCGAAGGCTAAAAACGTTCGCACTCTATTCGCAAATATCGCAATTTTAGATGCACTTCTAGCTAATAATCGGCAGCAAAGATGTCTTTCACCGTTCAGACAACCTGGCCGCCGTTTCGTCCAGAGCTATATGACTTCTTCTCTGACAGATAAACGTTAATACAGTCAAAAAAATTAATGAATCTCGTTGAAGGACGCTCTCCCGGCATCCCTATGCCCCGAATCACGATCCTATGGTCCAGATGACATCAC